ACATTAAGCACCCAGTGTGGAGGACATTAAGCCCTTCGTCACTCATTAAAATGGTGGATTGCCTCAGACTTACAAATGACATACTCGTCCTCGAAGCAGCAAAATCATTGAACAAGTCAAGCATTTAGAGTATCTCCAGTTGAAAAGTTTATTTGTTTGACTCAACACCACTGTGGGCCAGTCCCTTATAAAGCCAGGTTGCTGGCTCCATGCATGGGCTCCATGCATGGGCTCTTCCTAATCTAAACTGACACAGTGGAAACATGGGGTCATTGTGACCAGTTAACAAAAGCCAACGTCTTAATGAGTAGTCTTGAGAAATGTTTAATTCAGTTGTGCAGCCTGTGCCAAAGGTTTACAAACCACTAGCCAGAATTTGTTCTTTGGAATTATTTTATTTTATTTGAACATACAACCCTCTACTTCCCAATATTACTGACTGTGATGAAATGTTTTAGACATGTAGCTGAAGTTGAAAAAATGTTATTCCCCCAGCTGACTTTTACCGTGTCTTCTCTTTGGATAACAAACAATAACAGATAATTTTAGCAATACAGTTTGCTCTACGACCATGTATTGTGTGATAAAGCACACTTTCGCCCAGAACTAGTATAGTTAAAGCACGAGGACGCAGTGATGCCTATACATTGTGACGAAATGTCAAAAAGTGTACATTATTGTCTGATAAAGTACTGTCGGCTCCTTTGATCTTTCACCGAATCATCTCAGAATAGTCTATAGGTTTACTACAGACAAATAGTTTTCATGATAATACTATCAAGTTTTATTTACAAGGAGTGAAATGATGCTTCAAAGTAACGATAGGATGTATTGCGATAAGCATTTTCACATCGAATCCCTTGGATTTGAAAATAAATATTTCAGAGGAGGTTCCAAAGGAAAAGCTAGTTGTAGCTATTAGTAGCGGATATCATTTCATTATCATTTACATGCTACTGATCCTATGTGTGTTGTCAAAGTGACAACAAAGCTCCAAATGAGTTTGTTTTTGAACTCAGCAAATACTATATTATCATTGTAATGATTATGAAAGGTGTCTGGTGTTTTCTGCTGGTACTTGCGTTAGTGTGTGTCAACATGGAAGCAGAAACCCAACTTCCATGTAGCAAGAAATTATCTTTCCCTGACTAGCAATGACCATGGTCACATGGGCAGTCAAAGTCTTGTGTGCTTTTGCTAAATGCAGAATAGATTTCAGATTCCAGGTACAAATTTAAAGTCTCCTTTCCATCACTTTTCAACCCTTTTAAACGATTTTTCAGTTTCAGCATCATTTGCAACATCCAATAAATATTGATTATATTCATTTAGGGTTTATTAAAAATCTGACTTTTCCCTGACACATGTTTGTAACCATGGCAACTGAGGGTGAAGGCAAGGATGAGAGAACTTCACTGTGAAAGTGCAGTATAACTGATGCAAGTGTCCATCATCAGCATGATCAGTGGAGTAGTATTTCCAGGTAGAAATCTCTCCCTCATAAACAAGCAGTGAGGTGCCCTTGTGTTACTGCAGATAGCATGTTGACAACACTCACAGTATGTGTCAGTGTTTATCATCGCAGGCTAAATGTTCAAAGAGAAGGAAGTAACTTCCAGCTGCCTTGATTGTAGCAGTAACAATGTGCTACCAGACACGTTTTAACCCACTGAGTGTAAATATTGTAATATTGTAGAAATATCATAATGATTCAAACAATAAGTGAATAATTTACTTGAACACTGATAAAGTCTCTTTCAGCAAAACTGTTTGCAGACATATTATCTTGTGACAATTATCCCTGACTAAACAATGGCTTGCTCTGTTCCTGTTTGCCATCAGGCAATAGTCTGCAGAGTACGTTTCAGGCCACGTCTTATGCTGTTGTAGCAGCCCAGAATCAGTTGTACTTCAACATGCCCAGAGAGCAGCTAAGATCAGTCCCCCAAATTAGTTCATTGTACTCATCAAGTGGATCAGGCTGGTTGTCAAACATGGGTTTCACGTGTAAGCTATATAATGTTCATTCCTGGGAAACTTCCTTCTGTGAGCTCGGGGCTTGACTGTCAGGCTCTGTGATGACACAGTGGCGTTACCAGTACCTGCTCCCTAGAGGGCACTAGGTCCACCGTGACACCGTGGTGTTACCAGTACCTGCTCCCTAGAGGGGCACTAGGTCCACCGTGACACCGTGACATGCTCAGTACCTGCTCCCTAGAGGGGCACTAGGTCCACCGTGACACAGTGGCGTTACCAGTACCTGCTCCCTAGAGGGGCACTAGGTCCACCGTGACACAGTGGCGTTACCAGTACCTGCTCCCTAGAGGGGCACTAGGTCCACCGTGACACAGTGGCGTTACCAGTACCTGCTCCCCAGAGGGGCACTAGGTCCACCGCGGACACAGTGGTCCACCGTGGCGTTACCAGTACCTGCTCCCTAGAGGGGCACTAGGTCCACCGTGACACAGTGGCGTTACCAGTACCTGCTCCCTAGAGGGGCACTAGGTCCACCGTGACACCGTGGCGTTACCAGTACCTGCTCCCTAGAGGGACACTAGGTCCACCGTGACACCGTGGGCGTTACCAGTACCTGCTCCCCAGAGGGCACTAGGTCCACCGTGACACCGTGGCGTTACCAGTACCTGCTCCCCAGAGGGGCACTAGGTCCACCGTGACACTGGGTCCACGGCGTTACCAGTACCTGCTCCCCAGAGGGCACTAGGTCCACCGTGACACCGTGGCGTTACCAGTACCTGCTCCCAGAGGGGCACTAGGTCCACCGTGACACCGTGGCGTTACCAGTACCTGCTCCCCAGAGGGGCACTAGGTCCACCGTGGACACGTGGCGTTACCAGTACCTGCTCCCCAGAGGGGCACTAGGTCCACCGCGGACACACAGGTACCAGTACCTGCTCCCCAGACTAGGTCCACCGTGACACCGTGGCGTTACCAGTACCTGCTCCCCAGAGGGGCACTAGGTCCACCGTGACACCGTGGCGTTACCAGTACCTGCTCCCCAGAGGGGCACTAGGTCCACCGTGACACCGTGGCGTTACCAGTACCTGCTCCCCAGAGGGGCACTAGGTCCACCGTGACACAGTGGTGTTACCAGTACCTGCTCCCCAGAGGGGCACTAGGTCCACCGTGACACGTGGTGGTACCTGTTACCAGTACCTGCTCCCCAGAGGGCACTAGGTCCACCGTGACACAGTGGCGTTACCAGTACCTGCTCCCTAGAGGGGCACTAGGTCCACCGTGACACCGTGGCGTTACCAGTACCTGCTCCCCAGAGGGGCACTAGGTCCACCGTGACACAGTGGCGTTACCAGTACCTGCTCCCCAGAGGGGCACTAGGTCCACCGTGACACAGTGGCGTTACCAGTACCTGCTCCCCAGAGGGCACTAGGTCCACCGTGACACAGTGGTACCACTCCCCAGAGGCACACTAGGTCCACCGTGACACAGTGGCGTTACCAGTACCTGCTCCCCAGAGGGGCACTAGGTCCACCGTGACACAGTGGCGTTACCAGTACCTGCTCCCCAGAGGGGCACTAGGTCCACCGTGACACAGTGGCGTTACCAGTACCTGCTCCCCAGAGGGGCACTAGGTCCACCGTGACACAGTGGTGTTACCAGTACCTGCTCCCCAGAGGGACACTAGGTCCACCGTGACACAGTGGTGTTACCAGTACCTGCTCCCCAGAGGGGCACTAGGTCCACCGTGACACAGTGGCGTTACCAGTACCTGCTCCCCAGAGGGGCACTAGGTCCACCGTAACACCCAGGTGGCTGCACATCTCCTCACATCCTCACAGCTGTTTCCAGGACAAATCACACTGGTTTGGAGACAAGTGACTGACTGACACGTGTGTGGCCAGGTTTAGCTTGAGTCCGTGTGGTGATTGTTTAGGTTTTGTTAGTAAAGACCTATCATTGTTATTAACACTGAGTCATTCTACTATGACGTTTCATTACGATTTCCGTGATAATCTCCCCCGCCCTGTCCTCGAGACGGGGGTTAGGAGTGGTTACCACCTGTGTAGTGGTACATGTTGTATTTGAATTGGGTAATATTTGCTGTGACCAAGCAAACTGATCAACGCACTAGAGGCAAGCCAGGCTGTGTGGGACAGCCCGGTATTTCTACTGTATGAAACACTTGGGCAAGATGGTGATATAGCAGTCTGCAGTCACACAGGTAACACTGTTACTAACGATGATAAACTCCGCATTCAGAAGGACACAAGTAAACCTGACAATGCAGGGGTGGAAATAACCCATTGCCCGACGTCTGAGTACAGTGTTTTTTTCTGTCGGGCAAGCAAATTCATATATCATACTGTACCGGCATCCAGTTGACTTTCCAATGTTAATTATGTTGTTTATTTAAAAAATTCAACAAGAAAACGGCCGGTATAGTGGAAAAATTATCAGGGCAAGTGATTTCACATGTGCCACTGTACCGGAGTACACTAGCAATTTTAAAGTTATTTCCACCCCTGCAATGGTGAAGGCACAGGTGAAAATTTAGTTGACAGTGGTAAAGAGTCAGGTATGGCAAGTTGAGGCACGGGTGGAACTAGTTGACAGTGGTGAGGACACAGATAAGACTTAGCTGACAATGGTAACAATGCAGGTATGTCTATTGTTGACACAGGGGACACAGGTAAATCTGTTGTTGACAGTGGCAGCGATATGGTAAAGTGGTGCAGAAGCTAGTTAATCTAGTTAGCAGTGACTGCAATTTGCAAGTTCTAGCTACGTCCCTCTGGCACTGTTGTCATGGTTGTGAAATGTGTGAATGGTGTACAGCTGCTTTGTTTATACATGGATAACAGTGTAACAGTACGTAAGAAAATATATTGATCCTTTTATAGCATGGCCATGATGGGTCATTGAAAGATGGAAAGATGTTTTACAAAAGAGATTGAAACAAATGCTTTGGTCAAATACAAATGTGATGTCTAGAGAGCTGATGTCCCTGTGTTCATACGTTCCAGAGAGCTGATGTCTGGTGGCGAGGCCAGTGTGTGAGAGTTGACCATGACTCACTCCAGCGGCCATGACGGACACTCTCAACCACCAGACCAAGACTCGGATTCTGGAAGAGCTTGTTCGAAACACAGGAGCAAACAGGGACTTTGCCCTCGGGCTTCTGCAAGGTGAGTGCTTACTGGGATATCTGACCCTTGGCCACCATCAGTCTGTTAAGTCACCAATTGCGTCAGAGATATTTACATTGGTGGTTGCTCAGGACCAGTTCTACCTCAATACATACATGAACTACCCATGTGTTTCAGAAAACAACTGGCAGCTTCAGGACAACTACAAGGAGATAGAGAAACTTTGTATTGAATCAGTGCAGGGGGCCAGAAATATGCAAAACCATCCAAATAATCGAGGCACTCCCATCCCCGTTCATCACATGGGGACCACTCCTAGGTCATTGCCTGGCCAGCGGGGAGGGGGAGCCTTCCCCCCGAGCTTCACGAACACTGGTGTAGGGAGGGCTGGTGGCTACACTGTTCCATCTAACCGACCAGGCTATGAAACCATGCCCATGCAGCGTCACACCATGGCCCACTCGGGCTTCCCCATTGTTTCAGATGATCTTCAACAAAACACAAGGGCAAGGTCACAAGTAGATCCAGCTTATCGTCCCACAGAGAGAATAGTACCGATCCATGTTGAAAGGGGGCCTGCTGTCAAGCTACCCGCTCCCACAATACCACAGTCTCAGAACCGGTCCAGTGAACCCAGACCCTTTCAGCACCAGCAGTATCAACAGCAGCAGCAACAGCCATCTCCACAGCAACACCATCGAGTCCTGCCCAACCCTCCACCACAGCAAGGCTTTAGGCCGCCACAGTTCCAGCGCCAGACCCAGGTCCAGGAGACCATGCCCCTCTCTCTGGAGGAGCAGAAGGCTCAGAAAGCCATGCCGCCGCCCCCAGCTCCTGGGCGGCAGACAAACACAAGGATGCCAGCAATGTCACTCCAGGCAGCAAACCAGCTGGAGATCATAGTAAGTTTGCTGTGATGGAACTGGATATAGAGAATCGCAACCCTGTTTCTTTTGGTTTCATATATATCAGCATTAGTCAAGTCTTGATGGAGCTCTACTTGGCATCCAAAGTCATTCTTCCAATTTATTGAGTTTGTAAACTGTCATAAACACGGTGTTGGGTGTACATCAAACCAGCTTCAGTGGCAGAGATGAGTGGTTACACTGAATTAGGACTGAATGATTTGTATGCATTGACATTTGAACATTTAATTTTTTATATATTTTTAAACATTACATTTTGTTTTACAGCTCCTAAATTAAAGCGAGGAATTTCCAATATAATGGAGAATGTAAATTTGGTGTCTGAGGCCAGGTCAAGCGTGCTTCATGACATTGAGGAAGACAGCCATGATCACATGTACCTCCTTACCTTTCTGCTCCCGGACCTGACCGTGTACTCTGAGGACTTCAGGGCATACCTGGAGAAGGACCTGATAGAGACTTCTACACTAGTGTCTCTTGAACAAGCAGGTTCGTATCATGTGATATGTGGCTAATCCTTGCTGTGATGGTGTATGATGGATCCATGCTGTGATGGTGTATGATTGATCCATGCTGTGATGGTGTGTGATGGATCCATGCTGTGATGGTGTACGGTTGATCCATGCTGTGATGATGTATGGTTGATCCATGCTGTGACAGTGTATGATGGATCCATGCTGTGATGGTGTACGGTTGATCCATGCTGTGATGGTGTATGGTTGATCCATGCTTTGATGGTGTATGGTTGATCCATGCAGTTGATCAATGCTGTGATGTATGATGTTTGATCCATGCTGTGATGGTGTATGGTTGATCCATGCTGTGATGGTGTATGGTTGATCCATGCTGTGATGGTGTATGGTTGATCCATGCTGTGATGGTGTATGGTTGATCCATGGTGTATGGTTGATCCATGCTGTGATGGTGTATGGTTGATCCATGCTGTGATGGTGTATGGTTGATCCATGCTGTGATGGTGTATGGTTGATCCATGCTGTGATGGTGTATGGTTGATCCATGCTGTGATGTGTATGGTTGATCCATGCTGTGATGATGTATGGTTGATCCATGCTGTGATGGTGTATGATGGATCCATGCTGTGACGGCGTATGGTTGATCCATGCTGTGATGGTGTATGATTGATCCATGCTCTGATGGTGTATGATGAATCCATGCTGTGATGGTGTATGATGGATCCATGCTGTGATGGTGTATGATGGATCCATGCTGTGATGGTGTATGGTTGATCCATGCTGTGATGGTGTATGATGGATCAATGCTGTGATGGTGTATGATGGATCCATTCGGTGATGGTGTTTGATGGATCCATGCTGTGATGGTGTATGATGGATCCATGCTGTGATGGTGTATGATGGATCCATGCTGTGATGGTGTATGATGGATCCATGCTGTGATTCTGTATGATGGATCTATGCTGTGATGTGTATGGTTGATCCATGGTGTGTATGATTGATCCATACTGTGATGGTTTTATATATGTTTCAAGGGAGACTTAACTGGTGGGCAGAGATGAGAATCTGTCAGCGCCTTCTTCCCATGGCCACCTCCGGAGATGGCAACTGTCTCCTCCATGCTGCATCACTAGGTACAATAAATTGCTGTCCTACTGTCACTTGGTACTGTACAATAATGTCCTCTCACTAGGTACTGTACAATACTGTCCTAATGTCACTAGGTACTGTATAATATTGTCCTACTGTCACTAGGTACTATACAATACTGTCCTACTGTCACAAGGTACTGTATCATAATGACTTGTCACTTGGTACTGTATAATACTGTCCTACTGTCACTAGGTACTGTACAATAGTGTCCTACTGTCACTTGTACTGTATAATACTGTCCTACTGTCACTAGGTACTGTAAAAACTGTACTGTCCACTGTAGGTACTGTACAATAGATGGCCTACTGTCTCTAGGTACTGTACATAATAATGTCCTACTGTCACTTGGTACTGTACAATACTGTCCCTGTCACTTGGTACTGTACAATACTGTCCTACTGTCACTAGGTACTGTACAATACTGCACTGTACAATGCTGCCCTACTGCCACTCAGGTACTGTACAATAATGTCCTACTGTGACTAGGTACTGTGCAATACTGTCCTGCCACTAGGTACTGTACAATGATGGCCTACTGTCACTAGGTACTGTACAATGATGGCCTACTGTCACTAGGTACTGTACATTAATGACCTACTGTCACTAGGTACTCTACTACAATACTGCCCTACTGTCACTTGGTACTGTACAATAATGTGCTACTGTTACTAGGTACTGTACAATAATGTCCTACTGTTACTTGGTACTGTACAATAATGTGCTACTGTCACTAGGTACTGTACAATAATGTCCTACTGTCACTAGGTACTGTACAATAATGTCCTACTGCCCTGTGCTAGAGCACATGGCTGTGCTTAAGATGTGTCTATGTGACTCTATTTTTATATATTGATGAAGTATGTTTATATTTATCACAGCTTTGAGACATCACAGGAAAATGAGTTACGTACTGTATTAATATGTATTAGATCTTTGAGACTTCACAGAAAAACATTTTAGAAATTATACATTTGGGCACTTCATGCAAACTAACTTGATTTGAACCAGTTCGCATTCATTATCACCGCAAGTGTTACTTACACAGATCAATTTTGAAGGACCCACATTATGTGGGCACTGACTACGCATGTATTAGTACAGACTCTGTTGTCGTTGACAGCCATGTGGGGCATCCATGACCGACAACTGATACTTCGCAATGCTCTCTATGCCAAGATGACCCGGGGAAGCTGTAAGGACAATTTGTACAGGCGGTGGAGGTGGCAGCAGACACTCTCAAATAAAGAGGTGAGTTGCTACAATAGATACTCTTAAGTATACTGGTGAGTTGCTACAATGGATACTCTCAAATAAAGAGGTGAGTTGCTACAATAGATACTCTTAAGTATAGTGGTGAGTTGCTACAATAGATACTCTTAAGTATACTGGTGAGTTGCTACAATGGATACTCTCAAGTATAAAGAGGTGAGTTGCTACAATAGATACTCTTAAGTATACTAGTGAGTTGATGCAGCAGATACTCTCAGATGGATAACGCTCTCTGATAAATGTGAGATGCTTATTCTTGTTTTAACCATGTGTGTCATGACTGTAAGCCAGGGGAGATGCCAGTAACTGATGTTGGCCACAGGAGATCCCAGTAAAGGATTTTGACCAGGGGAGATCCACGGTAAGGGATGTTGGCCATAGGCTGTCCCACTAAGGGAAGTAAGACAGGGGAGATCCCAGTAAGGGGTGTTGGCCAGAAGAGATCCCAGTAAGAGATGTAAGCTAGGGCAGAGATCTCATAAGGGGTGTAGGACGGGGGGATCCCAGTAAGGGGTGTTGGCAAGGGCAGATCTCTGTAAGGGTTATAATCCAGGGTGTTAAGGCATGTAGGAATGGAGATCCCAGTAAGAGGTGTAGGACAGGGGAGATCCCAATAAGAGGTGTAGGAAAGGGGAGGTCCCAGTGAGGGATGTTGGCCAGGGCAGATCCCAGTAAGGGGTGTAGGACAGGTGAGATGCCAGTGTTAGGACATGGGAGATCCCAGTGAGGGATGTTAGGGCAGATCTCTGTAAGGGGTGTAAGCCAGGGGAGATCCCAGTGAGGGATGTTAGCCAGGGAGATCCCAATAAGAGGGTGTAGGACATGGGAGATCCCAGTAAGGGGTGTAGGACAGGGAGATCCCAGTAAGGGGTGTAGGACATGGGAGATCCCAATAAGGGTGTAGGACGGGAGGGGATCCCAGGCCAGGGGGATCCCAGGAAGGGTGTAGGGATAGTAGGAGATCCCAGGAAGGGGTGTAGGACAGGGGAGATCCCAGTAGGGAGATCCCAGTAAGGGGTGTAGGACAGGACAGTAAGAGGGGAGATCCCAGTAAGGGATGTTAGGCCAGGGAGATCCCAGTAAGGGGTGTAGGACAGGGGAGATCCCAGTAAGGGATGTTGGCCAGGGGAGATCCCAGGAGAGGTGCGTAGGACAGGAAGGGAGGTTGGCCAGGGAGAGTGTAGAGGTGGGACATGGGAGATCCCAGTAAGGGTGTAGGACGGGGAGATCCCAGTAAGAGGTGTAGGACATGGGAGGGAGATCCCAGTAGGGCAGGGAGATCCCAAGAGGTGTGTAGGACAGGGGACAAGGGATGTAGGGGAGATCCCAGGAAGATCCCAAGGGGTGTAGATCCTAATAAGAGGTGACAGGGGAGATCCCAGGTGTAGGGCCGGGAGGGATGTAGGACAGGGAGACAGGGGAGATCCCAGTAAGGTGTAGGGACAGGGGAGATCCCAATAAGAGGTGTAGGACGGGGGAGATCCCAGTGAGGGATGTTAGTCAGGGGAGATCCCAATAAGAGGTGTAGGACGGGGGAGATCCCAGTAAGAGGTGTAGGACGGGGGAGATCCCAATAAGAGGTGTAGGACAGGGGAGATCCCAGGAAGGGATGTTGGCCAGGGGAGATCCCAGGAAAGGATGTTGGCCAAGGGAGATCCCAATAAGAGGAGTAGGACAGGGGAGATCCCAGGAAGGGATGTTGGCCAGGGGAGATCCCAATAAGAGGAGTAAGACGGGAGATCCCAGTAAGGGATGTTGGCCAGAGGAGATCCCAGTCAGTGATGTAGGACAAGGGAGATCCCAGTAAGGGAAGTTGGCAAGAGCAGATCTCTGTAAGGGATGTAAGCCAGGGCAAATCCTAATCAGGTATTTAGTCTGCAGTTCTCTGTAAGGGATGTAGGCCAAAGTAGGTATCCAGTTGTGGTTTAGTGTTTACTAGGAAGTATGTATTGACAGTGTTGTATGTGTGTTCCAGTCTGGCCTTGTGTTGTCTGAAGAGGAATGGCAGGCAGAATGGGACAATCTGTTGAAGCTTTCATCACCAACACCACGCACATTTCCAGAAACAACAAAGAGAACCAGCTGCTGTGACAGTCCGGTCACTCACGGGTACATACAACACAGTTATTTACATCACAAGAAACTTTCTTTGAAGTCACAAATCATTTGGGGGTCTTGTGTCAGACCTGTTGACTCTTCCATAGTTTTTGTAGGTTTGAATAAATATTGCACTCCTTTTAAGGTGAAGAAATGGATTTTGAGAATATCATATGGATCATGTTGTTAACAGATGATTGAATAGTACTTCCATTTTGAAAGGAAATACAGTAGATACTTGTGCAGATTACATTTTCAAAATGGTATTGATCATTTTGCTATGAACTGAACCAAGTGCACATTTCGGAAACATGCTTGCTGCATTAGGGGTAATAAATATTGAGCAGATGTTTGGAATCACTACCATAAAGCTGATTACCTTGCTTAGTTTGTGTCAGCGAAGAAAACAATGTTGAAACCGTGTATTCAGTCCAACACTGTGATACAAGAATGATGTTCTGCCTCCAAGAAGGCACATTCAATCATTAACTGTAATGTGTGTGAGAGTGACTTCACCTGCTCTCACTCTGGAAACAATGATGACTGATACTTAACTGAAACTGCAAACAGATTCTTATTAAACTTCTGGAGTGGTAAGTGAAGTTCAACACGTCTGAGGGATTGTTAAGAAGGTTACAAGGGGCTTAGAAGTAAGATATGTTAATTAACAGAGTTGTGATTGCCCTTTGGTGACATTCTTTGTTTTCACTGCCCTGATTATGTATTGTCATATATGTATTAACAATATGTCCTGTAACCATTTCGAGGACTATGTGTGTTTCAGCAGTACGTCATGTGACCCCGTGGTGTACGAGAGTCTAGAGGAGTTCCATGTGTTTGTGCTAGCGCACGTACTGCAGAGACCAATCATTGTTGTTGCTGACACAGTCCTGAAGGACTCGGGAGGAGAGGCCCTGGCCCCCATACCATTTGGAGGGATTTATCTCCCCTTGGAGTGTGAGGCAAAGATGTGCTACCGCTCACCACTGCTGCTGACGTATGATGCTGCACACTTCTCCGCACTGGTTCCTATGGAGCAGGAGGTCTCCCCTGATGACAAACCATTTCTACCCAGTAAGTACCTTTCTAACATTGCCAACTTCATACCAGTAATCTTGTGTGCATTCGGATTAGGTCCCCAGCAACCCGTGCTTGTCATATAAGAGGTGGAATCCCTAGAGGATTTGGGTTAAGGATATAAGAGGTGGTGGAATCCCCAGCTTCCTGTGCTTTTCATTATTGATAATGGGTAGCCTAGTGAGTGTTCATACTGAAAATCTGAAATCATTCTCTCAGTCATTATATAAGATGGTGTCCCTGTTACAGTTGCGATTCCCCTGGTGGACCCAAGCTTCCAGCTGCTTCCACTTCACTTCCACATTGATCCTGGTCCACGGTATGACTGGAATAAAGTCAGCAGCAACAAGAAGGTGGCAGAGCTGACGTCGGAGGACAAACTGAACTTACTGCAGCAGTTCATGAATGTGGAGAAGCTTCAGATCCCAACCCTTGACACTGACTACGACAGCGATAAGCAGTCCTGTGGCTCCTATGAGTCTGATGACAGCGTAGGCTGTGTTGGAAACAAGGAAAAGAAAAAGGATGCCAAGGTGTCACAGCAGATGCACAGCGTGGCCAAACAGTTTGGGAGCATTGGTAAAAGTATGGGCAAGAAAATCAAGAAAAACTTTGGGAATATTGGTAAAGCCATGAAGAATATTGGTGACCCTGACAAAAGCAGTCGGCGCCAGTCTGTGGGGAGTGTTATCACTCAGAGTACTAAGGTTATTGCAACCATTGCTACTGATATTGGTCGCGATAGAGTGTGGTGTGCCAGGCTCAGTGTGAGCAGGACGAAGATGCAGCAGGAGCTCGTCAAGAACTATCTCCACACATCAGAACAACGCTTTCGAGAAGGACAGAGACTTGTGGCGGAAAAAGAATGAAGAGATTCGTAACCGAGTCAGCACCCATTCAATCGCCTCGACTGTGACCTGTGTAACGCCAGGCTGTCAGATGTTTGGTACAGCCGAGACTGCATATCTGTGTTCAAAGTGTTACTCTCAACAAAAGCAGGAAGCCATTGACAAGGAGAAGCAGCGAGGGCAGTTTGTGTATAATACTTTCCCAGGCAGGAACAAGGGGGTGGAAGAAGCGACCATTGTCAAGTTGGGAAAGTCCAAGTTCTACACTGGGGTAGAGGATTATGGTCCTGAGAAACCTGCTCTGCAGGATTCCAGACTGTCTGTTGTTGCTAACATGGACCGCCATCAGTCTCGCTCTGTTGGGGATGTGTCCCACATGGGTCAACATGGCCTGCATGCACGAACTCCGTCTCCTGACTATGACAATGTGGACTACAGGATTGCAGACCCTCAACACCAGAGAAGGTCCAGTTCAACTTATATTACTTCCAGTCAATCAGCTTCAAGACCTCCTACTGGTTTCAACCAATCAGCTGCAAGGCCTCCATCTGGTCTTAGCCAATCGGTTTCGCGGCCAACATCAGGTGTGAGCCAATCAGGTGTCCAAGTCCCAGCAGACCTGTCCCAGTCTAATCCTCGTTTGACCACAGGACCAGCACAGATTGGCCAGCGACAGTATTCAAGTAACAGATGTAGAAATGATGGTTGTGATTTTTTTGGGAGTCCTGAGTTAGATCATTACTGTTCTGGGTGTTACAAACAAAGGCAACAGTCCATGCACACACAGGCCCGAGCTCAGACTCGACTATAGCCCAGCTGATGGGGACCACAGCTCATTTAGGCCTCTCACAATGTGCTACCGGGCGGTGTCATCTTTATACAGTTTGGAATATTTTCTCATATTTTTAACTAATCCTGCACTACTTACTTCCTGCATCTATTGCTTATGACTCGAAACGTGGCTGTGCCAGACGATTGATGTTGAAAAGCGTAGACTGTGATCTCTTCCTGGTCTCGGGTAAACATCCGTCAGCACATGCATCACTGGAAGGTGACGTCAGCCACCTTGTAAGGTTGTATTCCCCTCCCCTCCGGCTTGGGGAATACAACCTTACTCGGGACTGATAAAACCCCGTATTTCCCTTGACACGATGTGATAATTTATAATGTCAGTTAAGGAGTAACACTTGGATAGACTCAGGTCCATGCCTCTTACTGCATTCCCTAAAGCTAATAATGCTTTAAGAATCGTGTGGCCTTTTGCATTTAAGAGTATATGGCTTATATGCAAATGACCACAGATGTAATCCCTCTCTGTCGACCAGATTCCACGATCGAAGGTGTCTTCGTTCATGATATTTCTTCCCACGAGGCATGATGTCGCTGTGTGGGAAAAGAGTTGTTCCGAGGGAAACAACTGGGTGTGTCAGTTAAGGAGCAACACTTTGAAAACTCAAGTCACTGCTTTTTACTGCATTTCCCTAAAGCAAATCTCGCTTCAAAAATCGCGTGGTCTTTTTCATTTAAGCCTACATGTCTTATATGCGAATTACCACTGAGAGATAGTCACTGTCTGTTGACTATGCTTTTTCTTCCCATGAAGCACGCCGACGACGTATGGGAAAAGAGTTGTTCCAGAATAACTGGGTGTGTCAGTTAAGGAGTAACGCTTAGGTTAACCCGAGTCACTGCTTTTTACTACATTTCCCTAAAGCTAATAACGCTTTAAAAATTGTCTGGTATATTCCATTTAAGACTATGTGTCTTATATGCGTATTACCACTGCCTGATCGTCACTCGCTGTCCGATCTAGGTGTGACAGCGGTTTTCCACCACCAAGGCGCACTTGATAACATTGACTGAGCTGTCTTTGTTTACCTTGCGAGGCGATCCCCACAGATGACACACCCTCCATCCTGCCTGTCCGATAAATGTGCAGGAAGTAAGTAGTGCAGGATTAGTTAAAAATTTAGTAAAATCTAAATATTTTTTATATTTGTATACTTATCCTGCACTACTTATGATAAGGGCCCACCCTGCGCTTTCAGCTACCTCCACTCTTTGTTTTCATCTGTGGGATTTACGGCAATAATCAGAGGTGGCTGACATCACCTTCTGGTGATGCGTGCGCAGATGGATGTTTACCCGAGACCAGGAAGTGATCAAAGTCTACGCTTTCAACATCAATCGTCTGGCACAGCCACATTTCGAGTCGTAAGCAATAAGTGCAGGAAGTTAGTAGATTTTACTAATTTTCCTAATATACAAGAAACTTGTGGAGCAAGAGTGATTTGTTTTGATGATTTTGTCTTAATTAATCCTACGAAAAGTAATGAAGAAAGTTAGGTCATTACTGTGGGCTGTATTTGTCTTGAGTTTGGTGATTGTTACACACTTTAAACATTTCTCTGTTTGAATAATAATCTTTGTCATCTGGCAAGCAAAAGTGAAACTGTACACTGTAGCCCAAAGCCAACATCTAAGTAAGTTAATGTCAGCCCTGGTTGCCCGCTCTCCGAAGCCTGCTGGAGAAGCCCAAATGAGCTGATGGAGCACTGTGCCTGAGATACAGCCCTTCGAGAAGCCTTCACAATCCTCAGGCCAACTCCTCGTAGACACTGGTAGCATTATGTTGTGGAAGTGCATCGTCAATGCAATATCATTTCAAGGTTTCTACAGCAGAGTTACTATGATTACCACTGTTGGTATTTGCAAGAACATTGCATGCACTGTATTTGTAGAGTAGAGATCAATTCTGTATTTTAACATGTTCAAAGGAATCCACTTGTGTGTCCATGATTCTTGTCCCTTTATGCCTGTGTTCTGAAATGATTTTATGAAGCTTTTATTAACAGAATTTATGTTTACACAACATAATAATTTCAGCCTACATATTTACATATGTTGTATATGAAATGAGTGTACAGTTAGTGTTGTATATAGCATGTCTGGCCTGTGTATATACCTGTGTATATTTATTGGTGTGTCATTGTTTTACTTGCCTGGTTTGCGACACGGCTGGCAAGCTACTGCAATCTCACTCCCGCTGATGTACAATTCACATTAACACAGCCCCTTCCCAGTGCAGTGGCAGTTTTAAGAACCATGGGCTTAAGATAGTCATAGCACAAGGATGGGGCCCTGGTGTGTTATAGATAGAAATCCAGTCACACATGGTTTAGAATGATGTAAAGGGAAGGGGTAAGGTTGACCTGTGATGGTAGCATATTAGTGTTTTATATTTATTGATCCTCACATACTCCTCTGTTCACTTATTGATATATATTGGTTTACATTATTCATTTACCATGTGGAAGGAAAATCAGATTTTGAGAGAAAATCTTTAATACTGCATGATACAATTATCAAGTAAAGCCAAACGTAGTTATGGTATTTGGTACTGTTATTCATGTTACCATGGTTACAAGAGAGCATGTTAATGTTTTTTCACACATTTGAAGCCATGGAGACAAAATGATTGTAATACGTGGTGGATTTGGGAATGTCAATCTATTCATATGGTACTTGTGGACTGTATGTACATTATGCTGAAACCTACCATTCATACAGGGTCTGCCATACTCACAACATTCAACATTGAAGCAGACTGGTTTTATATTTATTGTTTCATTTGCTGAAAGCCACATGAAACCAAAGATTTAAGGAGTCTGTAGTTTTGTACAAAGATATTGTGGACTACATTCAGACATATCATCGAGTTATTTTGGAGATGCTTCATTGACATATTTACCCCATTGTCTGCTGTCAGCTAGAGCTAGGGTATTTACCCCATTGTCTGCTGTCTACTACAGTGGGGGAATTTACCCTATTGTCTACCACTACGGCTAGGGCCTTTACCCCATCACCTACTGTCTACTACAGCAATGGTATTTACCCCATTGTCTACTGTCAACTTCAACTAGGGTATTTACACCATTGTCTACTGTCTGCTACAGCTAGGGTATTTACCCCCATCATCTACTGTCGACTACAGCAGGGGTATTTACCCATTGTCTACTGTCAGCTACACCTAGTGTATTTACCCAAGTGTCTACTACAGCTAGGGTATTTACCCCATCGTCTACTGTCTACTACAGCTTGGGTATTTACCCCATTATCTACTCTCTGCTACAGCGGAGGTATTTACCGCATTGTCTACTGTCTACTACAGCGGAGGTATTTTCCACATTGTCTGCTGTCTGCTACAGTTGATGTATTTACCCTTTTGTCTTCTTGTGAACAGTCAACAGTCTGATATATTAACTGTTTCATACAGCATCTTTGAAAGTACTTTGATATGTGGAGCTGAGATCTAACAATATATATGTAAGCTCACAGTTGACCCATTTGTCTCAGGCAATTCTCCGTTGGGTTGTGATGGAGTTTCCCGGCCCCTGACCTCCAACAATGAATGGCCATGTTGTGATGTACCAGTTGGATGTACTTATCACTCTCAGTCCACCTTGTTCTCGTCATCCATCAGTGGACTCTCAGGTCAAGGGGCATCTCTTAGCTTCCAGCTGTGTCTGGGTCATGGTTGTTGAAAATGGTTGAATCACCATTAAAAGGATTATTTGACAGATTGTTTGTTGTCCACATTTTGGAATGTCCCTTGACATATTACCACCTATTGAACCATTCATTATCATGAATCTGAATCTGTAGAGCTCGGCAGATCATATATCTGGAGAATATAGTGTATAAATGTCTTGTAATGTAATTTCAACTAAGGACATCGTGCTGTCACTATTCTCTACTATGATATTACTATGTTAGATCTCTGTACTAAAGGCGTTACTGTAGTTGTGAGGCTGAGTGTGCTGTGGGGAATGGGGAATCATTTCAGTGTTACTTATTACTGTCTCATCAGAATCATTCTGTCATGTTGGTGATTGATCCTTGAGTAACCAAAGTAACTGTTCTAGGATTGTGTATATTTTCATAAAAGTTTTAAAAAATAGGCATTAAATGATGACTGATAGCACATCTTACATATGGGAACAAACGACTGGCTTTGCTGTTTGACTTGCATCTGGCGAGGGAATATTTGAAACAACTGTATCTTTACATGTTAGTGAGATGTATGTATGTGTGTTGTACACACGCTCATGCCGCCACAATGTATACATGTTGATATTCACTGAACATATCAGCTTTGCTCAGGGGACGCTGGGTTGAGGGAGGGCTACAATGTTTATTGTGTGGCCTGTGTTTTATCCTAGTCAGGCTGTTAACTGTCAACTTTTGCCCCAATTGATATTCACAAAACATCAACTTACACTAGAAATAACAATCAGAAAAGTACATGTACTGGAAACACGCAAACTCTTTTCTTGACCTGTGTGTGTGTCATCAGCATGGTAATCAGGTCACTGTGTACCTAACCTGTGTGTCACCAGTGTGGTTATCAGGTCACTGTGTACCTAACCTGTGTGTCACCAGTGTGGTAATCAGGTCACTGTGTACCTAACCTGTGTGTCACCAGTGTGGTAATCAGGTCACTGTGTACCTAACCTGTGTGTCACCAGTGTGGTTATCAGGTCACTGTGTATCCTAACCTGTGTGTCACCAGTGTGGTAATCAGGTCACTGTGTACCTAACCTGTGTGTCACCAGTGTGGTTATCAGGTCACTGTGTACCTAACCTGTGTGTCACCAGTGTGGTAATCAGGTCACTGTGTACCTAACCTGTGTGTCACCAGTGTGGTAATCAGGTCACTGTGTACCTAACCTGTGTGTCACCAGTGTGGTAATCAGGTCACTGTGTACCTGACTCGTGTGTCACCAGTGTGGTTATCAGGTCACTGTGTACCTAACCTGTGTGTCACCAGTGTGGTAATCAGGTCACTGTGTACCTGACTCGAGTGTCACCAGTGTGGTAATCAGGTCACTGTACCTAACCTGTGTGTCACCAGTGTGGTAATCAGGTCACTGTGTACCTAACCTGTGTGTCACCAGTGTGTGTCAATCAGTGTGGTAATCAGGTCACCATTGTGGTAATCAGGTCACTGTACCTAACCTGTGTGTCACCAGTGTGGTAATCAGGTCACTGTACCTAACCTGTGTGTCACCAGTGTGGTAATCAGGTCACTGTGTACCTAACCTGTGTGTCACCAGTGTGGTAATCAGGTCACTGTGTTCCTAACCTGTGTGTCACCATTGTGGTAATCAGGTCACTGTGTTCCTAACCTGTGTATCACCAGTGTGGTAATCAGGTCACTGTGTACCTAACCTGTGTGTCACCAGTGTGGTAATCAGGTCACTGTGTACCTAACCTGTGTGTCACCAGTGTGGTAATCAGGTCACTGTGTACCTAACCTGTGTGTCACCAGTGTGGTAATCAGGTCACTATGCAGGAGGTGATGTCAAGATGACAAGGTGTGGCTCATCAGGTCTCCTTAGGGAAATTGTTGGGATAGAAGTTCGACATGTTGGATGGTTGCATTCAGGGTAAGGATGCCACACACTGTGTATCTTTAGCATCTTTTGGATCTATCATATAGATAGTGCTCTTTGAAATTACAGCATGATCTTTACCTAAAGTCTCACTGAATCCTCCCTGGTTATCCAGTATGTTATGTTTCAACTCTGTTGTGATAAACACCAAGGAAGCAGTTGTCTGTCACTCTGCATCTGTGTTGGCAGCATAATAAATAGCACTCTCCCACAAGTGGAAGGGTTTGTGTTGGTCATCTATATAAACATAATCATTCGAGCAGTAAGCACTTGCTACTCCCAGAACAAATCCTGGTGCTTCAACGCAGATGTGTTACAAGCTCTGTCACCCAAGTTGTTGTGCTCAGAGCTCTGAGTGGATCCTGGTTGTGTCCCTTCACACAGTTACAATACTCGGTGCTAAGACAGGTTAGCACATGTATGATTGATGTTCTTCATCCTAGACTTACAACACTTGGTGCTAACATTGTTTAGCACTACTGTTTGCTTAACTGCTATACTTTACCTTAGGCAGAAGATAGTTTTTTGCACAATGTATAATTGTTGTGTTGAACTGGTTCCTGATCTGTACATTGACCAAGATGACTGACTACTTTTCACTGGTGTTGCCCTGAAGGTGTGGCTATGAAAATGTGTCAGCCTGGCGGTGTGTCCGTGATGATGCCCTGCTGTTGCTGATGCCCGAAGTCAGGGCAGTAGATGGTGGATAGTGATGGTTCAGCGTTATACAGGTGTATCATCATTATCTAGCTTGTAGAAACTGAACATAATTTCTCAAAAATGGGAGTTTCTACATTCCTGTTGTGTTTCAGCTCGTTTGATATTTGAACAGGGTTGTTGATGCTTGTCGACATCACACATGTTGAGGGATTCAAATGTTGAACAATGGAGATATTCAAGCATTTACTGTATATTTTCAATTATTTCAATATCTTCCTACTTTCTATCTTAATAGTACTGTTTTACATCTAGTGTTGTTTTACAATGATGATGTGCCCTCCAAAGATGTCAGAGAACATCTTCTTTGACACCCCTCTCTAGTCATATCTTGATCATCTGATACCTGTATGCTCAACATAACTGTTCAAGTAGATGACAGTAGGTACCCATAGCCCTTGTGTAACAAAACTGCAAACCTATACATGTTAATCTGCGTGGGAACAGCGTCAAGTCCTGTTCGCCCATTTCACGAAGTGATCTTCACAGAACTCTGTGTTAAAGTATGGACATCAGGATCCTCCAGCACTAAGATCAGTCTGTTGAATCCTGAATGCCGGTGTACAACCTTAGAGCTACATACATCAATGTGACGGTATAGGAGTTATGATCACCGGAACACCAAGATAGCATTGAACAACCCTGGTCACTAAGACCAGTAGTCTGTTGAAGCCTGATGGATGACGGGCTAGGAGCTGTGTTGGCCATTGTTACTAGACGATTTTACTTTAAATAGGTGTGCTGCACAGTACACCCAAATATACAGGACTTGTAAGGAAACTACACTGCACTACACTGCCGCCATTAGATTACCCTACAGGAAATTAATTAGTAAAAGCCTCACTCATTGAAGTAGAGTCAGATATGAAGTTGATGAAGCTAACAGATCTAGAGTGGCCATCATTCAGAACAGATTTTGGAATATATGTACTGGATAATCCAAGTGGCTGTGTCCCTCATAAAATCAGTCTTTCCATTAGGTGATCTTCATGCATTGATATTCATGAGTGGAACTTTGGGAGTTATGATAGCTGGGGTGCAAAGATTGCTTTGGGGCCAAGGTAAAGTGGAAGAGGTGTTCCAGATTTGTACTCAGTCTGCCACCTGTGGAGAGGGCCATGCTTGTAGTTCTGGTACAAGCTGTGATTACTTCTTGTCTTCATGGATGCCTCATCGGAGATGGAAGCTGGTGTATATTGTTGTTTACAGGAATCATTTGGCTCCAGGCATCATGGTGGATGCATGGTTTATACACAATCATCCTTGTATTCAGCAGTGATGATGACTGAAGCTTCTCAAGTTGAGACATGTGGCTGTATTTATGACTATTGCTTTGAATTATTTATGTATGTTGATATATATATTTGTTCTACATTGTTTAATTATAATGTGTTGATTCTATACTGATATCATATCATGGTGCTTTCTTTTCCTTTTAAGATTTATTATCATTTGTAAAATTTCTTTTGACATATCATGTAGATATGGTGAACCTGTTATATTGCTTGTTTAAGAACAGTTTGTTTTCACCTATTGTCTGGTATGAGAGTTGTTTGTTCTGAAGCGGTTGGCATGTCAACTTTTATCGGAAGTTATTAATGCAACGAAACTTACATTTCAGCTTTAATTGTTGATGCCACAACCCCTGTGCATACTTGTATAGCAGACTATTGTGTTGTGATGGTGTATATGCCAGGGTCAAGGTCATGGGTAGTCATGTTAAACTATTCTGTGGACCAGGAATTGCTTTGCCACAAAGAGTCCCAAGTCTCAGAAAGATGCCGTTACCTGTACTGTGTTGATCTGCCTACTCAGTCTGTGTTGGCAGAACTTACGTTTGTGTTTTCTAGGTCAGTGCTTTCATTTAACATGAACTTCATGTTGGAGATCGGTCTACCATAATTAACATGATTAATATATTTCCCTCAAAACCAAAACACTTCTTTTTAGAATAGTTTGTGAGGATTTCAGTGGAGAGTGCATTCATTTACTATACCCGTGGTCACTGTATGGAAAAGGAGGCATCTATTCTTTGACTTGACCAGATGTGTTTGTTCTAGTTACTTCTCTGTGTTTCAATACAGAATGTAAATCCTGCAATGCATTCAACAGCTGTTGTATTCAATTATTGAGTCCATGTGACCCGACTGTGTTGTTAGTCCAGTGAATTGTCTCCGTTCTGTGACGATTAACACCATGGACCCATTATTTGTTTCAGAAGTCACCATTTTTATCTCTCTTGTCACTAGCTGAATGCATAATTTCTCTTGCTCATGAGTTTGACATCTACATCTTCAACCAGTATAACTGATTCTTCTGGGCATAATTTCGACACATATTTACTTCAGCAGCAAACCCTGCTACACTCAGGTAAAATAAACGGATAAAAAAGAAATGTATTGCTGGAAAAGATGTTTTGTAAGTATTAAGAACATCTTTACACCAGTCATGAGAAATTTCAAGTTGATTGGACAGATGTGTTTAATGTCCTTGGTGTTGGTGTTAAATGGGTCCTGTGTATATCTAATAGAATGGAGACTTACTTGTCAATAATGTTAGGACCTATACAGAAAAATTAGAATAGCTATCAAAGCAGTTTTTTAACATCAGTCATGTCTACTTGTCCTCTGTCTGCTTCTAAAACAGGAGATACTGGTTAGCAGAGGATGATCAGTGGAGTCCTTCATGTGTCCAGTGTTGTGTTGCTGTAGCATCTGTGTTGAGTGCACACCTGTACATAGGGCACGACGGCAGCCAACTGTTGATTCTGTACTATGCACACTGTTATGCTAAGTTGATCCATCCATAGTCTACTGCTGGGATAAGTGACATGTATTTCTTACACCAGCTCCATCTTGAGGCCATCTTGGCTCACTTTGTCCGGTAGAGCTGACTGTGGATGACTGGAGTGGAGATTGCTTGAAGGTGGAGCTGAAATATTTTGTTTTGATAACTTTAGGGAGGGGATGTTACTTATGCCTTGTCAAGAATACGGAAGCTTGACACATCTTTGTATAATTTGCTCTTTAAATATATTTCATTGTATTAATACATAAACATTAGTTCAAGTTCATATTGACAATTAAGCATGCACCTTAGTGAATGGCAGATTCAAGTGTTATAAAAATCATCATATCTGCCATCCTTGCCTCTCCCATGGGTTCAGAGTTGATGTTGAACAACATTTTGTCTGCTGCTTGTTTTGTCCTAAGTTTGTGTAATATGAACAGGAGGAACCTTTCTGTCAGGAAGCACCTGGTATTTCGCCTCGAAGCTTCTTGATGATGTGTCATGTGAAGGATCCACACCTGACTTCACTGGGGCCCTAGAAATGCTTCAGTTTGGTTTGGCTACATAAAAATACAACTCACGTGATTACACTTGTAATTGTCAACATTTCATGTTTAATGTTCTCTGATCTCATTAATAATACAACTGTAAAGCAATATTTGAACTCTTAGTGCTGATAATAGGTTTCCCTCCATGAACTTCTGGCAAGGTTTGATGTACAGGCAAGTCCCATGTGGGGCTCCACCAAGTGGTCCTTGCAGGGTAGGACCCTAGGGATCTCAGGACCAATGGCACCCAGTTATAATGGAAACATCTGACTGACACACCTGACAAGTCAGCCCACCTGATTGGCCTGTGGTGGAAGTAGAGCACCAGGCTTCACACACAATCACAGACTGGCAGCGCCTGGAAAGAAGGGACTTGGCTGTGTTTGGTTTCATATCCCCAAACCCATGCAATCTCTGCACTTGCTGAATGACAGGAAATCATGGTTCTTTATTCTATGTTATGTTTGCTGCTGTTATTTTCCTGCTTTATTGAAAACAATATGCTGTTTACTTAAAACTTGTTGAGTGAATACAGAACATATTGAACGCCTGTGCTGCAATCCGAAGGTTCTGAGAACCTCAGTTGTTTGGGAGTTGGGAGTTCAGTACACTGGGGTTACTATATCCTAGCTATTATGAAATCCTGTAGACATGTTCCAGCTATCAACACTGGAACGGTGATAGTATGAGCGTGGGCCTTGTGAGGACAGCGGAAGATGGAAGACACAACTCAGGGTCCACTTGACACCTACCCCTGCAAACTTGTACATACGGTAGCGAGACCCTGACAGAGGTGGGGTTACCATGGTTACGTAGAAGTGCTTTGTTCCACATCACCACCAGCTTTGTGTATACAGCATCAGAGTAGGGAAAACAGGCCTGATGCCATGGCTGCAGCAGTGAACCATCGGGTGATTTGTAAGTTCTGTTGACTTTGCAGCTTTGTTTTTAACATATACAGCAAGTTCTTAATAAATATCAGTTTGGTAAGAAGCTGTTTGTCATTTGTTGATTTTACTTACTTTTTGCTGAAATGAAGAAACAGCAGTAAGTTGAAAAGTGGTGGTTAAAGATCACTCTCTGATGGTGTTGCAACATTCTATGCAGAGTTGTCTCCCTTTGTTCCACAGGGCAACCAAATTGGCTCTGATCACTGACATAGCACCATCCTGGATTTCACCACAGCGAGTATGCATCCCATTTCCTTACAACCCACGTTGTTTAGACATACTTGTGAAATAAATAATTGTGAATATCATTACATACTGAAGACAAAACATTACTCATAAATATTTCAATTTAATACAAAACATTGACCATGTTTACAGAGAAAGTACATTTATGCCCTACAGAATAATACACCGCTGAATGTTTGAGGTTCCTCCTGATGCTGATACACCGGGTACCACCGGGTACCACTAGGGTAGTATCAGTGAGATACTGAGAGCCTCGACAGCAAGTTAATATCTTCATCACATGCACTACACTGGGACCAACTCTATATTTCACACATCTAAATACTCACACCATGGAAACGTAATTCCATATATCCACGCTAACAGCCTCTAATTATCCCCAAGTTCACCTTCAGTAATATGTTGTCATGCATTGGATAAACTACAGTGAAACCCTGATAGTCTGGAAACCCCTCACATCTGGACAAGCTCAGAGCAGTCCTCTATTTGGAAACAGACAAATCCAGTCCTGGGGAACCATCTCATCTGATCCATTAATTCATTGCATTATGGCAAACACTGAGGACTTTCAAACTCAAAAACATAAATATATCAGTATTATGTACTAGACTTGCAGAGTGACATTTGGCACAGGTCTGCTTACATTTTGGCAATCTCAGTGTAAAAATAATAAGAATGAAAAGTACATGTGCCTGACAGATTTTGAGGATATTGCAATGATAGAAATATGCTATGCAGAATAATAAGACATGTCCAAAACACTGAATGGCGAACAGTGTAACCTTCTTTAACCAGCGAGTTACCATAGAAATCCACACATCTAATCCACAAGCAACAAGTACTCAACCCCAGAGAACTCGCATTCAGAGAACTGTTTCGTGTTCAAACTTTAACATGCATATCTAACAAATATGGTATATATACACACTGGTAAATGTCAGTTAAACAAATCACTACATGCTGACATTCCTTTCAAAGTATGACCAGTAACCAGGCAACATGACCCAGGTACAGGTGCCCCCAATGACGATATAGAGACTGTTGAGAACATATTGTCTATTGAAAATATAAATGTTCCGTATGAAACAAATGAAAGTGTGTGCTGTTTTTACCAATACTCCAGCAAACATCATGGAGGAAAACACCAGAAATGGGCATGTACAATGTACTCTTTGATGGTGTCGAACCCGAGTATGTGGTGTGATGAGCGAACACTTTAACAAGCAGACTCAGATACTTAATGATGTGTGAGAAGAAACAGAATGATGAAATGGCGTCAGTCTCATTCTGTAAATATTTTATGTCTTCTCTTAATGGGATATTTTTCATTCAAAAGAACTAAAAATGTATGCATAATAATGATAATTGTACAAAGTAGTCAATATCCCTGACAATCGTAAATACTAGTCAAGAATACAACAAGTTATACTGAGCACATACCCACTCCAACTTTTTGTCTAAGTCAAAGTTGTTGCCTTGAAAACTTTATTTTTTGGTAAACATCAAGTTTTCAAAAGGCACCAGTTCATCTACCTATGTGTCAATTTTGGGGAATATGTATTTTGTGGTTTTCAAGAGATGCCTTTTGAGAGCTTTGTCTTGAAGCCCCATCTTCTCCCAACAGTCTGTTCTCCCTGCCTAACAACTATCTTCTGTCCATCACAAAAAAATCTGATTCACGAAGACTTGTCAGCGTTGAACAAAAGCATGTTTTTGCAACACATGAATTTGTTGGGTTTTTTGTAAGCTTTTTTTCTTGGAATATCACATTTGTGGGAGAATCATTTAGTTTGAAACCACATGCGAGATGTAGCACTATAACTGTACTTGGTACAAAAGGTCTCACAACATGAACTTTTTAATCAGCCAGTCATCATAAGGCTTCTAAATTCCTGGTACCAATGGCAGAAGATGACAGTGCCAGTTTATTGCTGTGGATACACCTATTATAATGCCCACCACACCAAAACTAGAGTGTAATCAACAGGCTCTAGAACCATACGTCTCTCATTTAGATGGGCAGTCACCTTTCCATGGATTTGAGAGGTACAAATCAAAGTAAACAACTCATTTGAAGGAAACTGTTTTTTTCTGGAGAAAAGTTGTCTGTTTATCATTGTTTGGGTGGAGGAGCGTGGGACAGATCAAGCAGCCCGGCCATCGCTACTGATGGCAGGAGGACGTTCTGTATGTACATGTAAGGGTTATTGTAGTCATTGGCCTGGGCTTCCAGCATGCTTGGGTTGTTGTAGTAGTCAGCCTGCTGATGCTGTTGTTGTTGCTGCTGTTGCTGTTGGGCCCGGTTGTCCACTACAGTTTCTGCACCAATAGGTGGGGGAGGAGGGGCATTGTGATGGTATGCCACCATGGACGGCTGCATAGTCACTGTTTCATAGACCATATTATGCTGCTGCTGCTGCTGCTGTTGTTGTTGCTGTTGCTGCTGCTGTTGTTCCTCCCCCATGTGTGACGCTACTTGCTGCTGCTGTTGCTGCTGTGGAAGGCTGTATATGGGAGCTTGCGAGCTGTGAGCTGCATCCGTCATCTGGTCCGAAACGACATTCATAATAATGGTCTCATGGTCAGGAGCCACAGAGGTCACAGAAGTAACGATTGGTATTTGCTTTAGTTTGTACATTCGTTTCTTGGCTGGAGGAGATTTTATTGCCTGTTTGATCGCATTCGCAGCATCAAGGACTGCGACTTTTCTAACGGGTGGAAGTGACTCTTCATCGCCGTGCACCATCCTCATGTGACGTCGGAGATTGTACATGCGCCCAAATGCCGAGCCACACCAGCACTTATGGTCCTTCGTCTTCTCATGTGTCTTGATGTGGCGCCTAAGGGCATTCTTAGCCTTGAAGGACATGTGACACTCATGGCACGGAAAGTCCCGGATCTCGGTGTGCTTGTACTTGTGGTGCATCTCCAGCGTCTTCTTGGCGTGGAAGGCAGCACCACACACTTCACAGATGAAGTTGCGAAGATTCTCAAAGTGAAGTGCAATGTGCCGCTTGAGGTTATTCTGTTCGCGACACTTGTAGCCACAATACTGGCAGGTGTGGGGCTTGTCCCCTGTGTGGTAACGGATGTGGCGCTGCAGAGCCTGTTTCCTGTAAACGTGGAACACATTTACACCATTATTTACAGTGTGTATTCACATTTACACCATTATATACAGTGTGTATTCACATTTACACCATTATTTACAGTGTGTATTCGCATTTACACCATTATTTACAGTGTGCATTCAAATGTTGGTATACCTTAAATCAGAAAGATGGCTGTTTTCACAATGGTGTTATAATACAGTGAATTGCTTTTAGTCGGACAGCAGTGTAGGCAGACTCCTGATGGAGTTTGGAAGACAAACAACTGGCAAGTTTCTAAAGAATCGAACACACTGGGAAATGGTTGTGGTGAATACTAACATGTTGGGTAAAATTAGTCCATACTGAGTGAATACAGTCCATACTTGATGAATACAGCCCATACTGGGTGAATACAGTCAATACTTGATGAATACAGCCCATACTGGGTGAATACAGTCAATACTCGATGAATACAGTCCATATTTGGTGCAGTCAATACTTGATGAATACAGTCTATACTGTGCATACAGTCAATACTTGATGAATACAGTCCATATTTGGTGCATACAGTCAATACTGGATGAATACAGCCCATACTGAGTGAATACAGTCAACACTTGATGAATACAGTCCATATTTGGTGCATACAGTCAATACTTGATGAATACAGTCTATACTGGGTGAATACAGTCAATACTTGATGAATACAGTCCATATTTGGTGGATACAGTCAATACTTGATGAATATAGCCCATACTGGGTGAATACATTCAATACTTTATGAATACAGTCCATATTTGGTGCATACAGTCAATACTTGATGAATACAGTCTATACTGGGTGAATACAGTCCATACTGGGTGAATACAGTCAATACTTGATGAATACAGTCTATACTGGGTGAATACAGTCCATACTGGGTGAATACAGTCCATACTTGATGAATACAGTCCATATTTGGTGAATACAGTCAATACTTTGTGAATACAGTCTATACTGTCTGAATACAGTCAATACTTGATGAATACAGTCCATATTTGGTGCATACAGTCAATACTTGATGAATATAGCCCATACTGGGTGAATACAGTCAATACTTGATGAATACAGTCCATATTTGGTGCATACAGTCAATACTTGATGAATACAGTCTATACTGGGTGAATACAGTCCATACTGGGTTACTACAGTCAATACTTGATGAATACAGTCCATGTTTGGTGAATACAGTCAATACTTGATGAATATAGCCCATACTGGGTGAATACAGTCAATACTTTATGAATACAGTCCAATACTTGATGAATACAGGTGCATACAGTCAATACTTGATGAATATAGAATACAGTCTATACTTTATGAATACAGTCCATATTTGGTGCATACAGTCAATACTTGATGAATACAGTCTATACTGGGTGAATACAGTTCATACTGGGTGAATACAGTCAATACATGATGAATACAGTCCATATTTGGTGAATACAGTCAATACTTTGTGAATACAGTCTATACTGTCTGAATACAGTTAATACTTGATGAATACAGTCCATATTTGGTGGATACAGTCAATACTTGATGAATATAGCCCATACTGAGTGAATACAGTCAATACTTGATGAATACAGTCCATATTTGGTGAATACAGTCAATACTTTGTGAATAAAGTCTATACTGTCTGAATACAGTCCATACTTGGTGAATACAGTCCATACTGGGATAATATTGCCAATACTGGGTGAATAAAGTTACTCCTGGATCATAGTGTCTACACTGGGGGATATGCAGCCTCCACTGGGGTAATACCGCTAATACTGGGGAAATACTGTCATTCCTGGGTAAATACTTTCTATATTGGGTAAATACTGTATACACAGGGGAAATACTGATACTATTTAGAGAATGCTGTCTTCACTGGGATTTACTGTTTACAATGCATGTTTGGCAACATTCTGTCAGTGTTGACACACATTCCATCATTTCCTGTTACCACCATAAAGGGAATACATCCCATCATGAAATTACATGATAGCAATCAAGGAAAGGTTTTTAATTTGGGATGACAAACTCTAAAACCCACATTTCTAGTGAGGACAATTAAACAACAATGGCATCTATCTAATTCCTATCATATACAAACATACTCGAGGTAACATACCAAATATATCACAAAAAAAACCATGTTCCAAAAGTAATGATGACAGCCTACAGTTGAGTCCATGTTAAGGAGAGTTACCTGAAGTAAGCTTTGCCACATTCTGAACACAGATACTTCTTCTCCTGTGTGGAGAGTCCAGCCTTCAGACAGTGATTGTAGGTCTGTCGGTGTTTAGCAAGGGCCTTGGTTGTCCGGAGCGACAGCTGACATGTGGCACACTCTAGTGGCCGCTCCCCTGAAACACACAGGCATATACACTCTTGAAAACAATAGTAGGGATTCATGAAAAGTAAAGGGATATGTGTCTAAGGCCTCCAGGTGTAAATTGGCTAAAGTCTCTGATTAGCAGATTACATAACAGGCACTAACCAATCCTCAATCAACCTCATTCAGCCCCGAGTCCCAGGACAGTGCCAACACTACAGGATCCACTGATCCAAACCAGGCTGTAGGAAATTCCACTCAAATGGCAAATCAGCTAGCTGCAAATTCTTATCAGGCAACTGGAGTACAAGTTATGGGATTGATGACTGGAAATCGTCCACAGTCTGGATGCTGAGTGACCTACTCTCTAGATCCAGGTGTGGATAAATAAATGCATGTATCCATGGGTGGAATGAGTGAGTGACGTACGTGTATCTATCCACGGGTGGATGAGCGATTGACCCACCTATGTCTACCACGGGTGGATGAGTGATTGACCCACCTATGTCTACCACGGGTGGATGAGCAATTGACCCACCTGTATGTATCCATGTATTGATGAGCGAGTGACGCACCTGTGTCTATCCACGGGTGGATGAGCGATTGACCAACCTATGTCTACCATGGGTGGATGAGCAATTGACCCACCTGTATGTATCCATGTATTGATGAGCGAGTGACGCACCTGTGTCTATCCACGGGTGGATGAGCGATTGACCAACCTATGTCTACCATGGGTGGATGAGCAATTGACCCACCTGTATGTATCCATGTATTGATGAGCGAGTGACACACCTGTGTCTGTCCACGGGTGGATGAGCGATTGACCCACCTATGTCTACCACGGGTGGATGAACGATTGACCCACCTATGTCTACCACGGGTGGATGAGCGATTGACACACCTGTGTCTATCCACGGGTGGATGAGCGATTGACCCACCTATGTCTACCACGGGTGGATGAGTGATTGACCCACCTATGTCTACCACGGGTGGATGAGCGATTGACACACCTGTGTCTATCCACGGGTGGATGAGCGATTGACCCACCTATGTCTACCACTGGTGGATGAGTGATTGACCCACCTATGTCTACCACTGGTGGATGAGCAGATTGACCCACCTATGTCTATCCAGGTGGATGATTGATTGACACACCTATGTCTATCCACGGGTGGATGAGCCGCATTGACTCGGGCCTATGTCTACCACGGGTGGATGAGCGATTGACCAACCTATGTCTACCATGGTGGATGAGCAATTGATGTCACCTGTCCATCCACAGGTGGATGAGCGATTGACCATCCTATGTCTACCACAGGTGGATGAGCGATTGACACACCTGTGTCTATCCACAGATGGATGAGCGATTGACCCACCTATGTCTACCACGGGTGGATGAGCGATTGACAAACCTGTGTCTATCCACGGGTGGATGAGCGATTGACCCACCTATGTCTACCACGGGTGGATGAGCGATTGACCCACCTATGTCTACCACTGGTGGATGAGCGATTGACCCACCTATGTCTACCACTGGTGGATGAGCGATTGACCCACCTATGTCTACCACGGGTGGATGAGCGATTGACTCATCTATGTCTACCACTGGTGGATGAGCGATTGACCCACCTATTTGTACCACTGGTGGATGAGCGAGTGACCCACCTATGTCTACCACTGGTGGATTAGTGATTGACACACCTATGTCTACCACTGGTGGATGAGCGATTGACACACCTGTGTCTATCCACGGGTGGATGAGCGATTGACCCACCTATGTCTATCCATGGGTGAATGAGCAATTGACCCACCTGTGTCTATCCGCGGGTGGATGAGCGATTGACCCACCTGTGTATATCTATGGGTGGATGAGCGATTGACCCACCTATGTCTACCACGGGTGGATGAGCGATTGACCCACCTATGTCTATCCACAGGTGGAGGAGCGATTGACCCACCTGCATGTATCCACGGGTGGAGGAGTGATTGACCTACCTGCATGTATTCACGTGATGATTAATGTGTGACTAACCTGTGTGTATCCTCATGTGGATCTCCAACTGCATGGGACGCTGAAACTTCTTGAAACACACATAGCACTCAAACTTCTTCAGCTCTGGTTGTGGCAGGTCGCCATGGATGATGCGGCGGTGTCGCAGAAGCTCCTTGTTCCGGGTGAAGCACATGTTACAGTCAGGGCAGTCATACTTCCTGTGACCCACCAGATGCTGCAGATATTGCTGCTGTCGCTCAAACGTTGCCCCACATTTATCACAGTCAAACGATGCGGCCTTGTCGTGTTCAAGCATATGTTCCGTATATATGGCAAAGTCTTCACATATCTCTCCACACTTCAAACACACAAATGAAGTCTCAGCATGGGTCTTATAATGCATGAAGAGGGACACCTTCCTCACAAATGTCCTGTTACAGAACCGACAGATGTTCTTTGTGCTTCGCCCCATCACCTTGTTGTACTTCAGGTTGTGTTTTTCTAACATGTGCACCTTGCAATGCTTTTTCTTTGTGAACTTCTCACCGCATGAGGGACATGTATAACTGATGGCAGAGAGAGTCTGACAGTCGTGATGCAGAAGTTCTACCTCATTTTGCAGCTCCCGTTGGCAGTGTCGACAGGACAGGAGATTGTTGCCATGTGATCGAATATGAACAGCCATTGATTTGTAATGTTTAAACTCCATCCCACAAGCTTTGCACACAAACTTCTTCTTTTGAACATAGAGTCGCTTTGCTTTTGATGTATTAAATATGGATTTGATTTTACGTTTTTTCCTTCCCCTTCTCCGAGATCCAAGTGTGTCAGGTTTATCATCCGGCTCTGTATCGTCTGCCTCCATTGCCTTCTTCACCTCCATCTTCACCACAGCTGACTGTCTGGTTTTCCCAGTGCCAGGCGGCCTTCCCCGCTTGTTGGACGTTGGTTTGGGTTTAGGTACATCTTCAAAACTAGCAACATCATCCTCACAGTCAGAGTCAGCATAACTTTGACGCAACTTTGTCATCCTTCCTCGCGACGACACTTTAACTTCTTCAGTTGGTTTATGAACTGGAGGTGCAACATTCTGTTTTCTCCGGGGATTTGGTGACTTTTGAAACGTCCCCTGACGTCTTCGCTCCATCCTCCTGCTGATGATCTTTCTCTGTCTTCACGGGGACAGTCTCCGCCTTCACAGCACGGGTTTCAGTTTGACTGGATTCCGGAGTTTTGATCTGACCTCGGAGTTTCTGCAGGTATTCCTCCAGCAAGCCCACAGCATTCTCCCGTTCCCCTGATCCAAGTGTGGAGAAAACAGCTTCTATGCCAACAATCTGAAACAAATTTGAAAAATGTTCATTCATACTAGATGACACCACAATTCCACAGTACAGCAGCTGACCCTGACAGTTATTATCAGGGCAAAATCTTTCAATATCTCATATGCAAATATACCATAGTTAGTGGTGGTCCGATTAATTGAAATAATCGTAGGTTGGTTGCTGTGACTAAATGACCATTGTGTTTTTTTCATAATCGAACACAAACAATTTTGGAACACTTGTTTGCATTAACAATATTTTTCACAAGGTTGGTTTTGTCTGTGTAATTAAATTTACATTTCATAAGCAATACAAGTTCGTTCCAAGTCATGATTGATTTTTTCTTAAAGACTCCAGGAAATTATGTTCCTAACATACTAGTAATCCTTTAAAGATGTGAAATTTGCAAATGCATTTGTGCAGTTTGCAAAAAGGAAACCAAAACATTTGTGCATTAACAAACATAACAGGAAATTTCGATAAATGGCGCAAACCAATTATTTTCTATGGTTGATTGGTTGTAATGAACCAATCATCAATTATGAGATTTTAACCAATTCCCAACACTAACCATAGTTAAAATGGCGGATACTAAAGTACTGTCGGAAATAGACAAAAACTGTATTTTCTCATTTATCTCTACAATTTATGTAATTGATAGTGTGCGACAATATTGTATTACAAAGGACACTTTTTAAATGCGTAATTTGAAATTAGACTTAGCTTCATTATTAACGATAGCTGGCATAATAAGTAATAACTTTCATGCTGAAACTATGAAGGATGTAGCTACCATGGAGTCTCACTGTCACTATAAAAAAGAAATAGATAGGAGGGTTCGTCTCAAAACCAGAACCTGGACGGGTGTCGCAGACGATCGTTGGGGTCGGGCTGGGGGATAGAGATATCAGCTAAGATAAGATAATCCTTTAGGGCAATTATACTGGGGAAGTACACGGCATGTCATAACAATCTACAGTCCTGTCGATCTTCGCGATTGGGTGGTCATGCCACCTATATATTTTGAGACATTTAATACGATGCGTTTCTATGGTTATCAGGTATCATACTCTTTTACATATCTTAACATAAACTTTATGAAAGAAAGACATGTAAGATGTTAATCAATAGATGAGACATAGTCAACAGACATGAAAAAGCACAAAATATCTTTGAGATGCCCCCTTGTGCCTGTAGGCAACACATGCATTTCATGCCAGGTGATTCGACGGTCCGTCGTCATACCTGGCTGAGCGACCAATTGGCATGAATAGTCTGATCTATTGTTTTTAGCAGCTACAGGTATTTTTTTCTAAGTTTTGCCCGATTTTACGAGTAAACATGCTTTTATGGATATCCTATTACGCATCCCACTGAATGCCAAGTTAGGCCGAAGTGGGTTATTTCGACATATGCTATTTGCAGTTGTGTAAATTTTAGGGATACAGAGTAACAGCCTAAAAACAGTTTTTTTTCTATTTCCAACAGTACTTTAGATGAATATTCAGAAGGTATAATTTCATCAGCATTCTTTGTTAATGGCATTATTGCCAGAACCAGGAACAGTTTTGAGCCCTTGGTTTTCAAAAAGATTTGACAACATAAAATTGGAAACCTAATGTCAGACTGTTCAGGTGTATCCCCCATACAGTTTGTTGTTTAATACCGCAGTCTCCAATATTTCACCTATATCTGAGTAGTCTAAAAATAATCCAGTTTGGACCGGATACACTAGTGGCTGTATCAAAACAACACTCTTGTGTGCAATTTTATTACTTTAGTGTGCACTGTCATGTAACCAGTGTGCAACACAATCTCTACAGTGTGAGATTTCATCTGTCCTGTGTGGAATTTCATCTCTAATGTGTGTAATGTCTTCTATATGCAATGCCATCCAGCCTGTATGCAATGTAATCTCTCCTGTGTGCAATATAATCTCTCCTGTGTGCAATATATCTCCTGTGTGTAATATAATCGCTCCTGTGTGCAATGTAATCTCTCCTATGTGTAATACAATGCCTCCTGAGTGAAATATATCTCCTGTGTACAATGTAATCTCTCCTGTGTGTAATATAATCGCTCCTGTGTGTAATATAATCTCTCCTGTGTGTAATATAATCTCTCCTGTGTGCAATGTAATCTCTCCTGTGTGCAATGTAATCTCAATGTTATCTTCCCTCTGCCCAAAGTCAACATTCAGAGGACCCGTGAAGATCCGGGTTAGAATTGATCTTCAGTAACCCATGCTTGTCATAAGAGGCGATTGACGGGATCAGGCGGTCAGACTCGCTGACTTGGTTGACACATGTCATCGGTTCCCAATTGCGCAGATCGATGCTCATGCTGTTGATCACTGGATTGTCTGGTCCACACTTAATTATTTACAGACTGCAGCCATATAGCTGGAATATTGTTGAGGGTTACGTAAAACTAAACTCTCTCACTCATTCAGTGGAGATGGCAAAGTCTACCAATATTTGACAGATGGATAGGTGATAAATAAACAAATGTTCATTTTTGGTTCAGGTGGTTGAAAATGCTTTATTTGCTGCATTCAATGTTTTCTATTGTTTACATAATTCCATTACTGTTTTTTGGTCCAAATTCATACTTCTGAGGAGAGAAATCTAAAATGTTTTCAATTACAATAATATTTTGGTATACAAATAAGAGATAATGTATGGTAGAGAATCATTTCAACAAACACTGGAACTCAGCATGAATCAGGTTGTTTCTGTGGAGAGTGGTGGGCTTCATGCAGCATGTGACGTGCCTAAAACTTCCCTGCTGTTACATCTCACCATGGTCCCCACTCAGCAAGGGAGATGCTACATTTAATGTGTCTTGGAATCAACCACAACCATACTTAATTGGTTGCAAATACAATTTCTTTGTGAAGATAAATCCTAAATGGACCAAATACTAGTAACAAACTTCAGCTGATAGATTCAACATGGAATTGAAATATTTATGTAATATCTGTGGTGATAATGGTTACAAATTAAGAACATCATACATCAATTCAAATGAGATAATCTAAATATCATCACCACTATGTATTATCTGATGAACCTTTGCGTGAAATAAAATCATGTCATCGCGTGATATTTATAATACCTGTTATATGACAAGACGCTTACCGCAGCTGCAATGAATGGTCCCTTTGCAGTTAGAAACAACCCTTATGTCTAACACATCCAAACAACGGTGATAGATAAGTACATACCGCAGTAAATACTTGCACAAGCCTAATTATTGTTAATAAATGTAATAAACACTAATTAGAAGTCACAATAGCTAATTAGACGTCCCCGTAACGCCGAGATGGGGGAGTGTGGTGTGTGCTTGAGAGGGTCTGTGCGATCTCGTTAGTGGGGCCTTGGTCACACACGACCACGCCCCCCAGATCACATTATGCGAAACTGTTTTCCGTTTTTCTCATTGAAAATGTGATTACCTTTTCTTGTATAGTCGAAATTGACTGCTTGGCCATAGTGTTGTCGTATATGAGCTGTTTATCGCAGATTTCACCCTTGGTAATTTGACATGGCGGAGTATTCGTGTGGAGCCTCCAATTACCCTCTTCCGGTTAAGGGATCGATCATTGTGTAACTATTCGAGAACCTGCAACTGTCTCGATTGGATGGTAAGAGCTCGAAATTATAGAATTTCCTTGGATTCTCTTTGCAAAACTGTAAATTATTTCTGTGGGTGTTCGGCACAGCGGCACGTGACGAGATCCGGCCTGGACCAGACAAACCAGTGATAGTTTTAACCATGACACTCTCATCTCCGACTCTACTCCTACTTCTAGAGAATAACGTATTTGAGAGGAATTGAGAAGTTGGGGTACTTTAAGCATGGATAAAATACATGCATGAACAAGTTCTTTATTACAGGAGGGACGTTTGGGTGTGTGTTCTATTACCGTCATCAAGGAAGTGATGAACAGAGTATGGATTGACAGGCTTGTATACAGATATGAGGAAGTGCTCTTACTTATGTATTATATAAATAAACTTTCACCCTTTTTGCTACCCATTTTTATTTTGTGTATATTTTAATGTCTTTTAGTATTATATATAGTATGTCTTTGTCTCTGTTTAATCGCACTGCGATTGGTTATGTATTCTTAATGTACATATTTTATGAATTGTAAAATGTATACAAGTGAGACGATAATAAAAAATTGATTGCTTGATTGCTTGATTGTTGACTGGATTAGGTTTCGATGAGTAAGATCAGAGTTAAAACGCTAACAAGTAAAGCCGATGCAGGGGCGGATCAAAGAAAACAACAAGATGCACGTGTACTACATACATCTCGTGTACATGTCTGTCTACATGTTTCTAGTTCCTTACGGTATAGTCCCGTGAAGATGCGGGTTAGAATTAATCTTCAGTCACCCATGCTTGTTGTAAAAGGTGACTAAATATAACGGGATCGGGTGGTCAGGCTCGCTGACTTAATCGGCTGACACATGTCATCGTATTCCTATTGCGTAGATCGATGCTCGTGCATTTGATCACTGGATTGTCTGGTCCAGACTCGATTATTTACAGACCGCCATATAGCTGGAATATTGTTGGGTGCGGGGTAAAACTAAACTCACTCACTCACTCTTTACGGTATATCATAGTTTGTGTTGGCAGTATGAATGCGTAATTATCAAGTGTGAAGCGGTTCATGTGTGACACTTTTATAAACAGCTTTTATGTATGAAGACCTCAACCCAAAAGGTAATGTAGATCTATCTTTCACAACGAAAGAATAGCATCGCCCATTGTCTTATCACCAGCTGTCAGCCTCGCCTCAGTGGTCGGTCATGCCAAGATCATGAGAGAATGTGCTGCTCATCGACCGAGTTCAGTGTCACAGTAACCTTGTCCAAGGTGGGAATCGTCAGATCTACTGACGGGATCCGCTGATGGGATGTGCCATGTTCAACAGCCTTGTATAGACAGCAACTCGATCGCCATGTGGACGGCTATGTACATATATAGATACTCAAACACTCTAAGAAGATCAGATTCTTTCATTTTGCAGTAGTTAAATATGTCCTCCTAGATGTACGTTAATCTGACAACTACAAAGGTTACGACACCCATGGTAATCATATCGTTATATTTATCACTGGACTGTTAATTCCAATATATGTCTCAGCAAAGCATCAGTAATACATTCGTTCCTTGGATTCTGTGTAGACTGCACATGGGGAGTCGACGCGAGGAGGGTCAGTTTCTGTAATTTTGAGCGTGATATAAAACACGTTGTTATCCGGTTTCTTCCACTGAAATGGTGTAATTCAGGGTAAGCTAGTGAAAACATCTAGACTTCAAGAACTTCTTCCTCCCACAGGTCCGGTTCTAAAATGAGCGATTACAAGTTAATCGTATTGAATCAGGTCAAGCAAAATTTATATTTGGAAAAGTGAGTCAGTAAGTCAGGTTTTACGCCGCACTCGGCAATATTCCAGCTATGGCGGTGGTCTGTAAATATACTCATGCCAATAATGGTTGTCGCCCCCCTCCCCACCCCAACGTCACACACCCACACCCCCTCTTCAATTAAAAAAATTAAGGGGGTGACAACCATTATTGGCATGAGTATAATATTAATCGACCAACAGCATGAATATTTAGAAAAGGTTAATTTAACTCGTTCGTTTAACTCGACGAGAGTTAAATTGATCTGAATTAATGGTTATTTTTCAAATTTTCAATTTACGTGCTGGTCATCCTACTCTTGTAGCTGACGTTTAACATGGACCAGTCGCATGTCTCTGTGGTAATTAACAGTAAAGTAAAGAAATCACGAAATTACGTGGCACGGTCCAAAAGGGACAAATAGTTTTAAACTTTAAATCACATCTGATGGTAAGAGACAGGTTTGTTTCCTTTTCTGCATTATTGTCACAACACCCATCAACAAGTAAGCGTCACCTCATGCCTCGCTTCCTGTGCTGCTACGTTGTGTGTTCTGTTGGTAAACAACAGCTGGACGAGTCCATTCTGTCAATGTATTGATATTGGGTCGTTATGCATCGTTAACACCTAGCACTGTCCACTGTACCAGGTCAGTCTATATATTGAACCCTTTGCACTATCACGGGGGTCGTGATACCGTTTCCGAGCTAGCGCGACCTACGATGACCTGAGCTGACCCAGCGGAGACCCCAGTGCTCGCCCACTGCTCTCTGAGTGACCTCTCGCTCTGGTTCTGTGCTTGCAACGCGGTCAGGGTGCCCTTGTGGAGCCAAAACGAGGCTTTGACTGGTCGACGATCCGTGCATGACCTCTGCTGACTTAGTGTGGAAGTACTTACACGATAAGCATTTAGTTACCCCGTAGACCGCTAATTAGGGCGGAGCATACAGCTGATGTTGATGCGTTTAATATTTTATATTGTCGAATCCATTTCGCGCGAAAATGTGCTATATGTACCGTCAATGTTGATGAACCTGTGTACCAATTTTTAAATTATTTTATTTTGTTTTCAATTAACTTTTTTTTCTCAGAAATCCCTGTTACAAATCGGAGCTCTTGTCCAGGGTAGGAGGAGCCCCATTGCACCAAAAATGGAGAATGAAGAAACACTTTCTGAGTTATTTATTTATTTATTGTGTGTATGTACGTGCATGTGTGCGTGCGTGCGTGCGCGTGCGCATGCGTGCGCGTGTGTGTGTGTGTGTCTGTCTGTCTGTACGTTTTAGACATTAGACATGGATACCACACTCGCTCACACATTCACACTCTATATACATATGATGTGAGATTAAAAGTAGTATAGGCAATACTTTTGATTTAGTTTGTAGATATAAAACCTTTGCTGACAACAGATAATATGAAGTTATCATTGCAAGTATGTTACTGGCAACAAAACCATGATATATATGACAGGATATTTAAAATATATAGGCACATATATATGAAAGTTACTTGTCATTATCAGATTTTGAAGAATGACAAGTAACTTTCATCAACACTGATGAAATCCGATATTCTGCCCCTATCAAACCATGATGATTTAAAAACTAGGTTATTGGCCACAAACATATTACTATAATAGAACACTGGTTCTGTAATGAAATCTTCAAAGCATTGTGGAGAAATAGTAATGTATGCAGCGCCAACAGACACACGTCTTTCAAGAAGGTACTTGTGTATTTGTGATTTTTACTGCATTTTTTAGGAAAGACAGAACCAAAATAGATATATAGAATAATAAAGATTTCCATTTTGGAATAGTTCCAACATCAAACATATACCTGTGTACCAAATTACTATTGAGTCTCTCTATGTGCGTATATTCAAGGGTGCTGCTTTTCTTTGACGTGTGAAATATTTTATAGGTCATTAACCTAGTGTAAACTCTTTTAATTCCATGTAGATCGTTAATTCCTGTTTATTTCATAATACCAAGCTTACGGTCATCGATTTTCAAATCCACGTTAGCTGAAGGACCTCGCATACGAAATGTCTACCTCAACAGTCCTTGAACCACTTTATTTTCGTTTGGGCCCAGCACCGTCTGTAATGCCACGTCCCAAATAGTTTACAGTTTCCTCGCCTTCTGAAACATTCATCTCACAGGCTCTTCTTACCAGTTTGAATTGAGTTATTTGTTTCTCTCAGAGGTGTATATTATAAGGGACTATATATAAACGTTAGTTAAAGAGAAGGCAATGTTTTATAAGGGTTGGAGGAAAATCGGATGTAAACAGACACCATATAAAGAAACCATTTAATCTGCTTTATTAATACACGTGACAGTCTCAGTTGACTAAGGCCACCAAAGGGTCAGTGAGTCACATGTGATATCTCACTATGCCTAATTTACTAACGCTTAGTCTCCGAAAGTATGATTTTTATGAAAAATAGCTCCGTTTAAATTGAAAAGTAATCTGAGTGATATTGAACATTCAGAACCAGGGTGTTTGCTAGGTTGTTGTTTAACGCCGCACTCCGCATTATTGCCGCTATATGGCGGCGGTCTGTTAATAAGCGAGCGTGGACCAGGCACTCTAGTGACTAGCAGCATTACCAGCATCTACGCAATTGGTATACGATGACGTGTCAGCGAGCCTCAAAACCCGACCCCGTTAGTCGGTATCCTCCCATTAGGTTCAGATTCTTTATTCTCCATAGGCAGACAGGCAGTTCGCAGACGCCTTAAAACAACAACATTTACGGTTCAATGAACAGATTAGCTACTACCTGTTACCTACACATTATAATGTAACAGTCCAAATAAAAACACAAGAAACATATCTAATGCCAAGTATATATATATTTTATAACAAGAATGACATAATAATTTTCAAATAACAATGTACATAATGGTAGCTTCCAGGAGATACCTTTTTCTAGAAATATTTTATCTATATTTATAGATCTAATTCTAATTTTATCTTTAATTAAAGCCCTTACATTCAGTCGTTAGTGACTACGACCAATCTTCGATTATTTCAATTAATCGGGCCACCACTAGTGGGAATGACGATGATTTTTATGGAGAAGCATATGTACAACCATACCATGGTATTTTGCCAACCTCCCCAATTTATGTAACAGTTTAATACCCCTGTCCCATCCATATTTATGTAACTGTTTTCATGACCCCTTAACGGAATCATCAGTCCAAAATTAATAATCAAATATAGAAGTTTTCTCTTCACAGTTGACATTAAAATATGGCGCCCCATATATATATATATATATTTTCATTTTCTATTTTTTCACTCTCATCACGGAGAGTGCAATGTACAATGTCCAAAGACAACACACACACACACACACACACACACACACACACACACACACACACACACACACACACACACACACACACACACACACCAGAAAAAAAGCATATTCGCTGGACACATTTAGTGAAAATTAAATGAAACTGATTAGATACCTGGCTAAAAGGCATATTTACTGAGAATAAGAAACAATTGTTATAGCAAGACACTGCGTCCCAAGTGTTCGCAGAAATAACTGACTCTTACACATTACTAGTTGCTTCTGTGCACTGCGTGGAGTATTGATGTAACGTCCTTCACCCATGATTCATACTATCTTTAAGAATTGCTTTTACGAAATCAGACAAAACGCAAGCAATGCATATATCACCATAAAGCCAACAAATTATAAAAGAAGAATACCCGGTAATTTATGAAAGTATGTGTCTTCCCTGCATTACAAATTTTGTGTTATTCAATTTCAAGATTATATTCTACGCTGCGCTGTTCATTTCTGGAATTTAGCTTTTAGATACTCTCAAATCAACCAATCAGACATAAAATATACGCTGGTTCCCGGCTCCCTTTGCGCCCGCCACCTTACGCGATATGCAAGACGGGGCCCAGCTTAACATAAAATATTAGTAAGCGTCAAAATGGCAGCCAAACCAAGAACAACACAGGTTTGACACATTATTTCTCAGTAACCATATAATAGCAGGTGCTGAGTGAACTTATCACTGACAACCTGCAGCTAGTTAATGTCTCAGTGAACGTTTGTGTCACTCTAATCCATTCCAGGGCTATCCGTCTTCATGATTCTTCCAAGTACAGTCAAATATCCCCGTTGTCACTACCAACTGAAGGGATGAGAGCCTGGAGGAACCGAAAGAAAGTGCGCATTCAGGCAGGACAGTACTAACTCGTCGCGTCAAAGTCTCGCTAACTGAGCTGAGCATGCTTGCCGTACACCGAATGATAACTTTGGCTTTGTTGGAAATGTACTGCAAGGCATGGCATGACATGGCATGAATTATACCGGGACTCTCTGTTAGTGTTATCGTGAGCTCTCTATTATCGCGGCATGTGAAAACATTGGCAAAGCAGAAATACCACGCCCCCATCGGCTGTTTACATATGCAAAATAACGTAAAATAAATTCATCGCTCTTGAAAAAGTAATTTATTTAATTGGTATGTCATGAAATATTAAAGTATTCATCTTTGTAGTAACTTCTGGAACTAGTATGACCCCTACCGCCATTGCATCTTGCACAAGTCAAAACTTACTTCGTCAAGAGTAATCCTGCGACAACTATTACTGTATTAGCGCATTTGCATATATTATGTCCTAAAACTACAACAGGAAGTGATGTATTGTGCATGAAGAATGAAGAAAAAACTTTCTGAATTATTTATTTATTTCGTGCGTGTGCGTGAGTGTGTGTGTGCGCGCAGCATTCAGATTGGCATTTTATACCATTGTATGAATTTCTTCGCCTTCATCAATATTTTAATTTGTGAAGGCTTTATGAAATTTATGAAATTGTTTTTGATGGAACTATTGTAGACATCATATATTTTTTGTTGTCCAATGTAATTATAAGGACTGACTTTGTATTTGTTCATTTCATTTACATACAAATCAAAAAACTTTTATGCAAACTTTAAGAAACCGCTACATGGATTATTACATTTTGCTCAGAATTTTTCGATTCGTTCCTCAATGAACTGAAAAAATACTTGGTTCATCCTTAAAAATATGTATAAAAATGTCAACATCCGTTGGTACGGTTAATAATTTGCTGTGACAAAAGGTTTAGAAGTCCCCTTTGAACCAGCAAAATAGAACACAGACAAGTCTAAAATATTCAATAATATACTGAGCAAACAATGAGCAAGCTACAATGTATGACAATACAGATATCTAGTACAATGCAATTGAGTCACAAATCTAAAATGTTGGGTCACAAATATATGATATTAGCTCACCAGAGTCTTGACATTTACAGTGAGAACAGTTATACTGATTGAAGGTTGTTTACAATGACAGTAGACGAATAGGCAAGCACGGTCAGTCTTGAATGTTGATCAACTTCGCGGTGGCAGACAGATGCGCATAAATCCATTCATGTGAAAAGTCCCGTAGCACAACGCAACAACCATCCCTTATATAGCTCTTACACAGTTCTCGAGCATTCTAGCAAAGCTAGGCTCCCTCATTATTCTCTCAGAACGATGAAGGATTTTCTCGAACATATGACCGGAAGTCAGGACAAAATAAAGCCAGCCAAGGGAGGCAACTCTGAAGTGCTATCCAAAAGGCGTCCCGCTAAAAATACTATTGCCATTGAACATATATGATGCGAGATGCCAGCCAAAACCCACACTCAAAACTTTAAACATTGTGACCAATAATAATTATCACTTAATCAATGTGATATTACAAATTACAAATTACAAAAAACACACTCTCATAACACTGTAAGCTTGAGGTAACCTGTAGTTACAGTAGCTAGATGTCTCAGCTGCTTCCCCTGAACAATATTGATGTTGAGGTGCAACAAACTGTCCCATATGTGGTATAATCCTGATTCAGAACTAACACCACTATTAACCCTGCCATTGAGTCTGCATGAATCATATTCCTACAAAAACTGTAACATGATTCACTTTGTAAAAGACTTGCCATTATGTGTATACTTTAGACTGATCTTGTGTAAGCAAGTCACATCGCTCTCCTTACATATTCACTTAGTGACTGACAGCTTGTCTCCCTGTTGTAGGTGGTCAACACGTCTAGACATGGAGAAGTCAGGGCATGGAAAGCACAAACTGAGCAGGCAAAAAAGAGTGAAGTTTTACGAGAAATTCATAAATTGGAGATACAGTAAGTAAAACAGAGTCATGTTTGTTAGAAGATAAACACATCCATTGACACGTCTGTAAGCCCGTCTCACTTCTGAATTGGATTCTGAAATAGGCATGATGGGTTGTAAGTAAGTAAGTAAGTAACAGCCAAGGTTTGAGTGATGGGCTAGTGTTCTGTTAGTCTCATATAGTGTCTGATTTTATAACATTGAGATAGCATGCACCTAAATCAATGTCATGTGGGTTTAAAGTTACCAAATACTGGGCTGGATTACTCAGCACATGTTGTGCTGTAACTTTGTGTCCCAACATTTCGCTTATTATAAACAGATCATTATATATGGTATTATTACTCGCCTGTGGAAGATACTGCAGTGTGATATTTTTACGGCAATATTACACTAGTGTAATACCGGTAGACATATGACGTCATAATGGTTACAGTTATGATGTCACAGTGCTAATGCCTCTGTCGTAATGGTACATGTATTAGACTTTGCTTGACTCGCGGAAAATTGATATGAGAGTCATCACACTGAAGGCAGTTTCTATCAATTGATGTTGGAGAGTAAGATACAGAATACTAAACTCGCTTCCGTGAAATACCATTTTTATTAAACTCCTGAAAGATTTAGTATCAAACTCGCTTTCACTCATTTGATACCAAATCATTAACTCATTTAATATAATTGGTATTACACGGAAGGTCGTTTAGTATCCTCTATATACATGACACCAGTGAAATGAGTAATGTTTTGTGAATGGTACAACACTGGAGAATTGGTTATCTACTTCTTAAGAAAACACAAAGAGAATATTCTGTCATTAGAATGTAAATAATAATTTTCTGTTTTACTTTGAAGAATTCACCCGTGAAGATCCGGGTTAGAATTGATCTTCAGTAAGCCATGCTTGTCGTAAGAGACAACTGATAGGATCAGGTGGTTGCTGTCGTGGTTGACACATGTCATCGTATCCCAATTGTGCAGATCGATGCTCATGCTGTTGATCACTGGATTATCTGGTCCAGACTCGATTATTTACTGACCGCCGCCATATAGCTGGAATATTGCTGAGTGTGGAGTAAAACTAGACTAACTCTCTCACTCACTCACTCACTTACACACCCGCTCACTCACTCACTCACTCACTTTGAAGAATTCAGGCCATGGAGAGAGAAAAAGGAACTCATCTCTACAGCAAGCGAAGTGACTATAGAGCAGACTTCAGTCAACTTGAAGAGGAGGACAGCAAGACAACCATGCAGAGGAAGACTGAAAGTAAATAGAGTATTCATCATGTTGATAGGAGATAATGGCTAACATGGCAGTATTTTAGTATTCATCTCTGAAGTGGGCATCAACATGACAAGCTAAAAACAATATCAGGGATACCTGATCATTTGTGTCATAAGGCTGCCCAAACTATACTTATAAGAAAGGTGTTTCTGATTCCACTATTAAATATGGTTGTTTATGGACCTGCTGTGCTTTTAATTATATTTAATAATTTGTGTCACCTGTCTTCCCAGACTTATTGATACTTACTTATGTCAATGCATGCCAACCCAACCCAACACGACTAGACTCAATATTCACTTCTTCTAAAGAGATAAAGCTGCGCCAACAGTTGGAGAAGATCAGCCACATGGTGAAGAGGTTTCAAAGGGAACTCAAGGATGTCAAACCTACACCTGAATGTGAGATGAAGTATTCAGCATGTTTTAACTTAATCATTATGCAGAACTTTTTCTCAAACTTTGTTTTATAAGAAATGTTAATTTTATATTGGTCTCTCTCCAAAATAGTTTACAAAATAAAAAACTTCACATGAGCCTGCCATTAGAAGTGTAATGATACTGTGGGGTAACGATACTGCTGGGTAACGATACTGTGGGGTGATGATACTTTGGGATAACGATACTGAGGTGTAACGATACTGTGGGGTAACGATACTGTGGGGTAATGATACTGTGGGGTTATGATACTGGGGGGTGATGCTACTGTGGGGTGATGATACTGGGGGTGATGATACTGGGGGTGATGATACTGGGGGTTATGATACTGGGGGTAATGATACTGGGGGGTAATGATACTGTGGGGTTATGATACTGTGGGGTAATGATACTGAGGGCTAACGATACTGTGGGGTAACGATACTGAGGGCTAACGATACTGTGGGGTAACGATACTGTGGGGTAACGATACTGTGGGGTAATGATACTGAGGGGTAACGTTACTGTGGGGTTATGATACTGTGGGGTAATGATACTGTGGGGTTATGATACTGGGGGTAATGATACTGTGGGGTAACGATACTGTGGGGTAACGTTACTGAGGGGTAACGTTACTGTGTGGTTATGGTACTGTGTGGTTATGGTACTGTGGGGTAACGATACTGTGGGGTAACGGTACTGTGGGGTTATGATACTGTGGGGTAATGATACTGAGGGGTAACGGTACTGTGGGGTAATGATACTGAGGGGTAACGGTACTGTGGGGTTATGATACTGTGGGGTAATGATACTGAGGGGTAACGGTACTGTGGGGTAATGATACTGAGGGGTAATGGTACTGTGGGGTTATGATACTGTGGGGTAATGATACTGAAGGGTAACGGTACAGTGGGGTTATGATACTGTGGGGTAATGATACTGAGGGCTAACGATACTGTGGGGTAACGATACTGAGGGCTAACGATACTGTGGGGTAACGATACTGTGGGGTAACAATACTGTGGGGTAATGATAGTGTCTGGAATACAGACCTCAAAGCATTAGCTTGAAACAATCAGACTGTATTGTGTTTGTCATATTTGTCATTTACGGCATGTTTAAAACTTTATGTTGCAGTTCATTATGTTAATAACTGAATGGATTGCTATGGTTTATTTCCAGTTGTTGAGAAGTTGAAAGTGATCATGGAGGACATAGAGGGAACTATAAACACATTCAAGTTGCAGCAACGTCAGCTGTAAGTGTCCTCCATTCTCGTCTGTGTTAGATGCTCGTATAATCAGCAGTTCTAGAATGTGGCATGGTCAGGTGTTGGTTGCTGGTTCAAGATGAATGTAATTATTTGTTTAGAAATATATCCCTTCTTTGTTTTTCTGCATTCTACCCATCCCTAAGGGATTCACTTAGACTTTCCTCCAGCATTAAAATGACATACCTTCAAACAACTAAAACATCTTCTGTCTTCCAGCTTACCACTTTCTGGATCACTAATTTCTCATGCGAACAGGGTTCCATGAACAACAGACTTAAAGATTTGGAATCATTCAGCAGATTGTACCAACAACATTGATCTGTGAATAATCCTCTAAATGTGTCACAATACACACAAATCTTTCAGAATAATTTGCGACATACAGATCATGACTGTCATCTGTCCCTGTATGTCGTCACTGACATCTGTCCCTGTATGTTGTCATTGTCATCTGTCACTGTATGTTGTCATTGTCATCTGTCCCTGTATGTTGTCACTGTCATCTGTCCCTGTATGTTGTCTCTGTCATCTGTCCCTGTATGTTGTCGCTGTCATCTGTCCCTGTATTTTGTCGCTGTCATCTGTCCCTGTATGTTGTCACTGTCATCTGTCCCTTTATGTTGTCAATGTCATCTGTCACTGTATGTTGTCACTGTCATCTGTCACTGTATGTTGTCACTGTCATCTGTCCCTGTATGTTGTCACTGTCATCTGTCCCTGTATGTCGTCACTGTCATCTGTCCCTGTATGTCGTCACTGTCTTCTGTCACTGTATGTTGTCACTGTCATCTGTCCCTGTGTGTTGTCACTGTCATCTGTCACTGTCTTCTGTCACTGTATTTTGTCGCTGTCATCTGTCACTGTATGTTGTCACTGTCATCTGTCCCTTTATGTTGTCACTGTCTTCTGTCACTGTATGTTGTCACTGACATCTGTCATTGTATGTTGTCACTGTCATCTGTCCCTTTATGTTCTCACTGTCTTCTGTCACTCTATGTTGTCACTGTCATCTGTCCCTTTATGTTGTCACTGTCTTCTGTCACTGTATGTTGTAACTGTCATCTGCCACTGTATGTTGTCACTGTCATCTGTCCCTTTATGTTGTCACTGTCATCTGTCCCTTTATGTTGTCACTGTCATCTGTCCCTGTATGTTGTCACTGTCATCTGTCCCTTTATGTTGTCACTGTCATCTGTCTGTGTATGTTGTCACTGTCATCTGTCCCTGTATGTTGTCACTGACATCTGTCACTGTATGTTGTCACTGTCATCTGTCCCTGTATGTTGTCACTGTCATCTGTCACTGTATGTTGTCACTGTCATCTGTCCCTGTATGTTGTAACTGTCATCTGTCACTGTATGTTGTCCCTGTCATGTGTCCCTGTATGTTGTCACTGTCATCTGTCCCTTTATGTTGTCACTGTCAGCTGTCACTGTATGTTGTCGCTTTCATCTGTCCCTGTATGTTGTCACTGTCATCTGTCCCTTTATGTTGTCACTGTCATCTGTCCCTGTATGTTGTAACTGTCATCTGTCCCTTTATGTTGTCACTGTCATCTGTCCCTGTATGTTGTAACTGTTATCTGTCACTGTATGATGTCACTGTCATCTGTCCCTGTATGTTGTCACTGTCATCTGTCACTGTCTGTTGTATAGGTATGAAGAACTGATGAAAGAAGAAAGGACGACAACACACGAGATCCAGGCACTGGAGAAGAGGTTTGAGGTGTGGAGTCAGATCCAGAATGGTGGCACGTCTGTTACCAATGCTGCCAGTGCTAGGCCACCCTCAACAGCTCGTGACATCACCAAAGATCTACCACCAGAAGTTGCAGCCTTTGAGGTACATATATCATGACACAAATTGCCCATATTGGATATATGTGAAATTGGACACTAACTAACTATTGTGACAATTGTTATTTGATTTGGTTTTATCAAAAGATGGTAACTTGTGAGGGTATTAGGCTTTGGCACAGTGGTTTGTAATTCTGTTAGTTTGGTCATGTAAAATAGTTTTGAAATTGTATTATTTATGATAGTATCACAAGTTCAGCTTCAGTGTTGAGTATTACTATAAGCACTGTCCTATATGTGCTGTTATTGACAAGAAGTCCATATTTCTTCAGAAATTTCTCCAGCAAACAGGAGGAGTACGTGGGGCTTGGGATGAGTATGACCATCAGACCTTCCTCAAGTTCAGGAACAGATTCAAGGTATGTGGTGTGTGTTCATTATTGAGTGTGACCATCAAGCCTTCCTCATGTTCAGGAACTGATCGAGGGTGGGGAGTGGGTGTTCATTATTGAGTGTGACCATCAGACCTTCCTCAAGTTCAGGAAGAGATTTAATGTGGGGAGGGGGTATTCATTATTGAGTGTGACCATCAGGCCTTCCTCAAGTTCAGGAACTGATTGAAGGTGGGGAGTGGGTGTTCATTATTGAGTGTGACCATCAGACCTTCCTCAAGTTCAGGAAGAGATTGAAGGTGGGGAGTGGGTGTTCATTATTGAGTGTGACCATCAGACCTTCCTCAAGTTCAGGAACAGATTCAAGGTATGTGGTGTGTGTTCATTATTGAGTGTGACCATCAAGCCTTCCTCATGTTCAGGAACTGATCGAGGGTGGGGAGTGGGTGTTCATTATTGAGTGTGACCATCAGACCTTCCTCAAGTTCAGGAACTGATTGAAGGTGGGGAGTGGGTGTTCATTATTGAGTGTGACCATCAGACCTTCCTCAAGTTCAGGAAAGATCCAAGGTATGTGGTGTGTGTTCATTATTGAGTGTGACCATCAGACCTTCCTCAAGTTCAGGAACTGATTGAAGGTGGGGGAGTGGGTGTTCATTATTGAGTGTTATCAGACCTTCCCTCAAGTTGAACTGATTGAAGGTGGGGAGTGGGTGTTCATTATTGAGTGTGACCATCAGACCTTCCTCAAGTTCAGGAACTGATTGAAGGTGGGGAGTGGGTGTTCATTATTGAGTGTGACTCATCAGACCTTCCCTCAAGTTCAGGAACTGATTGAAGGTGGGGAGTGGGTGTTCATTATTGAGTGTGACCATCAGACCTTCCTCAAGTTCAGGAACTGATTGAAGGTATGTGGGTGTGTTCATTATTGAGTGTGACCATCAGACCCTTCCTCATGTTCAGGAACTGATCGAGGGTGGGGAGTGGGTGTTCATTATTGAGTGTGACCATCAGACCTTCCTCAAGTTCAGGAACTGATTGAAGGTGGGGAGTGGGTGTTCATTATTGAGTGTGACCATCAGACCTTCCTCAAGTTCAGGAACTGATTGAAGGTGGGGAGTGGGTGTTCATTATTGAGTGTGACCATCAGACCTTCCTCAAGTTCAGGAACTGATTGAAGGTGGGGAGTGGGTGTTCATTATTGAGTGTGACCATCAGACCTTCCTCAAGTTCAGGAACAGATTCAAGGTATGTGGTGTGTGTTCATTATTGAGTGTGACCATCAAGCCTTCCTCATGTTCAGGAACTGATCGAGGGTGGGGAGTGGGTGTTCATTATTGAGTGTGACCATCAGACCTTCCTCAAGTTCAGGAAGAGATTTAATGTGGGGAGGGGGTATTCATTATTGAGTGTGACCATCAGGCCTTCCTCAAGTTCAGGAACTGATTGAAGGTGGGGAGTGGGTGTTCATTATTGAGTGTGACCATCTGACCTTCCTCAAGTTCAGGAAGAGATTCAATGTGGGGAGGGGCTATTCATTATTGAGTGTGACCATCAGACCTTCCTCAAGTTCAGGAACTGATTCAAGGTATGTGGTGTGTTTTCATTATTGAGTGTGACCATCAGACCTTCCTCATGTTCAGGAACTGATCGAGGGTGGGGAGTGGGTGTTCATTATTGAGTATGACCATCAGACCTTCCTCAAGTTCAGGAACTGATTCAAGGTGGGGAGTGGGTGTTCATTATTGAGTGTGACCATCAGACCTTCCTCAAGTTCAGGAACTGATTCAAGGTATGTGGTGTGTTTTCATTATTGAGTGTGACCATCAAGCCTTCCTCAAGTTCAGGAACTGATTCAAGGTATGTGGTGTGTTTTCATTATTGAGTGTGACCATCAGACCTTCCTCAAGTTCAGGAACTGATTCAAGGTATGTGGTGTGTTTTCATTATTGAGTGTGACCATCAGACCTTCCTCAAGTTCAGGAACTGATTGAAGGTGGGGAGTGGGTGTTCATTATTGAGTGTGACCATCAGACCTTCCTCAAGTTCAGGAACTGATTCAAGGTATGTGGTGTGTTTTCATTATTGAGTGTGACCATCAGACCTTCCTCAAGTTCAGGAAGAGATTCAAGGTATGTGGTGTGTGTTCATTATTGAGTGTGACCATCAAGCCTTCCTCAAGTTCAGGAACTGATTCAAGGTATGTGGTGTGTGTTCATTATTGAGTGTGACCATCAAGCCTTCCTCATGTTCAGGAACTGATCGAGGGTGGGGAGTGGGTGTTCATTATTGAGTGTGACCATCAGACCTTCCTCAAGTTCAGGAACAGATTCAATGTGGGGAGTGGGTGTTCATTATTGAGTGTGACCATCAGACCTTCCTCAAGTTCAGGAACTGATTCAAGGTATGTGGTGTGTTTTCATTATTGAGTGTGACCATCAGACCTTCCTCAAGTTCAGAAAGAGATTCAAGGTATATGGTGTGTTGTCATTATTGATTGTGACCATCAGACCTTCCTCAAGTTCAGAAACTGATTGAACATGGGGAGTGGGTGTTCATTATTGAGTGTGACCATCAGACCTTCCTCAAGTTCAGGAAGAGATTGAAGGTGGGGAGGTGTTCATGAAACCTATAGTGTCACTATATCTTTAGAGTCTTTCATGTTATTGTTTATGATATTTTCATCTGTTGAGTAAAGCAAAGGTTTGTTTATCTCCTTGTGTGATATAATTCCCAATTCTGAACACTGTGAAATTCTGCTGACATCTGGTTTCAGGGAAAGAATGTGTTTGTGCAGCACCTGATACCAGCACTGCCCACAAAACGAGAAGACGAAATCCGTGACCATGAGTCTTGGTATCAGGAATACCTCTTCCTAAATGATGTCAAAAAGGATGCTATAAAAGCATGGAGACAAAAGAAACAGGTAAGTTGAGACAGGTATCCAGTGGTAATACGAACCAGTTCAGCTACACATGGATCTGATGACATTCCATATTGTGCCACATTAGACAACCCTTTGAGAACATTAACAGACCAATGCTACACCATGTCTCCGTAGTGAGTGAGTATATATGTTTTTACATCACTTTTAGCAATATTCAAGCAATATCACACTGGAGGACATCACATTGAACTCCTTTGGGGAATCGAACCGGGGTCTTCAGCATGATGAGTGGATGTTTTAAACATTAGGTTACCTCATCGCCATTATATTACCATGCTCTCTGTTAGACTAAGCTACACTGTTCTACACTATATTACCATACACTACACTACACTGAACTATGTTACAATAAGCTACAATGTACTAAACAGTGCTTCACAGTGCAACACTATGTTACCATACACTACACTACACTGAACGATGCTACTTTACAATATGCTACACTGTGCTACACTATGCTACACTATGCTACACTGCTGGTAAACAATAGTGCGTTGCTGTAGGGGGAGAGGGAGGAACTACTGGCGCAGGCTGATGAAGAGGAGTTGGATGAGGAAGAGGAGGAAGAGATAAGAAAGGCTCAGCTGAAGGAGAAGGTGGAGAAGGAGAAGAGGGAGAGATTCTCGCACCTTAATGCATGGAAGGTGGGTTACTATGATCACAACAGCCATTCCTCAGTGAGCAAGAGCCTGCCACGATTTAGGTATCTAGGTATAGGTTGGATAGATGTGAACAGTGGTCTGGAGAGTGTCCAGATATAGGCACAGGATCAGTGTAAACACATGTCTACTGGTATAGGCAGGATAGATGTGAACAGATGTCTGGAGGGTGTCAAGATATAGGCAGGATAAATGTGAACAAAGGTCTGGAGAGTGTCCAGATATAGGCACAGGATCAGTGCAAACACATGTCTACTGGTATAGGCAGGATAGATGTGAACAGATGTCTGGAGGGTGTCAAGATATAGGCACAGGATCAGTGTAAACACATGTCTACTGGTATAGGCAGGATAGATGTGAACAGAGGTCTGGAGGGTGTCAAGATATAGGCGCAGGATCAGTGTAAACACATGTCTACTGGTATAGGCAGGATAGATGTGAACAGATGTCTAGAGGGTGTCAAGATATAGGCACAGGATCAGTGTAAACACATGTCTACTGGTATAGGCAGGATAGATGTGAACAGATGTCTGGAGGGTGTCAAGATATAGGCACAGGATCAGTGTAAACACATGTCTACTGGTATAGGCAGGATAGATGTGAACAGAGGTCTGGAGGGTGTCAAGATATAGGCACAGGATCAGTGTGAACACATGTCTACTGGTATAGGCAGGATAGATGTAAACAGAGGTCTGGAGGGTGTCAAGATATAGGCACAGGATCAGTGTGAACACATGTCTACTGGTATAGGCAGGATAGATGTGAACAGATGTCTGGAGGGTGTCAAGATATAGGCACAGGATCAGTGTAAACACATGTCTACTGGTATAGGCAGGATAGATGTGAACAGAGGTCTGGAGGGTGTCAAGATATAGGCACAGGATCAGTGTAATCACATGTCTACTGGTATAGGCAGGATAGATGTGAACAGATGTCTAGAGGGTGTCAAGATATAGGCACAGGATCAGTGTAAACACATGTCTACTGGTATAGGCAGGATAGATGTGAACAGATGTCTGGAGGGTGTCAAGATATAGGCACAGGATCAGTGTAAACACATGTCTACTGGTATAGGCAGGATAGATGTGAACAGATGTCTAGAGGGTGTCAAGATATAGGCACAGGATCAGTGTACACACATGTCTACTGGTATAGGCAGGATAGATATGAACAGATGTCTGGAGGGTGTCAAGATATAGGCACAGGATCAGTGTAAACACATGTCTACTGGTATAGGCAGGATAGATGTGAACAGATGTCTAGAGGGTGTGTCAAGATATAGGTACAGGATCTAGAGTGTAAACACATGTAAACACATGTCTACTGGTATAGGCAGGATAGATGTGAACAGATGTCTGGAGGGTGTCAAGATATAGGTACAGGATCAGTGTAAACACATGTCTACTGGTATAGGCAGGATAGATGTGAACAGATGTCTGGAGGGTGTCAAGATATAGGCACAGGATCAGTGTAAACACATGTCTACTGGTATAGGCAGGATAGATGTGAACAGATGTCTAGAGGGTGACAAGATATAGGTACAGGATCAGTGTAAACACATGTCTACTGGTATAGGCAGGATAGATGTGAACAAAGATCTGGAGGGTGTCAAGATATAGGCAATCAATGTGAATGGATATCTACAGGCCCTAATGGTTTAATGTTTGTAAAGAACTTGTTTTGCTGATGTTTTAGTTTTGAGCATGTTGAATCCCACACATGGTTTGCGACTATTGTGAATGTACAGGTTCAGAAGGAGCTGGAGAAGGCTCAGCAAGAAGAGCGAAGGATCAGGGAAGAGATGGCTCGAGCCAAGAAACAGGAAAACGAAAAGAAACGACAGGTGGGTTGGAAAAATGGAAAGTCTTGAAGTGTAGGATAAAAGCGACTCGAGGTTTTGGTTGAGAATGTAAAACCTCAGTGTCAGGAAATCCCGATGGATTTCCTGACACTGAGGTTTTACATTCTCAACCAAAACCTCGGAGTCGTCTTTTATCAAACTTATAAACCGTCTAAGACAACAAAAATTACATATGTATTATTTTCAATTTGTGCGACTGGCAGCCAACACCTTGCTCTGCACTTGCTACCCGTGTCCTGCATGTGCGCTGCCCGCAGTACCTGTCTTGTGAGAAACACATGGTTCATACTGACAAACAATCTCATTCCTCACAGCGATCCTTCGTAGCCTAGTGGATAAAACCACCAAGCTAGAGAGCGATTGGTTGCGAGTTTGAAACCAGTTATCGCCACTAAATATTGGAAGTTTTCAATAATGAGATATTATTTTTCCTTATCCTGACTCATGCTTATTGCTTGTCTTCTTCTTCTGGCGAACCTAGTGGAACACTTGTATCTCCCAATTGAAGTTCCCTTCAATAAAAAATCACTCATTAGTACTGACCACGAGTTACCTCCCTTCCACAAGCGCGGGAACGAGGGCGCCACCTGAACCCATGTGCCTCACTCTCTCCTTCTTCGCCCAGTGAGCAAGACGTGAGAGCACCTGTGTCTCCCTGCACACTATATCCTTTATTTATATTTAGTTTGTTACCTCTTATATTCATCTATAGAGGTGTAACTAGTATCATTATTCAACATGCATTGATAATTATTCGTGTTTCTGCTGCTTGATTCACGGTTCACCGTGTTACTCAGCAGTTGCGTTAATAAAAATCTGCATTGTTTGTAAATTACGTTACTCTGCTACCGATCCACATTTAAAATGCCCTAGTTGCATTACTCCATGTTCTATTGTTTCTCGTTGTAAATTATGTATTAATTTACCAATTTCTGCCTTTGATAAATATTTATGTTCCGTTTTGAGACGGAAGGCAGATAAATCTCGGAAACAATCTTCAGTCATGGCTAATAGATCGGAGTCAGATATATCCTGAGTTACCTTCGGGGGATAAGCGTGGGACGCAGTCCGCTATATCCTAGAAGCGACCTGCTTCCCAGGACGTTCCTTCATCACAGTCTAAACTAGAAGAGCTTCCACGTCATCTCAACGATACGCTCCGAACCCCCAGGTCTACAGCCTCGTCAAAGGGAAATCCACGAAGGCTACTAAAAAAACTTTGCTTCTGATATTCAGAATTATGTTTATATGATGATGACATTTCGATTATCATTCCAGATGTATGTCATAAGAATTGACCAGTATCGGCTACCGTCACTTCAGCGCAGATCAACATGCAATCAGAGATGCCTACGTTGACGCCGGAGATTATAACTGAGGGTCCCGTCACTATCACAGAGAGGACACCCTCAACGCCAGTGCAGACCATCCCAGACGACCTGGTCAACCAAATCATGAGGCTGATGGAAGACCGTTACGGCTTACAGAGGCCTCAGAGCCACGGGCCTCAGAGCCCACCCGATACAAAGTCATACAGGGCCTTAGAGCCCGCCTTGGCTTCGCGTAGGGCCTTTGAGCCCACAGACGCGCCTCCGCAAAGGGCAACCCAGCCCGTAGCGAACACTTCGCTAAGGAAGTCCCAGGCCGCCTCCGAAGGAGCTAGAGCCTCACTAGTTGCGAGGGACATTGCGGAGAAGGAGCGCTGCGCCGAGCCTACACCCTGTAGAACACAGAGGTCGTTCGCGAAGCAAGCGCTCGGGAGCGCTTCGCCGAGCCCACACCCTGTAGAACACAGAGGTCGTTCGCGAAGCAAGCGCTCGGGAGCGCTTCGACGAGCCCACACCCTGTAGAACACAGAGGTCGTTCGCGAAGCAAGCGCTCATATATAGAGTTGCGGAGGCTTCGCCAAGCCCACACCCTGTAGAACACAGAGGTCGTTCGAAGCAAGCGCTCATATATTGATCGGACTCTAGACACTTCGCTAAGGAAGTCCCAGGCCGCCTCCGCGAAGGAGCTAGAGCCTCACCAGTTGAGAGGGACATCACGGAGAAGGAGCGCTTCGACGAGCCCACACCCTGTAGAACACAGAGGTCGTTCGCGAAGCAAGCGCTCATATATTGATCGGACTCTGACTCGATACCTTCGCGAAGGCTAAGTGGCTCCAAGTCTACTTCACCCAGAAGATCTAGAAGCATTACTTCGAGATCTTCGCGAAGTCCCTGGCGTTCGCCGAGGAAGTCTCCTCCAAGGTCTCCATATACTAGCCACTCGTCATATATAGCCACTCGTCAGTCCGTTCAAGACATCGCATGAGTTGTCTATAAACTGTAAGCAATATGCCGTCTACAAGCCTACGCGAAGACAATTGCACAGGCTATTTACAACACAGAACGTCGCTGTATTAATTTATCAACAGATGAAGAGCCTAATTAAGGATCTTCAAGCCGACTACCTACCTACGACGATCGACATCTACATGTGACCATTACGCAGATCTGCAGACAATTCAATAACGAAATTGAACAGCAGCCTTGTTACAACGAGTAAAACTCATAATCGTCAACGATTTCCTGAGAAGAAATATGTACAACAAGTTCAGCTTTAACAGTCTACAAGCTGACAACTTGCAAGGTTTATTGAACCTTATATAAGGAAGTCGGAATTATCTTCAAGACTGAAGTTACTTTCACGACAGCCTGGGAAATAACCTACCCAGCATTAATATTACAGAGCGAGGTATTTCGGCTACCGGAGGTTTCAGCGTTTACCATCAACCCTCGAAACACGTGGTCACTCGGGTAACCCGGGGAAGCTACGGTGAAGACCGACGATTGTTCTAATATCAGCGACTGCACTATATTATGCAAGGTTCCTTTTCCTGCTACACCGTGTGATCATCACAGCGGGTACTCTACAGAATCAAAATGCCTTGTTCTGATTGGACCGAGATGGACAACGCCTTCACGCAGAGGTCGATCATAGTTCACAGTTGAACACATAGGTTGCAAGTGACAACAATATATCAGTGAACGAGCAAGCCTCCTTACAGTCCAGCTAATCTGAACCTTCATGATTGGGCTGCCTTCTTGAGGTTAGAGACCTCCCCTGTCAAGTAAGGACGAGGGCACGGCAGTCAGGCGATTATTTACATAAAGTTCAACGATGGCAGTCACCCCTGGTTGTGCACCTACATCGTCAAGCACTTCGCAGCGAATTTACCTCGACGACGGGATACAAATGGATCCAAATCCATAGCGTCTCAGACTACAGTTGAATTCATCATCAAGCTACTAACACAACTAGATGGTTAGTAAACCTACTTAAGTTGGACCTAAAATGGGGAGCCCACCTTACCGGCAGGACAGCCTCAGGTCTATGGAGCAATCTAGAGAGCAAATGTCACATAATCTGCTAGAGATGCAAGCAGTTATAAACGCCATAAGTCACTGGAGCAACCTACTACAGAACGCTCAGATAATGGTTCACACAGACAATTCAACAGTGGCGTTTTTTTATGTGAACAAACAAGGTTCAACTAGTCACAGAACCTACTGACTCGATGTTTCAGACTGTTCGATCTAATCGACAATCTAAACATACACGTCAGTACTTGCCACATTCCAGGAGCATAGAATGTATTAGCAGACGCTCTCTCTAGGCTACACCTACCGTCGCCGACAGAATGGATGCTCCACACACAGATATTCAATCAATAATCATGGAAATAGGATCTCCTCTGATAGACCTATTCACCACTCGGTTCAACAAGCAACTGACATCATTCGTATCGCCAGTGCCAGACCCACTAGCATGGGCAACGGACGTACTAAGCAAGTCTTACAGAAAATCAGTCAAATGCAGAGCCTCCATCTGATTTGGTCACGCCCTACTGGCTAGCGAGAACTTGGTTTCCAGATTTCATACAAAAAAATTCGGAAAACTAATTCTTCAGCTCCCACAACGCTCCAATCTATTGATACATCTGCACACCTAACAAGTGCACGATACACCAGAAGCATTCCAACTTCACGTATGGATTGTATCAAGGCATGTCTGAATAAGAGGTTATTCTGCCAGAGCGGCTACAGCGGTCACGCTTGCACGACGTAACTCGACTCGTAACTTATACGATGACAAAAGGCACAGTTTGTCAATTACGCTGCTAAGAAAGGATTTACAGCCAGTTATGCTACACATCCTCAAGTGGCATATTTCTTATGTTATCTACGTTAAATAAGAATCTAAAAGGCTCATCCTTGTCCATTTATCTTGCAGCTATAAGTTCTGTCATAACTATGAGAACGGGCGTCAAAAACAGCAGAGTTACTCGGTTTGTTACAAGCGTTCTGATTGGAGGACTAGAAACGGAAGTTTCATGCTCCAGCTTGGGATCTAATATAATGCTCCAACACCTCACTAGTGAGGTTTTTTGAACCATTGCTATCTACATCGTTTGAATCACTGACCCACAAAACCTTGATCCTGTTAGCACTAGCTACGGCCACCAGGATGTCAGATTCACCCACTGGATTACGAGAGAACACGCTTTGATGATTTTCATAACATAGCTCATCTGGGACTTTGGTGGGATTTTATAGGGAAAACCAACTGCCAGGTCAACCAGACAGATTATTCCACGTCCCAGCTCACTCATCCATACTTGGACCGCATGATACAATGGATCTATCACTATGCCCAGTTCGTACACTGAAAATATATCTCCAGCGATCCACATAGAGCAGAGGTATATTCAAGAGATTATTTATCCCTATATCTACAGCTATGCAGACGGAAGTCTTACGTACTACTATCTCTATCTGGATCAGAACTGTCATACTACGTGCCTACAAGGCTTAGGACGCGACCCTCCAAGGATATTTCTGGAGATCCGATATGGTGTTTGCCAACCACTATCTGAGAGATATCACCACCAAGGAAGTCTCAGGTATCCACAATTTCGGTCCCATGGTCCTCGCTCAACAGTTGACAGTTCCACGGAGAAGATAAGTCTATCTTACAGATTTTATACTTATCGGATAACAGTACTAATAGATACATGCTATCTATATATTTTGCTTAAGTTTAATTTATTATCTTAAGCTCAGTACTATGGTGTTTATATCATACTATATATAAGCTAACAACTCTACGGAGTTTGTTATTATATTTTTAGCTTTTATATATGCTTCAATTGGGAGATACAAGTGTTCCACTAGGTTCGCCAGAAGAAGAAGACAAGCAATAAGCATGAGTCAGGATAAGTATAAAAATATTAATTTTACTCTAAAAAATTTCATTTATGATCAGTCATAGCAAGACAAAGTTGTATCAGTCATAAATAATGGTCATTTGAGAAAACCTCATATCAGGGTATGAGGTTTTACAACGACCATTGTAAAACTTAGTACCTTGTATGAGGTTTTACAATGGTCATTGTAAAACTCCTGCGAGGTATTACAATGATCATTGTAAAACCTCCTGCAATCGTAAAACTTCTACCGAGGTTATTCCATAATGCGAAGCAACTGCAAGAACAATAGACAATATTGGCCATAGGTTTATAAGAAATGGAAAGTACTTTGTATATTTTTTGTACTTGTTACTGTAAATCCTGAAATTAATGCATCAACATGAATACACAAATCCTTTTAGAAATTGGTCGGATGTAACATATGTTATATATGGGATTACACTTTTAGTACCAATGGGATACAAATTTTAGTACCAATGGGGTTGAGTTCCAATCATGATTTGCATCAGAGAATGACCACCAAGACACATAGTACTGGAATCTTTAATTTACTGAGAAAGTGTATCCCAAAATATGACAACTGTTGTTGTAGGCGTAGTCACACTGTTGTGGATGTGGTTACACTGTTGTAGGTGTTGATGCACTATTGCAGATGGAGATGCATTCACGGGTGTTGGAGTACAAGCAGCAAAGAGACGAGGAGGAGGAGTTCCTCCGGGCGCAAGAGGAGAGGTGTGAGGAGGCAGAGCGTGAGAGGAAGCAGCAGTTGTCTGCCCGGGAGATTGTCAAGTTCAGAGACCGGGTCAGTCCTGCATCCTCAGCTTATGTTCTTTATACCAGACTGGCAGTTGTCTTCCACTTTATAATCAAAACTGAAATCACCTGGCCAGTTTTGAAGGTGCATGCAAAAGGGCACTGAAGTAGCATAAAATAATTGACCTCAGAGCGGGTATGTAAGTCCCATTTCTTTTATGGTATTTTTTATCCTCTGTAAATTTTGATGGTAGAATATATGTTCTTTTAATGTATGGCAAATTGCCATGTTGCCAACACCTGAAGGAATGATGTAATTACAGTGATGCTTATGCTATTTGTAATTGTCTGATGGATTTACTTTACTTGCTTTGCTGACAGATTTTAAACTATAACATTATCTGTTATTAATATTGAATATGTGAATATATATTTTAACTCACTCACTCACTGTACAATTATATAATCATTATGATTGTGTTTTGTCGTATAGGATCTGAGAGCGGTATCTGAGAAGGTTATGAAGAAGAAGGCCAAAGAAGAAGAAGAAAGGGAAAAAGAGAAGAAAATGGCCAGGATTAAGCAACAGGCAAGAATTAACATTCCTTTTCATAGAGATCATCCTTGGGGTACATATATGCATTTTCTGCAGTTGAAAATGTCATGTGACAGTTGTATCAATGTTTTAATAAAAATATTGTACAATAAATAAAAATCTTATTTATCTGTTATACGGCCCCCACCACGTGGAGTTACCTCCCTGCTACGCATGTGCAGCCAACCAGGTAAGCACCTAGGCCCGTATCATCATTCCTTCTGCTGTCACTCTAGTGTTCACACATATTTACCTAAGAGTTACTAGCTGATTTACTTCTTGTAGAAGAATGTCTGAGACTTCAACAACTGCATGTATGGTCTTTATTCGTTTTGAGAAACGTTTTATGGACTTTGCAGTCTGTTATTTCTCATTTATGTGACTTTGTATTAAACTTTTACGCTAGCTTTCCTGTGGTTTACGCATGTGTTGCTATTTCATGGCAGGAAGTTAAGCATGCCACGTTGTTGAAATATTGCGTTATTAACCAAGTATTTCATGTCGCATTGTTGCATTCACATAATTTTCAATGTTTTGTGCGTGTATATTTATGCTGTTGGGTTACGCTGTTCGCTACATGCTTGCGTGTTTGCTTTCAGGCGTTCACGGGATGTGCTGCCTGCAGGCAAAATATTCCCTGTTCCGATAAGGATGACAAATGCTTATGCTGCCTGGAGAAGGCAGGGCATAACCCTGATATCTGTGAGTTGTTCATGGGCTTCTCCCCCCGAGCCCAGAAGAGACGGGCGGCTGCCTTCCTTTTTTATAAGGAATTACGTGAGGCGGGAGGGGACCTGACCCAGGAGGTTCCCCCCGCCCAAGGCCAAAAAGGCTAAGCAAACTAAATATAAGTCTTCACATAGGTCACACTCTCCGTCTCCGTCCAGTGGTTTTGATATGTCACTTATCACTCAATTGTTTCAGCAGCATATGGACTCTGTGAAGTCCCTCTTTCACGAGTCGGTTGGAAGTCTCCGGCAGGAGTTCCTTGCCCACTCTGATCGGGGGACCGAGAGTCCGGGTTGGGATCGCCGAGCTCGGCTCAATCCCTTGGCCTGGAGGCGTCTGTCGATCCTTTGCCTTTGGCTTTGGGTCCGAATGCCTCGGCTGCCCCAGAGGGGGAGGGTTCGCTCCCAGTCTCTCTCTCGGTGTTGGCGCAGGGTCCGTTGAGGATTCCTGGGGTTACCGGTCCCTGCGCCGCCCCGCCCCATGTCAGTGGAGGAGCTGGTTCTGTCCGGCCTTCCTCCCGTGTCTCGGGACCGGGGCTTCGAGTGTTGTGTTGGTGGCCGGAGCTGAGAGTTCCTTCGGCTCTTCCCTTCTTGGTCGTCTGTGGCTCGGCTTTCCACCGGGTCGGGGTTCGGCTCCTCTTCACGTGGAGATCCGAATTCTGACTCGGGCTCGGGTGCCGAGGTTTGGGAGGTCGAGGAGTCGGAGGGTACTTTCCGTTTATCGTCGGCTCTCCGGGAGGTTAGGCAACGTATACCCGAGTATATTCCCCAAGCCGCGGTGCCGACATGTCGCTCAGACTTGACTGAGTTCCGCCTGCTGGGTGAGGCGTTTGCCCCTAGGCAACCCTCTCAGACACATCTCCATATCTTGCCTTCCCTTGTGCAGGACGTGATGGATCCCCTCCTGGTGGGTTCTCGAATACGATTCGATCTACCTGAACTTGTTAAGAGATATCAGCTGGGGGATGATTCTCTGTTCTTTGTGCCGGTGGTTGACGAGTGTGTGTTTATTTCGGTCACCCTCGGGGGAAGCCTCCTCAGGTGCAGCCCCGGCTGCCAAGCAAGGGCGGTTAGTACCACCGTTTGCCCTAGCGGGCACCCCCCTGCATCACACTTACCAGACTTACTAAGAGTCTACTGGAATGCCATGCAGCAGGTGCGGGTCGTGGTCCACGAGGCGTACCTTTCCTCGATACAAAGGTCGGCTCTGGAGGCGGAAGGGAGCACTGGTGACGTTTCCCAACTATCGCCAACTATCCGAAGTACAGGCCCACCTGATGCGAGACTCTTTACAGTCTGCCGCGTCTACGGTGATGTGCGCAGTCATTGGGATGCGCAAGCTGTGGCTGTCTTCATCCCGTTATTAGGCAGCAACACAGCAGACCTTGCTGGCCCTTCCATTTCAGCTGGGAGCGACATTGTTTCCGGGGACACATCAGGTCATTCTGGAGGCTGCTGCAGCTACCTCCTTCAAGGACTCTAAGGCCTTGTTGGAGAAACCGCGGGCTTCTCGCTCCCGTAGCGGGTTCTTCCTCCAGGGCGCAGCCTACGCCTGAGTCTGCCGGCTGGCTTCAGCCGCTGGGTAGAGGTAGGAGGAGGAGCCGTCCCGCCAAAGGTAAGGGCAAGGAGCATCAACGTCTTAGAACGGGAGCATGTTCAGGGCCAGGTGATTCGTCTTCAGTTGGACAACCGTACGGCCATGACGTACATCCTGAAGTAAGGCGTCACGGCGTCCCTAGAGCTCCTTCGGGAGACGTTGGAATTTCCAGTGTGACTGTCAGGTGATTCCTGTTTATCTCCCGGGGCTGGAGAACGTGCGAGCAGACGCTCTCTCTCGCTGGATCCTGGCCCCGCACGAGTGGATGCTCGACCGGCAGATATTCAGAGTTATCTCCCAGTTGTACGGATCGTTCCAGGTGGATCTGTTTGCGTCCGGCGGGACAAATCAGATACCCATGTTCTGCTCTCAAATACCAGACCAGTGGGCGTTGGCTTCCAATGCCTTCCTGCTGGATTGGATGGGCAAGGTGCTGTGAGCGTTTCCGCCTCTACCACTCATTACCCGGGTCCTCTCCCAGCTGTCCACCCAGCCAGCTAGGATACTTGTGCTACTGGCACCGCTGTGGCCGTCACAGAGCTGGTTTCCGGTAATTCTCAGGTTTCTGGCTCAGCCTCCTGTTCTATTACCTTTGGGACCGGACATTCTCACTCAGAATGGCGCGCCATACCCCAATCCAAGGATTCAGTGGGTGGCTTGGCCTCTGTCACGTCTAGCCTCGAAGCACGCGGAATTCCTGCAGCAGTTGCAGACACAATTCTGGCCTCGAGGCGGGATTTGACAAACGTTCAATATGAGGATAGGTGGTCCCGCTATGCGCGCTGGTGTTCAGATAGGGGGATTGCAGATCCCTTTTCTGCGGATTTAGTCCGAGTATTGGAGTTTCTGCAAGCTCGTTTGGAAGAAAGCTTGGCGGCTTCGGACCATTCGCGTGGCTACTCCACTGCAAGCTTTCCACACCCCTGTCGATGGTGCTCTTCTGGGGCAGCACCCTCTTATGCACCTGCTGTCAGGTGAACCAGCCCACTGCTTTGTCAATCGTGCTAGATTGACTTTCCACACTGTTCTCACGATTATCGGCTATTTCCATTCAGCTGTTAGCATGGAAGGCCGTACTTCTGGTGGCGGTAATATCTGGGCGAAGGGTTGGCAACTTACATGCTATGTCGGCAGGCCCGGCGCTGACTGTGTACCATCCATATCGTGTCAGTATTCGCCTCCTGGATACTTACCGTCCGAAGATCGATCACGCTTTCCATGTGACAGCTCCTATCAAACTTCCTACTCTTACCCAGCCTTCCACATCGGGGACCTCTGCAACGAGCACTCACCCGTTGGATGTCCGTAAGACCCTCAAGGTCTATATCAAGCGAACACAAGGGATCCGTACGGGTACCCATCTGTTCTGCTGTTACGGTGGCGGGAAAGCTGGCATGCCGGCTAGCAAACAGACCCTATTATGCTGGCTTGTATTAGTCATTTGTGCTGCTTATCAGGCTATGGGCAAGCCTCCCCCTGAGGGGTTGAAGGATCACTTGGTCAGGGCAGTGGCCACTTCAAAGGCTTTTGCATCGGCCCATTGAAGAGATCTGCTCTGACGCTATTTGGAGCAGGCCTAGCACTTTTATCAGGCACTATCAGCTCAATACACATTCTCGTGATTGGGCGCGTTTTGGCCGTTCTGTTCTCTCCAGTGGACAGTGTCCTGCCACCCTGACCGAGTGAGTCTTGGTTATCTGGACAGTTGACGCTGCTTTCAATTATGTATAATTGATATATCCACTGTTATCATATCTGACTACTTTCGATTTCTCTCATGCGATTATAGTCAGTTGTGAGTTGGTTTTCCCCCTTACGGTGCTCTTTAATAGATTCACGATGTGGGCGGGTTTTTTTACTTTTGCCCTGTGTGCGTCTTACTTTGCTTAACCTGTGAGGTCAGGTCTCAGTACTTTCCTGTCTGTCGGTTACCCTCCCATCATTCCTCTCGTGGAAGCTTCGGTACACGTGACAGGTGAGTGTTGTGGCGTCTGTTACATTCTTCCTAACGGTCGCTATTTATGTGTACTTTGACAGAATTCCCTCCTCCCTAGCCTCCTGTCTTTGGGAGTCTGAGTTAATGCATATATGTACCCCAAGGACAATCTCTATGAAAAAGAATTAGCTAAACCTGTAGAGGTTTCCAATTCTTTGAAGAGAATTGTCCTTGGGGTAGGGCCACCCACCTCGCCGCAATTCTGTTCACTGATTTATTCAGCAGCAGCCTAGGTGCTTACCTGGTTGGCTGCGCATGCGTAGCAGGGAGGTAACTCCACGAGGTGGGGGCTGTATAATAGATAAAACAGATTTTTATTTATTGTACAATATTTGTATTAAAACATTGATACAACTGTCACATGACATTTTCAGCCACAGAAAATGCATATATGTACCCCAAGGACGATTCTCTTCAAAGAATTGGGAAAACCTCTACAGGTTTAGCTAAGTTAATTACTTTTCAGTTATTAATCAAGGATATACTGAAATAATGTAATTGGTTTGAAAGACTGACTTTATTCCAATGTATTAGCATGAACATTTCAGGTAGAGATGTTTGTTCCGCGAGATCCGGACCGCCTGTATAAGCCTACCAAAGGCTGGAAGGAGAGACTAAAAGAACCAGGCCCCAGTGGAGGGGGGCAGGTGCTTCAAATGCCGCACAGGTACGCCTGCAATCAGCTCTTCGTTCAGCACTGACTCATGCTATATGCTTATCTCCCTTTCCCTTCAAACGGTTACATGGAGAGAGTGACAAGAGCATACCAGTGTTCAGGTTACGTGGGACACATTGGAGGGAAAAGGGAGGTATCCCACTGGGTGAGTGATTTTACGTTTGCTGCAGGGAGCAAAGGGATTCAAGTTTCCATGTAACCGTTACAAGGGAAAGGGAGATAAGCATATAACATGAGTCAGGATAAGTATTAAAATTGTGAGACAAATACTTTTGGCCTCAAAGGAGGTACAGGGTGGTGAGTCAGGAGGTACAGGGTGGTGAGTCAGGAGGTGCAGGGTGGTGAGTCAGGAGGTACAGGTTTGGTGAGTCAGGAGGTACAGGATGGTGAGTCAGGAGGTACAGGGTGCTGAGTCAGGAGGTACAGGGTGGTGAGTCAGGAGGTACAGTCCAGGAGGTACAGGAGGGGTGGTAGGGAGTCAGGAGGTACAGGGTGGTGAGTCAGGAGGTACAGGGTGGTGAGTCAGGAGGTACAGGGTGGTGAGTCAGGAGGTACAGGGTGGTGAGTCAGGAGGTACAGGTTGGTGAGTCAGGAGGTACAGGGTGGTCAGTCAGGAGGTACAGGGTTGGTCAGTCAGGAGGTACAGGTTGGTCAGTGAGGAGGTACAGGGTTGGTCAGTCAGGAGGTGGTGAGTTAGGAGGTACAGGGTGGTCAGTCAGGAGGTACAGGTTTGGTGAGTCAGGAGGTACAGGATGGTGAGTCAGGAGGTACAGGGTGGTGACTCAGGAGGTACAGGGTGGTGACTCAGGAGGTACAGGGTTGGTCAGTCCGGAGGTGGTGAGGCAGGAAGTACAGGTTGGTGAGTCAGGAGGTTCAGGTTGGTGAGTCAGGAGGTTCAGGTTGGTGAGTCAGGAGGTACAGGGTTGGTCAGTCAGGAGGTACAGGGTTGGTCAGTCAGGATGGTACAGGGTTGGTGAGTGAGGATGTATAGGGTTGGTGAGTGAGGAGGTACAGGGTTGGTGAGTCAGGAGATATAGGGTTGGTCAGTCAGGAGGAGGTACAGGGTTGGTCAGTGAGGATGTAGGAGTGGTGAGTCAGGAGGTATAGGGTTGGTGAGTGAGGATGTATAGGGTTGGTGAGTGAGGATGTATAGGGTGGTGAGTCAGGAGATATAGGGTTGGTCAGTCAGGAGATACAGGGTTGGTCAGTGAGGATGTATAGAGTGGTGAGTCAGGAGGTACAGGGTTGGTGAGTCAGGAGGTTCAGGTTGGTGAGTCAGGAGGTACAGGGTTGGTCAGTCAGGAGGTACAGGGTTGGTCAGTCAGGATGTATAGGGTTGGTGAGTGAGGATGTATAGGGTGGTGAGTCAGGAGATATAGGGTTGGTCAGTCAGGAGATACAGGGTTGGTCAGTGAGGATGTATAGAGTGGTGAGTCAGGAGGTATAGGGTTGGTGAGTCAGGAGGTACAGGGTTGGTCAGTCAGGAGGTGCAGGGTTGGTCAGTCAGGAGGTACAGGGTTGGTGAGTGAGGAGGTACAGGGTTGGTGAGTGAGGAGGTACAGGGTTGGTGAGTGAGGAGGTACAGGGTTGCTCAGTCAGGAGGTACAGGGTTGGTCAGTTAGGAGGTACAGGGTGGTGAGTCAGGTGAGGTACAGGGTTGGTCAGTCTGGAGGTACAGGGTGGTGAGTCAGGAGGTACAGGGTTAGTCAGTCAGGAGGTGGTGAGTAAGGAGGTACAGGGCTGGTCAGTCAGGAGGTACAGGGTTGGTCAGTCAGGAGGTGTAGGGCTGGTGAGTCAGGAGGTACAGGGTGGTGAGTCAGGAGGTACAGGGTTAGTCAGTCAGGAGGTGGTGAGTGAGGAGGTACAGGGTTGGACAGTGAGGAGGTACAGGGTTGGTCAGTCAGGAGGTACAGGGCTAGTCAGTCAGGAGGTACAGGGTTGGTCAGTCAGGGGGTACAGGGTGGTCAGTCAGGAGGTACAGGGTGGTCAGTGAGGAGGTACAGGGTGGTGAGTCAGGAGTGTGTGTAGTCAGCCTGTTTTAGCAGCCATCACCTTTATTTCCTTCAGAGCTGTTCCATCATGGAGACAGGGACTCAACTGACCTCCCAAGCAACAGCTGGCTGAAGTTTAGAACAGAAAGATTTAGGTGCAATTCTATTTCTTTGACATAGTGGGTTCACACATGAGAGCAATCTGAGAATTTACAACCCTTGTAATTCCATATTTAGAAAGTATTAATTGAACGAAATGCTGATCTAGCCAGCTGTATGGGTGATGGTAGACCTGTGGTTAAACATGCCCCTTCATGTTAGTGACGCAAGTTCTTTGTGATCACATTTGTGAAGTGAGAGTCCACTGATCTGACTGCAGTGTAATGCTGACACTTCAGAACCATGTGAACAAGGACAATATGCCATGAATAAGGTGCATTGATACAATCATGTGAAACAATCAGATGTGAATGTGTATGTGCAACATAGTATCTGCTATATCAGCCTGATCTCCAGATTGTGTCTATTGTGAGGCACTGTGAGCATCCATGGCTGCCCATCATGTGTACAGTAAGCTCACTGATTGCTGGTCTCATGTTTGTCTGAGGACTGGCTATCGATGTAGATCGTAGAGATCAATAATCATTTATTGAATTTAGATCCGTTATCAATAAATACTGGGGTAGTAATTGCGAGCAAAACTGACCCCAAAATCTGAAAGAAAATCAACATATTTCACATCACTGGAAAGTGGTGACATATTTAGGCTTGGACTAAAGTCCATTCTGAACATAATTTAGAAGCATCTCATGAATAAAGACCAAACTTTGGGTATTGTCAGCATAAATTAAAACTTTATTTCATGACAATAGTTTATGTACGATATCAGTGATGACAAAATCTTCATATCAATAATGATGAACTTTTCCCAGTAACAATATTTCCAGTTATCAATCTTGTTAGCCAGGCCTAGTTTCTAAGGGTTAACAAATTCCGTCCACACATTAATAAACATTGTATATGGGTTTTAAACGTGTTTCCAGCCCGCAGGTCACATGATGTATGTTTATGATCAAGCAGCATACTTGACACTTTCATTGTTACAAGATATAAACTAACATAATGTGAATACTGTCATGTACAATAATTTATAACTAAAGTATATGTATTATCTGTTCATGTTCTAGTAAAGGATGTGATTTTACACAATTATCAACCCTTTCATTGGCATGTGTCTCAGGGAGTCTGATAATGTACAGTACCATGGTAACAAGTATCTTACATTTTGTAGATATGATTTAGTTTCCGTATATTTGACAACAAACTGAAACAACTACCACTGAATAATGTTCTTGAGTATCATTTAGAAGTTGGTGTCACGAACAAGGAAGTCTGTCCAAAGGCTTGAAAACTCTTGCCCACTGGCAGCCCAAAAGGTGATACACAAAGGATATAGTTCTATGGATATATCTTTATTTATATACCACTTCCTTATTTCATAAAGGATATTATTACAATATGTGATGTTTTGGCAATTTGCTTGTTAACAGTGTCAGCTTCTACAATAAAACCTTGCATATGTTGTGATAAAGAAGTTGGGGAGCAGTTTCTACATAGTAGTTTGGTCATCAACAGGTCAAACATTCTGTCCAACATCTTAGTCCCGTCCAGGTGGATTATTTCCCATCAAATTTGAAAATGTTTATATATTTTTCAGAATGTATTCTTTGTAATAATCTACAAAATTATTTGTTTTGCTGTTTGTGTTTAATCATATCACTAGATAAGTTATGTTAATTTGGTCAAGAATACACTTTTGTGTACATATATGAAATATGACTTTGTTAATGTGTAAATATAAATGTATGTATATACATTTACAGAAGGTTCATGACAAGGAATATGAAACATGCATGTAATATACTAGTGTATAAAGATGCCAATAAATACAAGTCCAGTATCTAACAGTTTTCTTATATATGTCAAGCAGAGAAGCATTATTCTTGGTGATGTATGCTGATTAACATTTCATGAATCTGTTTGAGACTGTATGTACCTTTAACCAAATGTGAATCTTAGTCCAAACAACAATTTCTTGTGTCATAGTGTGACACAATCCCTCTCTGTTCTTGTTGATTGCCATATAGCTGGAATATTGCTGAGTGCGGCATAAAACTAATCCCTCTCTCTTGATGAGGTTACTCATGCGTGAGTGAGTGGTTACTCATGTGAGTGAGTGAGAGTGAGTGTTGATAATGCCACAGTTCCCCAGCTGTATCGTACAACCTGTATTCAGGTGTTGTGACCAACAGCAAGGGCAACGATCCCATTTTTCAGCCTCCTCTCACACACTCAGTGACAAAACCTTACCATCTGAGCCAATTGAGTTGACTGTGAGAAACACAGGTTATAACACAGCTAGTTTACATACTTATATCCAGCCACTTGACACGCATCTGTAGTAAACCCGTGATAAATGGGAAAGATGTTGTGGCAGAGAATCATGCATATTTATTTCCATATTAATATTCTGCGTTTGTTATGCTGACTAAACAAGGGACCAGCTTCTCATAATACAAGGCACTTTGGAATGTAGACATGCTTGATAGGATCACTGGGGTGTCCCTAGCTTCAAAAATTCAACTCAGCCATCTTGGTGAGCCATCGTGGGATGTAGCGTATTGAAAATGTGTGCTGCAACCAGTGTATGAAATAAGGCCCGTCCGACCGTCCGAGATGGGCTAGATTTCTTACAGATGGTCTAAATTTACAGCCAGCCAGATGGTCTGGTAAAATTTTAGATAATCCATACATCTGAGTAAATTCACCATATCTTTGTGTCTGGTCTGGTTAAATCCGATTTTTCATGTTGAAATCATAGAATCTTTCCCTGATGACTGGGTTCAATGTACTGAAACACGTTGTGAGTTGTTTCATGCCTTTCACAACTTGGAGCTAGTGCTTGTCTGTTCAACTGCTCCAGCATCAACCAGACTCCTGATGTCTTCCTGGCTGTACCCAGCATCCTGCAGCACCTCCAGTGTGTGTTGACCAATCACAGGCTGCGGCTCCAAGGTGCTGACACCTGGTGTCCGTGACAGACCAGGTGCAGGTCCGGCCTCATATCCACCTCGGGGGTTCTTCAGGAAAGTATTATTAGTTTGATTATGAGGGTGCAAGGGTGCTTCATCCATATCCAGAATGGGTTCCACACAGGCATCTAAATCTCTAAAGGCCTCAGTCCACTCATCACGAGTCTTTGACAAGAAAATGTCTGTGAATATCTTTTTCATTTCTTTTCTATCACCATACTGTGATACTTTGTCTGGATCAAGTTGAAGGCCTGCAAAACAAAGTAAAGGTTGTAGCACATATTCAGATTTCTCAACAAATGGTTTCAGGGAACACAGCTGGCTTTCTATGATATGATATTGTTTCATCTTAAGTGTCCCACTGTGTTGAAGTAATCCATGGTTAGAATTCTTAAAAACTATTTGGACAATATTATTCACATGCATATACTATTTGAGAAACACCTTTGATTTCCTAAGACAAACATCAGTATCCTGTGACCAGTTGTCTCCATAACTCTATTTCCATGAAGACTGTCTCTAAACTTGATGGTGTAGTAGCTTGTGGCTAGTTGTTTGACCAGACAACAACCTGGGTTTGATTCTCCACATGGGTACAACATGTCAAGCCAACTGCTAGTGTTATGTTCTTGATTTGTGTCAACTGGGGTGTAAAACCTCACTCAACTTCATCCTCAGTTTTACCTTTGAGCAGTGCAGCATAAAACTGTGGTTCCAAGGCACCAACAGACATGAACTTTCCATCAGCAGTCTTGTATGTTTCATAAAATGGAGACCCAGTGTCAAGAAGGTTCTCCCCTCGCTCTGCACCCCAGACGAAGGTGTCTTTCATTGCCCATAGGAAGTTAGCTGAAACATCATTAGAATTTCAGAACCTCTGAGTGTTTATCCTATGATACACTTGTCACTTGCCCTGAGCCTTTTGTTTAATTCAAACACTCTGTCTTTTAAATTTGACAGACTATTTCATTCCATTATTTATCTGAAATTTTGAACAAATTACAATTTATATATTTACTCCAAGACAACTGGTGAATAGATCTAGACATTACCTCCATGGACTAGTGGACAGAGGGTCTAACAAGACCCAGATGCACACACCAACACTCACTGATGCATTATGTTCTGTGTATGGGCTATAGTCGTGTCTGAGACTGAAACCTCATTTCACCTTGCTCCACCTGTTCTACATCACTGGTCACTGATGGACAAACCCAAACTGGTCATGTAGTTTTAACTGAGTTGAGATTAGTCAGAGAGACCCTTATCTTGAAATATGGAAAAATCAGTCCATTTGAAAACTGAACAAGCATAGTCACTAAGGTGACATAATCCCCCGCCGCAAATTATCAAATCAAACTTAAAAAGTAATGAAAGTTTAAGATGAAGTTAAATATCAACAAAAACATGACCAGTCAACCTCTCTTGATATCTTGCTCTTTAGTTGTTCAAACACAAATATTTTCAAGACTGACTTTGACCTTGACATGGATGTCATAGTGTATGAAATATCCAAAAATGGTACTAAAGAAACTGCTTATTGAAAAACATTCAAGGGAAGTCTTGAAAGTCTATGATGAAAATCCAGTGAATTCAGGTTAACATGCTGAAATCTTCAAAGTGTCACCATGACCTTGAAACTTATGTGAAGGTCACCAAAATCAACTGGGCCCTGCACCTTCATAAGATGAAGCTTGGTGTCAACTATGAAGAGAATCCAGTAAATGTTTTTTGCGATATCTTGCTGACTATCTTAACATGCAATTTAACATGCTGAAATCTTTCAAGTGTCTTTGTGACCTTGAAAATTAAGTGAAGGTCACCAAAATCGACTGGGCCTTGCACTGGATGAAGCTTGGCGTCAAATATGAAGAATATCTAGTGAACGGTTCTTGATATATCTTGCTGACAAGAGTAAAACGTTAAAGTCCCCTTGTGACCTTGAAATTAAGGTCAAGGTCACCAAACCTGACTGGGACCTTTCTTATACTGTGATGAACCTAGGTACTAAATATGAAAAGAATCTAGTCAACGGTTCTTAAGATATTCCAATTCGTACGTACGGATGGATGGACAAAGCCTAATACTATGCGGCGGATAAAAACAGCCCTCAATGAACTGCAGCTGATGCATTGTCAGTAGCTTAGATAGCCATCCCAATTTTCTAGGGCAGTTTGTCTTTAATTCTAGATATCCTTAGTTGTAACTAAACCAATAGACTACCACTGGTTAAACAATGAGACAATGCACACAATTTCAATTTAAAATTTAGAGAACAAATATAACTCTCAAAAGTCTTGATTATATTTCGATTCCTACCAACCAAACTGGACTTGTTACACAAAACATGTCAAAAAGAGTATTAGATGGAGGCTGTTTATGCCAGCACTCACAGACATAGGCTGAGCCCTGCACCATGTTGGCATCAACCACCTGGCCCCTGCCTGACCGTGTCCTCTCAAACAGGGCCAGCACCACCCCAAGGGCACACATCAGTCCTCCCCCAGCAAAGTCACCCAACAGATTGACTGGAGCACAGGGATTCTCATGCTTACGGCCTAGTGTAGAGAGAACACCTGCAATACAAGCAATATATCATTGAGAACGCTTGCATATTACTGGCATAATACGTTTGTGTGATGAAAGTGAGTGAGTCAGTTTGGTTTTACGCTGCTTTGAGTAATATTCCAGCAATATCACGGTGAAATGGGCTTCACACATTGCACCCATGTGAGGAATCGAACCCAGGACATCGGCATGATGGGCCAATGCTTTAACCACTAGACCCCCCCCTCCCCTTTCACTATGTTATCAACAACCAGACTTTCTTGTTAGGTGAGTTGGAGTGAAGTTAGCAACTACATTCGCAAGTCATAGTAGCCTAGCAATCAAAGTATTTTCCCTTTTCTTGGCTCATGTCAATTGCTTGTTTCTTCATTGTCCCAAAGTGGAAAATTCCTATTCTGTGTTCCCCAAGAACAGAAAAACATTTGCTAATATCGAGGCATTGTACCTACGTACCCTGTATGAGAGTCTGTGTACACCAAGTGCAAGTCTATGTACACAGTATACACATCCAAAGTTCACGCCCTTGCATCACTCTTGAACTTGCTTGGTTAAGCCCCCTGTATTGATGGGTGTTCAGTTCAAGGTAATACACACTCATATTATTGTATGCACACATTTCTAAAGTTCAACGCTTCTTCCCAGGCTTTGTAATTTGTACACTATCTGTCAGCCAGTGCATGGGTTAAACTGGACATCAATAACCAATCAAGTAACAATTGTGTTGATGTGAAGAACACCCTCATTGAGGTAACACACACACCATACTGTCATGGTGGGAGATACTTAGATGTGAACCACTGAATTACTCTACATTGTTATAGTAAGTCAGAGTTGTTCGTATTCATAGATCAGGAGATCATCCTTATGTTTCACCTGGATTCTATAACTATATATACACCCACATTGACACTTTACTTACTTTCTCAAATACAATACAGTACAAGGTAACTGGCCCCTGATTGTCGACACCTTAGGGATCAACAACAGGAACATGTCCACTGTGGTCAGTGAGACCAGTGCTGACCACACCCACCTGATGTAGCAATGTAGTTAATGTCATGTCCAGCTCGATGGGACAGACTTCCCTTCTGACCATAGCCGGTGAGTCTGGCGTACACCAGGCCTGGGTTGTCAACCATCAGTGTCTCTGGTCCCAGTCCAAGCTTCTCCATCACACCTACACAGCAACATCAGCAACATGGTGTGATATCAACACAACTTGTAACGTGGTACAGACAAGCCTACTAATTTATACCTACACAACTTGTCTCCTGGTCCTATAGAATGCCCTACTGATTGATACCTACACAACTTGTCCTGGTCCTATAGACTGGCCTACTGATTGATACCTATACAACTTGTCCTGCTCCTATAGACTGGCCTACTGATTGATAACTACACAACTTGTTCTGGTCCTATAGACAGGCCTACTGATTGTCCTATAGACAGGCCTGGTCCTGACTGACTGCCTACTGATTGATACCTACACTTGTCCTGGTCCTACAGAGTGGCCTACCTACACAACTTGACTGGCCCTCCTTGATACTGATTGATACCTACACAACTTGTGTCCTGGTCCTATAGACTGGCCTACTGACTGATACCTACACAACTTGTCCTGGTCCTATAGACTGGCCTACTGACTGATACCTACACAACTTGTCCTGGTCCTATAGACTGGCCTACTGACTGATACCTACCAACTTACAACTTGTGACATGGTCCTATAGAGTGGCCTACTGATTGATACCTACATGACTTATCCTGGTCCTGTAGACAGGCCTACTGGGTGATAACTACATGAGTTGTCTCCTGGTCCTACAAACATGCCTACTGATTGATACCTACACAACTTGTGACCTGGTCCTACAGATGAGTCAATACAAGATTGGCTACTCAACAGAGTAGACATGTCTTACTCAGCATACCTGAAATATTTCTTGTTACTTTTCGCGTTATTTTTAAATAATCTATATGTATGAAACAAGTTGCTATGACAATTCCTACAATGTAAATCATATGTCTCTACACTTCAGAACAAATGGTTTGTCATTACAATTTCTAGTTGATCAGCTGATATGGTTTGTTTATAATTCTTCTACTTTATTCACAAAATAGCACAGCTAAGTGCTAATATCCAATCCTTCTTGGAGACATGTCTCACCTGGGCGGAAAGGTTCTATCAGCACATCAGCTCCTGAGCAGAGTTTTTTCACAACTTCAATTCCCTTCTTTTGCTTCAAGTCTACAGCTACTGACTTCTTCCCTCGACCTAAGCGGTCGGTGTCAGGAGGATTCTTTGTCTGAAAACAAACAACCCGTATATAATATGTACGTCAGAACTATACACATGACGGCTAATCAAACATTGCCTGAATCATAATTTTAAAATTTTTGGTCCAAACAGGGCAGTCATTCGCTTGTGCTCTGGAATGCAAATGCAAAGCATGTGCTTCACACAATATCTCAAATACTATGGGTCACATGTTCAAGTCATGCAAAGGCGCCAAGTACATTGGAGTATAAACTTCATAATTGCAGTATATGCACTACAGACTTCTGTACTGATTTAAATATATTACATTTACTTGACATTTCAAGACGTATATTTCAAGAAAATACATAATGGCAAGATAATGTCTTGCATGATGTAGGGATGTCCTGTCGCAACACTTCCCACACAGGGACACTTCCTTCACACACACCTAGATACAGAGACACTGCAGGAGGGTTTAATGACTTTACTCTCTTTATATCACTGCGGGTCTTCACTTCCAAGGAGTTCAAGGAGCTCAAAATAAACTACATAAATACACAAAAGATACCTCCACTATCCAATGAAGTGTTAGTTGCTTTCATATACTTACACAAATAAAAAAACCAAAACAAGTGGTATAACAACACTGTGTTTGCCTTTCTGAATGCATGAATCTTCACTCATCTCTATTCACTGGTTGAAAGCAGGTATCACCGATTAACGCTACTGCAGTGGTTAACACACAAAGGTGCTCTAGCTGCAACTGACACATGTAGCAGTTCCCATAAACAGCATTATGATATATATTATGTTCATTGCATGATATATATGTTTTTAGTGCACAAGACATGCTAAGACCGTCTTTGTTTGTGAAATAGTCCACTGTACACAGTTTGTAGTATTGATATGAAGTTACCCTGTCTATTCTGATAACTTTAGCTCCAAAGTCCGACAAGACCATTCCACAGAAGGGGGCTGGAGCCAGCCCTGCCATCTCGATGACTCGGATACCTCTGAGAGCCATGTCGGATATCTTCCCTTGCATGGATTCGTCTGTAATTAAACATCAATCAGTGTTAACACATTTCACTTCCCTTGGCACTGGACTATTAGCATCATGTCAGCGAGGAGTGAAGTGTGTTTTATGTCTGTTTCAGTTGTAGTGCTGTGTTTTGTAAGTGTCATGTTCGCACTTATACTAGTGATCATGTCAGTGAGAACCGAGGTCCGAAAACCTAGGATGTGGCATAATATAACCCTAAATAGAAACAGTACAGCATGTTAAAGAATGCACCATACTTTCTGATAGGGTCACCCTTAATAATTGATTATGTTTTCAAGATGCTCAGTGTATAACGTCACCCTGGACCCTCCAAACATGCCATGGATGTCGAAGAGCAAGCTATCAAATGACTGCCACCACCAGCATCGTCTTGTAGATGCAGTTCTGTAAAGTGGTGGCAGTTAGTTCCACGGGTTTTATATTACTATGTGTAAAAACACGGTACACCGCATGTAACCTCGAAAACAATAGCTGTAAACACCAGAAACAATTATCAACTCAAATTTGTAGCACTGTAGCTATACATGTCGCTACTAGTTACAGCTCCCTAATCTCATCATTATACATTACTAACGCTGCATCGACTATTCTCACTTCTACAACGTCAGCTTCTTGGCCCTTTTTGGAGCTTAATCTGTGACCATGTTTGTGGGACTTTGAACTCGAGCAGACGCTCACAAACTCAAGCCTCCTCATTTGTCGCCGTACGGAGCTTTAGCTAAGGTCACTAATCCATACGTTCGTGCGTTTGCATACCACTACGAAATGCCCACTCGCTGATCTGTAGATGCAAAGGCGTATGTAGAATATACGTCTTACGGTCTTTGATCTATGTTATATCTAATAACGAACGATAAGGTGTCGTTACAAATACAATCTCTGCAGTACAGAAAGACTTGTATTGATAGTTGCAACTGCCACTGACATCTATCTTCTTGCGTCTTGTAATATCAGGGTCATGAGGCAAAGTGGTTAAGTTGAGTTGAGTTGGGTTTTGCGTTACATCGGCATTATTCCAGCCGTATAGTGACGAGAACAAGTTTGCATTAATAAACATTGTAAGTACATACTCGGAATGAGTTTTATTTAAAAAACATATCAAATTTAATGGCAGGAAATTTGTTAGTCACATTTGACAGTTACAATTTATGATAGTTACATTTGACAGTTACAATTTATGGTACAGATCAACTTCCCTCAGGTAGTTCACTATCCGATGAGCGCTCACGCGGGAGAACAGATCTTTTAGGTTTGTTGCATCATAATGTGAGTCCCTTGCAGACGATAAGTCCACGCATTCAAGCAGGATATGCTTGATGGTGAAAATCTCATCGCAAGAGACACACATGGGGGGTCCATCCCCCATCCGTTTTCAGCAGATAGTCATGAGTAAATCGGCTGTGGCCAATACGACATCGTCGTAAAATTACCTCATCACGTCTTGACTGACAACCCAAGTAGGTATAACCAATTGTTGGTTTCAATTCATACAGTTTATTTCTTCCGTACTTGAGTGTCCCATCGTTTTGCATGAGTTCCCGAGTATAGCTTTTGATAGAGGGTTTTAAATCACTGTACGGGATCAGCAGTGGAGATAAGGGCTTGTCAAGAGCTGCTGTTGCTGCGGCATCGGCTTTTGTGTTACCTGCTATGCCGACGTGACCCGGCATCCAGCAGAGGACGATGTCACATTGGCCAGTAGAAGGGGCCGTTCATAATTTATGACCTTTTTAGGAGGGGGTCACCCATTTTGTTCTGGCGATGAGGGGGTGGGGGTGGGTTGGGTTCATAAATTTTGTACACAAGTACTGAGGGGGTCAGCAATTTTTACATATTAATATTTAAAAATTATGCTTAAAAATTATGTTCAGGTGTGTGTTTGTTTGTTTGTGTGTCTGTGTGTGTGTGTGGGGAGTGAGAGAGATTGATTTTGTACATGACATGCAGGGCGGGGTCACTTACTTTGTACATATTTATTTATTTTATTATTTATTTAAGTTTTATTTTAATTTATTTGGGGTGGGAAGAGGGGGGGAGGGGGGCATTCACATTGTACATGCTTCTCCGTGAAATTCATCATCACCCCCACTAGCCATAAATTATGAACGGCCCCCAGTGTTCACTCGTCACGCCCAAGGCCCGTGTTCGATCACCACACATGTACAGTGTGTGAAGGCAGGCCTGGTGTTCCGCGCTGTGATATTGCTGGAATAAAAGCAACAGTGGCGTAAAACTCAGCGTGTAGTTATATCTAGGATCTTGAGATATCTAACATCTCATGATATTTGGTGCCTTGCGATATCATATTTCTGGTGATATTTAGCTTCTTGTCATACCTACCTAGTGATATCCAGCGTTCATGATTTCTCAGACTCTTGTGATAAATGGCCCCCGTCGACATCTCAATGAGTTTTGGTTTTGGTTTTAAATCACTACAACAAAGCAAACGTTAAAGGTCACATGCAACGCAAAACACAACTTTGCAGATTCTAATACATTTCGGTATGGACTTACAGTAACAAATTATCAAAAATGCAAATTCAACTTATAAAGTTGAAAAATAACGCGATGAAAAAAACCCCGCGAAATCGGAGTTCAAACGATTCACTAAAGGCCAGAAATGCTTGGAAAATGCATTTCGGCAATTATTTGATATTGGTTGATATTTCAGATTCAAAACTCATATATAATCAATCATACCACCTCGACCTAATAGGGCATATGATTAATAACGATGTACCATTCCCTAATCATAATGATTACTCGTAAAATATCGAAAAAGATATCGAAAGATTCCATGGTAGAAACACTTCTAAGAAACAAACTATACTGTGACCCACCTGGCAGGCAGACAGGGTGACAGCGTTATGTAACGCACGGGCAGTACATGTCAGGGACCGTCTCAAAATATCAAGTGTCAGTATCACTGCTGGTCGAGGCCTCCGTCCGACGTTAACGCCGTCCCGCAGACGGTATTCGTCCTCGATTTTGAGAACAGGGTCTCAGTCTTTTGCCACACATCTGGGGTAATTCTCCCAAAAGAAGCATGCACAAGCTCTTTAACGTCCGAAAGCTTGAATGTGGTATTATTGCGAGCAATAAAATTCTTACAGTTACTGCAGATCAGCTCGATGGGATTGAGCTCACAGTGCTGTACTGGTGTACGTAGAACTATGTGGCCTTATTTTGCAGCTAGTTCGCTTTTTGTGATTGGCTTTTTGTGCTGCCGGATTTTTCCATGAGCTGGGGCTTTGTTTCTGATTGCCTGTAAGGCATGTTACAGGAAGTGAGAAAATCCTGCAAATGAGCCTTGAGATTGCTCATGGTGGGTGTGATGGTACCAGGGACACGCAGGTATCCAGCGTTATGCAGCTGCGGTGAAAGCTGATGTTCGAACCAATCCAACAATACCTGCACATTCATTCCGCTATGGTCATCACCGTCAGATTTCTTGGCCTCAAACACAAAGTCACAACCCCCAGTCAGTCCCTCACAACCCCCAATCAGTCCCTCACAACCCCCAATCAGTCCCTCACAACCCCCAATCAGTCCCTCACAACCCCCAATCAGTCCCTCACAACCCCAATCAGTCCCTCACAACACCCAATCAGTCCCTCACAACACCCAATCAGTCCCCCTCACAAGTCCCCCCCAATCAGCCCCTCACAACCCCAATCAGTCCCTCACAACCCCCAATCAGTCCCTCACAACCCCAATCAGTCCCTCACAACCCCCAATCAGACCCTCAAAACCCCCAATCAGTCCCTCACAACCCCTAATCAGTCCCTCACAACCCCCAATCAGTCCCTCACAACCCCAATCAGTCCCTTACTACGGGTACCAGCATGCAAGATGACCAGGCGTCTACCTTTGCCTGATGGTAACGCTGGTGCCTTAACCCGTGCCATAACAACCTGAAGGAAGCCACATCCTATCGGTTGAGGGATTTTTATTACAGCAGGTTTCATCAGTGGTATATAATTTGAGGGTATTCAACTGAGATAAGCTGATCGCATGGACAGGATTGAGTACTTTTCTCTAAACACAGCTCTGTCATCTCCCCTTTTGGTGTACCTGAACCCCGGAAAGGCGACTCGTAAAAACACAGCAAGTGATGCGTGCAAGGATTATCGCTGTGGTCGAAGTTGGAGAACAAAAGATGTTTCTTGTGATTACAAGCATCTTTGGTCTGCAGTAATAAAAATACACTGGTCCCATTCTTTGTCTTATATGTTTTCACATCTTGCTTTTGGGGGGCTTTGGATTTGCAAACCAAGTTTTCAAGAAAGTGTAGCATTAGAAATACTAATTTCTTTGTTAAGAATTGCTCAGCTTGAAAACTGAAATGTTTAAATACATGTCTATGGAAACATAGAAAAATATGTTGATTGTGATAAGCAGTCTCTGTCACAGACAAAACTAAATGTCTGTTTTATTGACACCTTTGTGTCTGTCTGCCTGTCTGCTAATGACAATATGCAATACACAACTTCAGTCATTGACCACATGCAATTTGAACTTGAAACGTACCAGGCTATACACCATAAACAAAACGCATTGATTTATGGCTCGTGCACCTGAGTTCTGTCTCTGTCACATTATGTAATTACACAGACAGGCAGGTGTGATACTTGTACACATGACATGTTATTATGTCTGTGGGTTGCAAACAAACTGCATCCATTTTTCTCAGATGACTGGATCGGACGGAAACCGGTGCAAACTCAGATTGTCAGTTTCAAGTCCTGCTTTGCACTTGGACGAACGACAGTTCCAGCCACGCAGTAGTTCACCATCTCAGTATTTGTTGATTGGATCGAACGCAAATGCAGAAAAAATTAGCATGTATTTACAAAACCCAACATCTCTATATACACACACAACGAGTCCTCAGCGTATCGGCAATGAACCACCCAATGAAAGGCTTCGTTACACTTGAGTGCACACCCACCCGCTCTGACTGGGTTCGGTCTCCCGGGTGCTTCGTTTCGAGGGAAGAAACAAAATATTGCACTTTGATTTGCGATTGTGCTCTTATAATTTTGTTTATTTGTTTTTTCATCAGTAATGTATATTATATGTCATGAATAAGTGATAATTGTGTTTTAATTATATTTCTTTTTTTGTTTGCATGTGACCTTTAATAGAAATTTATGTTATATGTTTTATGCAAAGGGCGGAACCTGAATGTATCACTTAAATGTTAAATGCGTTTTTTTAACAATATGCTCATACCAATTCTCCTCTGTAGTCGCCTGATATTTGGATTCGACAACATCTCAATACTTGAATTGTCCATTTACATTCCCGAAAACATTTTTTATTATTAAAAACAAAATACTTCAAGTTTCAAGGTATAGGGGGAACATGGAAGTATTTACATGTCGAACATAGCTAACATGAAATATTTGGGGCACAATTAATCATCTAAATAATCCTTCCTTGTATAAGTTATTGTACAATGACGACATATTTGGAAAGTGTAGACATAATCTACAGTGTGGATAGGTGTACGAGATACGTTTTCAAAAGGCACATTTACTAGAATAATAAAAACAATGATTGTCTAAATTTTCAATATTACTTGAAAGAAAATGCTGGAAAACGTTTGTCGAGCCTAACTTCAGTTAAGAACATGTAACCATAATCTACTTAAAGGCGCTTTAACATGAAAGAAGACGTCCACATTTGGTTTAAACATATTTGTATTCATGAAAGAATCTGGTTTGGTAAACAAGCAAAGCTTTGCTTTTGTGAATACCTCACCAGTACAAATATAACACAAATAGAACACACAGGAACTAGACAAAAGAGACAGAATGAAAAAGACAAAATGAAATAAAATAAAATCGTAACATCGGATGTGCACCGAATTCTAATGAACAACCCGCTTGCGGTTACTGTTAATTATTGTGTGAAGGTAATTATTATTTAATATTTGGTTTAGACTGTTTTATCGAATCGTCTAGTCTTGCAAATGTATTGGTGGAGGGACTCCATAATATTCTTATTTCATTATTAGTCGTTGGCGGTGTTCCGTATAACACAGTTTGGAGGCTGTGACCATTTATATAAAAGTATGCATTATATCTAACGGCAGTATATAATTTACATGTAAAGAGATAACGAATAACATTTTCATTGTGGTATCCACAAGCCCATTCAGCATTAGTTGACGTTTAGCAAGCTTTATGACGTAGGTGAGAATTGCAGAATTCCATTCTTTGTTTATTAGTACATGCAGTTTTAGAAAATGAAACATTCTTTACACAAAATATGCTACATTCGACCCAGTGAGTATAACATGAATCTAATTTTCAATAATCCAACCACTCTCCATCTCTCTCCATAATGAACTGCAGTCAATCGCGCGCGCGTGTGTGTGTGCGTGTGTTCGTGCATGTGTAAAACATTATATATAGTATATATTTTATGTATAAGTATTATGTTGTGGAAACGTTTCAGGTTTTTTTGGGTAGGGCCTGAGTGTAAATAACAGTTGAGCACCATGGTGGATTCCTTTAAAGGGTATACAACGCCCAAGAATGGTCTAGTTCAGTATCCTTAATAATGCCCCCATCCTGACTAACATTGTCCCCACAGCTCCAATAAGGGCAAGGCATATTCTGAAAACTTATTGAATTGGCAAATCGAAATACTAAGTTAGCGATCCGATTTAGCTGATTTTGATTGTGGGTTGATGAGATGGTGTAGCTGATGAGCTGGTGTAGCACAAGGTCGTTGAGGAAGTTGGGGGTCAAATTCAAAATGTGCAAGTTGCAGCCAACGTCAATAGTACCATCTCTGACATGACCCATGCCCATTCGATACATGCTCTTGATGATGTCATCTTGACCGAGTTCGTTTCGACTGGATATTGTCTGCTGGAGATGACCAAAACGTGTTCTATGGGGAAAGGTCAGGGACATGGTATTACATGGGTGTTTAGCTCGTGGGCTGCTGGAGATGACCAAAACGTGTTCTATGGGGAAAGGTCAGGGACATGGTATTACATGGGTGTTTAGCTCGTGGGCTGATGTTGATGTTACCCCAGTGCTCATGTTCCGTTCCTTGCAGCCCCGACGCCTCTCATTCAAATGACCTGCAGTGGGGTGACACGTGGAAGACGTACTCGCAACTGTCACATGTGCCGCGGATTTCGCGCCGTCTGGGCATGTACTGTTGCAACACGTCTGTTGTGTGAGAGGCATTTACCAACCGATGTATAAATGCCATTGCTCCGACTAATCTGTCCTAGGCTGGAGTTGTTGCCCTTTGGCGATCAGAGCGGAGTCGTTCATCGACGTCATGTGGCTGTTGGTACCGGGTCCAAAGTCTGCTGATGACGGACTGTTTGGGCAACACTAATCCCAAGTGCCCCTACCTGCAATCAGTGTGCAAAATATTTTCTAAATGCTAGCTATGCCTGAAAGTTACTAGTCCATAAAATAATTCACTAGCACGAAATCTGAATGTAGAAACTAAGCAAATGATTGCAAAAAGGCAAAATATCATAAAAAAACGACCCCATGAACTTTCACTAGCCAGTCGTGACCAGTGACTGGAGATTTACTGGCCCCATTGTTTTATACTAGCCACACTGTTGTGTAAGGGAGCTTGTTTCTCGCCACATAAATCACATTTTTTTGGTCAGACATTAGTTCCTGTACTTTCCTCTCCAAACAAAATATCGCCTACTTCTTGACATAAAATATACATTGTAGACATCTCGAAACAGAAGGCTTAGATCATAACACATTATGAAACACTTAGAGCTACTTAGCATGTGTTGTCCAGAGACCCGAGCAGAAAGAAGGATATGGGATCTGCGAAGTTCGAAACCAAACTCTCTGGAAATCGAGGTAATTGGTGGAGTCGGGGCAATCTTAGAAGAGACTTTCACGCCCACTCGAACAAACGAGTCAGCAACCATGTTCCATGAGCCATCTGCCTTTTTGTTTATGTGGTTGCAAAAAGTGTCGGTTCTCTGTTTGGAGCTTAGCCAGATGCATACAACCTCTCAACTTTATGGTACAAAGCTCCCCTACAGTGCGTGGCGATCCTACCTTTCCGGCTGTTGGCGAGGTGCACACCCGATGGAACAGTGATGGACTATGGAACCACATCGCTTTCTAGGGAGTGTACAAAGTTAGCCCATTCTGTACTCTTGTTGTCCGATCTTACCGAGTCCACGTAAACAACAGAAGGAAATTTAAGTCTTTCATAAGTACACGATTTCTGGGAAACGCATCTTCATCTCGTTCTACTCGCAAGCTGGCAAGGTACTTCGGAATTCACCTCTACGAATACTCTGCGGTAAGAGGAAAAATAGACTAGAGATATAAATACATTTTGTGTTGTTCATTTTCCTTCCTCGCTGTCTAACTCATCAATTGGTTTCAGTGTGTACTCACAACAGCTGCACAGCTGGTGTCAATGACATGGGTGTGTTTACACTGAGTTTACTATTCAAACGTGTGGATTTCAGAATTGGTCCCAACAACCTGGTCGTTCTCGGCGACCACATGGTGGTCAGGCCCTGTGACGTGTTGATCGTGTGATCCAACTTTGTGGATCACAGCTCACAACATCTCACACCCCAGCTCTCGGATTTAGAAACAATGTTACAAGGAACAATCCGTGCAGGTTTGCCGACATGTAGTGCAGTCAATCTAACCCTGAAGGCACAGAGAGTAGTGGGTTTCAAGTCTGGCCTATCTATTGTGAGGAACGTGTTGAGGGTACGCTCTTTACCGCCACTGATGGCCGTGTGGCACGGAACTATTTACACGTCTCAGCTCCAAACGCTTTATTGCCGACACACGAGGCGCACGTTACCATTCACCTTTACTTTTTGGACACAACTTTGAGAACATTTCAGACATGTGAGAAATGGTTCGGGCTTCAGACACAAACGAGCCACATGATATCAAGTGAACACCCGAAGTCGGTGCCTTCCTCGCTTGTGTGCATGTGCGCGTGTTTGTGTGTATATGTGTGCGTTTCTGTATGTATATACATGTGTGGGCATGTATGTTTGTAGATGTATGTGTATGTATGTTCTGTGTGTATATGCTTGTGTGTGTATGTTCTGTGTATATGCTTGTGTGTGTATGTTCTCTGTGTATATGCTTGTGTGTATGTTCTGTGTATATGCTTGTGTGTGTATGTTCTGTGTATATGCTGTGTGTGTATGTTCTGTGTGTATATGCTTGTGTGTGTATGTTCTGTGTATATGCTTGTGTGTATGTTCTGTGTGTATATGCTTGTGTGTGTATGTTCTGTGTATATGCTTGTGTGTATATGCTTGTGTGTGTATGTTCTGTGTGTATATGCTTGTGTGTATGTTCTGTGTATATGCTTGTGTGTGTATGTTCTGTGTGTATATGTGTGTGTATGTTCTGTGTGTATATGCTTGTGTGTATGTTCTGTGTGTATATGCTTGTGTGTATGTTCTGTGTATATGCTTGTGTGTGTATGTTCTGTGTGTATATGCTTGTGTGTGTATGTTCTGTGTATATGCTTGTGTGTGTATGTTCTGTGTATATGCTTGTGTGTGTATGTTCTGTGTGTATATGCTTGTGTGTGCATGTATGTTTGTGTGTAGATATATGTGTATGTGTGTGTGCATATGTATTTTAATGTGTGTATATACATGTGTGTGCGTGCGTTCCGTTCTTTTCTCTTTGTCGGAACTCTTGCACAACTTCATGCACATGTGAAAACATTGGCCCAGTGTTTTCATTAGTTTCTACCTGGATGTGTACACAGGCGCGAACGCGAATCGTAAAACGTAAACTGTACTGCCATTAGCATCACTTTCAGTCGCTATTTCCATTAATTTCAGACCCGTACAAAGCTATAAACATACAAAGCATGAATTCTGTTGTGTGCAATCATTATTCTGAATACAGGGAGATACCTCATTCAATGACCACACATTCCAAACATTTGACACAAACACAGTTGCAATGCCATTATCATTTTCCACAGGTCATGTGACTTTATAGACTTGAGAGCAACAATTCCAAACATTATTCCAAAGGCGAGGAATGGCATGGGAATGCCCCACTGCATGCTGTGCAATGTTCACTTCCATCAATATCTAAGACATTGAAGCGACATGGCCACCCATGACTTGGAGGACATGTTCGTTCTACTCTCCATTATGTTGGTGCTTAACAAATGTATATGATTTAAACAATATTCATTCAGTAAAGGAGTGGATCAGTAAACAGGCATTACGCCTATAAGAATACCTCTCCGATACAAAAGTAATACATAATACAAATTCATTTATCAACACTGGAAAACACACTTTAGAGTTAGAGTAATAAGTAATAGCATAATAGTACATTAACATTACCTGATATAGGAGGAAATTAACTAGAGAAAAAACGTTTTGTTAGGGTAAAATAGTTGTGTACAGAGTTGACAATAGTTTGATTAATTTCGTCAGAAAATGAATATTTTCCATATAAAACTAATTGTAGATCAAAAGCCATTTCCATAAAAGAAACATCCTGATCGAAACTCAGCAAAATTTGGACATATAAAAAGATAGGGAATGATACCGTCATAGCGATAGCCACAATTACAAGTGGAAATATTTTGAAGGAAAAGGTCAAGTTTATGGGCATTTAGGTCACTACAGCCCAGTCTTATCTTGCAGTGAATAATTTGATTGCGTCTTGTACCGGTGGTTTTAACAACAGGATGCAGATTGCAAGGTAAAGTTTTATCAAAATGTTTCTTAAACAAGGTAACAGAATCAATATTTCTTGAATTGACGGACGAAATGATGTTCTATATGTGGGACAATGTGTATTTTGAAGAATGTTGGATGACCTAGATTCATATGTGGATACAGAAGATATATTTAATGGAATTGAATCTGATAGGTATTTCGGCGTTAACATTTTGTGAAAAACACACATCATGTGACGTTTGCGTCTATCGCTTAATGATGAAAGAGCAGTTTCAAGATACAGTTTGGAATGACTTACCCCTCTAACTTATGCTTCTTAAGACACCTGAATGAAGCTTTTCTTATGATAATCTTGTGTCTTTGAACAATTATTCCAAATATAATCACAATAATCAAATATTGGTAAAATATATGCGTTACACAATGGCTGTAGGCTTTTTGTTTGAAAGCGATATTTCAGGCTTCTCCAACAATTGATCACAGGACCAACCTTAGAAATATTATCATCTATATGTTTATTCCACTGGCCATTATTTTGCAGAGTCAATCCTACACGTTTATGAGAGTCAACATATTTGATAGTTGTATCATTCATAACAAGGTGTGGCATTAATGATATTGCCTTCTTTCTAGAAAAAATATAGATTCTGTTTTATTAGGGTTAAAATCTATCTTCCATGCCTCGGCCCATTTTGCTATTAATTCTAGATCATCATTTAGCATATTTGAACAAGTCAAAACATTGATTACACAACAGTCTTGTTTCCTGTTGACTGGGTTCCGTCCTATTGCGCAACTTAGTACAATAACCAGTCCAGAATTTTGAGACCAATTCATTTAACTGGATGCTTAAATATTAATCAGTATTATTTGATACATCTGAGCACTTGTACTTTCCAACGCTACGCTCCTTATAATCCTTGCAAACATGTCGTGCAGCGTGCTCTGTCGTGCAGCGAGCTCTGACAAACAGAAACATGGAAATCGTGGAAATCGCAAAACGAGGCTCTGCAGCTAGAAAAGGTTGGCGGTCTGGTACGGAATTGATATTATATCAATCACATTGTGCGGTACAGAACTACACTTAATAAGCGCATAAAACACATAACAGGTGTAACCAATGAGCCAAATGCATTTTGAATCATTTTACGAGCTCATCAAACTGTGACTGCTACCTACACCTCGTCATAATATATAGAAATACGATGTTATTAAAGTTTAAAATTAAAATTCATTTGTAAATACCATTTTCTTATGAAACAAGGAATTGGAATTCAGTGTAACTATAATTGTTTGGAGTGTCTCTTTTCACTTTCACGTGAGCAAATTCGGATCGGCTGAAAAGTAGGTCATTGTCTGAATAGGTTAATGAGACTCATGTTTCGGTTTGGATGAAACAGGGTAGTCAGTTATCACATATAAAGATGTATCATCAGGAAATAGTTTAATATTACACTGAATATTTTCAACAATATCAGTAATATACACCAAAAATAAGCAGAGGCCTAACACTGATCCCTGACGAACGCCAGCTTCAATTGATTTAACATTTGATTTATATCCATTAATCGCTGTATATTGTTTCCGATTACTCAAATATCTTTTGAGCCGTGATAAAAGGGAACCGCGTATTCCATTAGCACATAATTTATACAAAAGACCCTTGTCCCACACCTCATTAAACGCTTTACTAATGTCGCAAAAGACAGCGCGTACCTCCTTTCCGTTGTCCATCGCCTTACGTATATAATCATATACATGGTGAAGCCGATATGATGTAGAATGACCAGTTTTGAAATCCGATTGTAATGTAGTGATAGTTTCATTATCCACAAAGAAATTTGATACTTGCTTAAAAACACACTTCTCAAGTATGTTCGACAAGCAGCTACTATGTGAAGCACGTCTGTAGTTAGTTCAATGGTGTACGCCATTTTTCTTATGTATTGGTACAACAGCTGAACATTTCCATATGTCTGGAAATTGGGAAGTTAATAAAAAAAATGTTAAAAATATTACACAGAGGAACTGACAGTTGTTCAGCTAAACATTTTAAGACACGATTACTAACATGATCTGACCAAGTTGCTTTTGTGACAGCAAGCGACAGTAAAATATCTCTTACAGTAAAATAATTCTTACAAATGTATATGCAGCCTCATCGTACTCGTTACTTGAATACATTTCTTATGTAAAAATATCATTGAATGGTAAGATAGATGCACTTTTCCCAACTCAACCCAATTCGGTCAGTGTTATTGACAATGTCATACAACAACGGGCAACTGGATACATGTCTCACAACTGCTGGCAGAAAGGGTGCAAAGGCATTAATATTATTAAAAAGAAATGCACAACAAATATTTGGCCTTAGTCAGTAGCGTCCAGTGCTACCGGATATAGCTAATATAAAAATCTTCCGATAAAAGATTCACTTTATTCAGAAAGAAAACATTTCGACAATTTCGTGAATGAAAGTTTGCCTGCTTATTGCACGAAGAAATACTTATTCTGCCGGAGGTAACTGAGTTGCTTCCCTTGGTGCGTGTTTTTCAACGCATATATATATATATATATATATATATGTATGTATATATATATATAAATATAGTTATTAATTGACAGAGTTTCTGAATGGGAATAAATATTCTTGGGAAATAATTGAAGTTACATTAAGTTACTAACGACAAAGTTAAGCTCAATTTAAGGTCCCTTTGGGAGAATATGTTATCACATAGGTCGAGATCCCCTGATGCGTGATTGGTGATGGGCATTTACTTCATCATATCGGTCGAGATCCCCTGATGCGTGATTGGTGACGGGAAGTTACTTTATCGCATAGGTCGAGCTGCCCCGATGCGTGATTGGTGACGGGAAGTTACTTTATCACATAGGTCGAGCTGCCCCGATGCGTGATTGGTGACGGGAAGTTACTTTATCACATAGGTCGAGATCCCCCGATGCGTGATTGGTGACGGAAGTTACTTTATCACATAGGTCGAGCTGCCCCGATGCGTGATTGGTGACGGAAAGTTACTTTATCACATAGGTCGAGCTGCCCCGATGCGTGATTGGTGACGGGAGTTTAGTTTATCATATTTATCGGAGTACGGGACTCCTCATTACGTTGTAGATGCATGGATACGTCGGAGGACGATGTTGCTTGTTACACTGTGATTGAATGAATACATTGGAAGACGGGGCTGCTCGTTACGTTATGGTACGTTATGGATTCATGAGTATAATGAAGTTGGAAATTGCTCGTTCGTTTATGGACATAATAATCCCAGACATAATTTTTGTTGCAGGTACCATGAATATCGAAGAGGAACACCAGTTCCGAAGAACTATCGGGAGATGGCGCTTCACTGCGGTCGTATTTATCCTGATTTCTATCGTACTTTCAATATTCCTGGTTGCCATGGCGATTTTCACCCATGGGATCCCAAGAACCGTCCCATTGGATATGTGTGATGACGCTGACGACCTTGATGTCACAGAAGCAGACGACCCGGGTGTCTTTGATGACCTCACTAGTAAAGAACTATCGTCTGTCCAGAAGTATCTATATTCTGTACCGGAACTCAACCTTTCTCAACCCTCTGGAGCCGGACTGGTCAGAAGCTTCGTACACTCAGTCGAGTTGCACGTTCCGAACAAGGAGTACGTATTGCGGTATTTAGACGAGAACGCGGCGAAACCCGAAAGAGAGGCATTAGTGCTAATATTCAGGGGAGATAAATTACCCCCAGTTGTCGAGGAATATATCGTCGGAGCACTTCCCCTTCCATCTTACCTTGAACTACGTCATTCCGCGAACAGACCAAATCCGATTCCCTTCAGCAAGAGACCTATGGAAAGAAATGAATACATAAATATATATGAGCAATTATTTCTAAAACTCGGATCTAAGCTTAAAAAGATTTTAGAAGAAAGTTACGAAGCAGAGCTTCCCTCTCCTGGATGTTTGGAAAAGTGTCTCAGCTTTTACCCTGTCCCAATTGGGTCAGGGGTGGTGGGGTCCGACGAAAGGAAGACCTGGGTCGTCCTTATGCAGTCAGTAGAATACTATACACTCCATCCTGTAGGACTTTCACTTCTTATCAACCTTTCAAATCCACTGAAATACATTGTTGAGCTTGTTGATTACGGTGGCCAGAGATTCCATTCCATTGACGAGTTCATTTCCAAGTACAATTCAGGGGAAGTAACTAAACACAAAAAGCCTTTCCCGAACATTACACGCGACTTATTTTCGACCCTCTACAGACGAGGGGAGCCAGTCCCTGAGCTGCCAAAGAGGCCGCCCAAATTCTACGAACCAGACGGCAAGAGGTACAGAATCGTCCATCGCCACGTGGAGTACATGCAGTGGAAGTTTGACTTCAGGATGTCTGCTCAGTCAGGACCTCAGGTGTACGATGTCCGCTTCCTGGACGAACGGATTGCATATGAGATCAGCCTGCAGGAGATCGGTGTGTTTTATTCCGGGAGCGGGGGCCACAAATTTGCCGACTTTATCGACAGTGCGGATGGTCTTGGTCAAAATTCCCACGCTCTTGTCCCCGGGGTCGACTGTCCTGACACCAGTACCTTCGTTGATGGATTCTTCTTGATGGGATCAGTGGAGTCACCGAAACGGCTTCCGAGGATGTTTTGCGTCTTTGAAGAAAACACAGCTTTCCCTCTGCATCGTCATCAGTCGTACTACGCTCACGACGGCCAGTTCTACCATGGGTTGGTGGACTCCGCCCTCGTCCTGCGAGCTGTCACGGTTATTGCTAACTATGATTACATAGTGGACTTTGTTTTTCATCAAAATGGCGCCCTGCACATCCGAGCAGCAGCTACTGGTTATATCTTCTCTTCATTCTACACGTCTGACGAGATAAAATACGGCTTCAGGCTGGAGGACTACATTTCTGGTAATATTCACCACCATATGGTTCATTTCAAGATTGACCTTGACATTCATGGAACCAGTAACAGATACGAAACTCTCGACATCCATGCGGTGGAGGTTCCCAATGACGTATCTGTCACAAACGCCACCTACTGGCAGACCATGGTTGAGAGGAAGTTGAAAGAATCGGAGTTGGAAGCAGCTTTTAGATATGACTTCCAGTCACCAAAGTATCACGTGATTCACAATGGTGGAGTGAAAACCCGGCACGGAGAAATAAGCGGATACAGGTAATTGCACTGGGGAGTGAAGGAAAGCAACCAGAGTAAACTCGTCCTCGATTATCTCCAGTGTATACGTTCCGATAAAATCCCAATGATTTTATTACCTCCCTTGGCTGTTTTTTTATCCAATCAGGTGTCTAAGTTGAGCGTACCTATCACAACTCACTTTTGCTTGTTTTATCTAACCGATTAAACTTGGCAACATAATTGTAGCAGAGGTACTCTGAAAGAGGGATAAAGGGTTCTTGCATATATTTTTTAAGGTTTCAGACCTGTCAATTTGTATGTATGATTTCCCCCAAAATCTGAGTCGCACTGCGAACAAACTTTCGCGGCTGCAACCGCTGTCTTTGTTGACACTGGCAAACTCGGGTGTAACAGCGGCTTAGCTGATTGGCCACTGTGAGAATGCGGAGCCAGCAAAGGGAGGTAATAAAATTATCGGACAGAGCCATAGATGCAACCATGGTATTAGTTGAGATTTATCGTAACGTATACCCTGGAGATTATCGAGGATGGAGTAAAGTTAATTTAAACAAGCGTTTTAGCAAAACCGTGTAAACATGGCTGAAAACAGTCGCCGAAACACTGCTGACGTGAAGTGGCAACATATACTCATTACTTGTCAGATCTCAGTCCTCGGTGCCGCCAAACAAACACCTGAAAACAAACCACGTCAGAACGACCCTTCATCCGAGTGATGCTGACTATGAAACTGGCAGTCGGATAGTGTTTTGTAATCAGTGAACCTCGTAAAGGTTATAATTCCGAGCGACAATTACGATAGATTCCGCCCTAACCATCGTTTATCTCTGACTGTAATAAACAGATAAACGTTTGTTTTCAAATCTTTAATCGAGAACTTTGTTAAAACAGTTCTCAGAGCATGGCTTGTAACTGAAACTAGTAAAGCTCGAAACAACTGATTGGCTGACCTTAAGGAGCTCTGGGATGGGAGACTTTGAAGTCACTATTTGGTGTTAGGTATAGATTCACATCGTATATTCCATTAACCTGGTGAGCGAGAAGACAAGAATGCTCTCTCATTTTGGTATTGTTTTACTTACAGGCTTCACCTTCAAGGAATGTCCCATCAACCTCTTCCTGAAAACCGTGGAAACGAAGCTACAGCATCGTGGTCGAGGTATCAGCTAGCAGCAACCAAATTCAAGGACTGGGAGAGAGAGAGCAGCTCGTGCTATGGCATGTTCGACTCGAGGGATCCAGTTGTTAACTTTACCAGTTTCCTGGCCGACAATGAAAGCATAGTTGATGAGGTAAGGAAATGTCTCCTCGGCCATGACACTGAGTGATTATGGGGTTGAACGCCGCTGTGAATAGTATGTATGATTATGGTATGAGTCCATGTTTACTATCTCTTCCCGCTGTTAACACCCGGAACAGGACAGAAATAACCGAAAACACCTTTCGTTCTGTCGTTTCAGGACTTGGTACTGTGGGCATCTGTGGGGATCCACCATATCCCCCACACAGAGGATTTGCCGGTCACGCCCACAGTCGGCGGCCATCTTGGAATATACTTGCTTCCATTCAACTACTTTCAGGAGTGTCCATCTATGGCGTCACGTGACTCCGTCAGGTTAGAACTTAAAGAGAGATACACCATGGCAACAGGGGTCAGAGTTGACGGATATAACAACGAGTCAACGTGCTTGCCGAAATCAACCGATCTTCACAGACTGTTTGGGGACAATGCAGAGGAAATGTTCAACTGATGAACGTGCCAGGAATAGTCTTAAATAAAACCTACTAGTAAAGTTAACATAAAGGACCTTTCTATCTAATGCTTAATTCTAACACGTGGTAAGATATATTGCGGACCCTAATATGTAACTCACTCACTCACTGAAATGTTTGTTGTAATCAAAGTTACATACCAACTGATAATACTTTAAACAGTTAAAATTCCAACAAGAATGGAGTTTACATCTGCATGCAATATGGGCAGAGCTGTTCCTGTCAACCACGCGGGTCATGACCTTGGATATACACGGTATGTGTCTCCCCCCATCACGGTATATGCCTCCCCCCATCACGGTATGTGTCTCCCCCATCACGGTATATGTCTCCCCCCATCACGGTATATGTCTCCCCCCATCACGGTATCCCGGGAGCCAGTAGGAGGTACTGCAGTTGCCAGCAAGCCGTCTGTGTAGCCCCACTTTACCTGCTGTGACCCCGACCAGACAGATAAGACGCACGCCAAGCGGTGGTACAGTTATTGACTGCAGTAAATAGGGCAGCAATATGTTTGTCTGTTAGAGTGTGCAGTCACCTACATATATACTCGTAACAGAAGTAGGGGATCACGGAAGGTATAGGTTACTGCCCAATACTGGAGCACAGTCAAAACATGGCGATTACCCACATCCCATGCAAGTACGTTTGTGGAAGCTACCATCAACACACATCTGATTGTGCGTTGGGTGGCATCCTTCGTTTCTGACACTTTCAGTAAGGTCGCTTTAGGTCTGTGGACCAAAATTCTGTCAGTATTATTGAGGAATTCATTCATTGCTTATGAACTACCGATGTGGCGTCTACGGGCTATTGGCATGAAGGCAAGTGGCAGGAGCCAACTGCCAATACGTTCAATGGTTCACAACAATAGATACCAATAACCAAACAGGGTGACAATCGATCCCATTCGACAATGCTACAGGATCTGTTGATCAGAAACCAGACAGACAGGTTTATTCGGTAATTTAGGCCCAAGGCCCATAATACATACATTTGGCAAAAGTAAATACATACTGAGTAAAGCTAAGTAAAGTTTTGTATTGATTTGTTTTACAGTTATTCATTCCTTCTACGGCGAACTTGTGAAAGATATTTACTCAATGATTTTAAAATATGTATATTGTCTGATGACAACAATCGGATGAAGGTTTCGATTGTCGGTGGTTGAGTCAGATGTATTGAAAAACAATCAGATCTTTGTTGGGAATATTTTGGACATATTAATAAAATATGGAGTTCATCTTCGATGTAATCAAGGCCAGCAGCATGACAAAAGAGGCAGAGACGTTCATTATACGGGGTGTTTGTATGACGGCCACATTCCACTGCGAGTCTGAAGTTACAGCACCGAAACTGAGTTATGATTTTACGTTGATTTGGTAGCAATTCACTGGTTAAATATGGTTCGACGCTTAGAGATGATTTAAATTGTGAATAGTATTTACATTTGGGTGACGAAATTAGTGATGCATGCCAGTTTTGAGTGAAGCAGCCATAGAATCTCTGTTTAAAAATTACCATGAATGTGGATATACAGCCTATGTCTTGAGATATCCATAAGAAACCAAATCCATATTGGAAAAATATCAGCCTAATATGAGAAGCCCATGTTGTTTTACCATTATCATCGAGAGTTTTCATCATTAGATATGCCTGATAAGAAAGTCTGTTTCGTGGAAGCTGTATCAGTCTGCACCAGTACTTGACTGCTCTTGAGATATATTGATACTTGCGGGGAGCTCTCCCACACTCTCCCAGAACCATGTTGTTGTTGGTAGTTTTACTAACTTTAAGAAATGACTTGCAAAATCTGGTGTGCACAGTTTCAATTAGTTTACAGTAGCTTGTTCCCCATATTTCAGATCCGTAACAGAGTATTGGTGCAATCATAGAGTCAAATATCTTAAACAATTAATGATGGTTAATATATCCAAAACGTTTTTGATAATTGTTGATAGAAAATATGGCCTTCCTCGCTTGAGACGATAAACAGGTTTTCGCTTTTATCCATGATAATCTTGGAGTAAACACAATACCTAAGTATCTATACATATTAACAACCTCAATTTGTGTTCCATTTAAAAACCTCTCCTCATAATCCCTGAGCGGACCTCCATTGCGAAATACCATTATTTTAGTCTTTTTCAGGTTCACCTTCATTCCAGTCTCTGCACAAAACCTTTCAACAACATTAATTTTCTTTTGGAGCTGCAAAGCACTGTCAGATACAGATGAGACATCATCAGCAAATAGGAGAGAATAAACATCCTTGGCTTGTGAAGATATAAAAATACCTCTTCCACCATCATTCTCCAGCATTTGTGATAGTTGATTTATAAAAATAATGAAAATTTGAGGACTTAAAATACATCCTTGCCTTGTGCCAACATTACAGTTGAAATAAGATGATAATCCAGTATCAGTTCTGACACAAGCACATAATGATGAGTACATCTTGATGATAAATTTCATAAATTTCCCCTTCACACCAATGCTCACAAGACTCCCAAACAATATTTGATGATTAATGCAGTCAAAAGCTCTGGTAAAGTCTATGAACAAACAATAGAATCTCCCCTTCATTTTTGATGAATACTTGATTGCCATAGCTTGTAAGGTGAATATATGGTCAGTGGTTGAATAACCATGTCTAAAGCCAGCTTGACACTCTGAGATTATGTTGTTGTCATCACACCATTGTTGTAATCTGTTATTGATTATGGAAGTAAGAATTTTACACATTGAGTTGATCAAAGAAATACCTCTGAAATTGTTTGGGTCCAGTTTGTTTCCAGATTTATGCAAGGTGCAGATGATACTCTTTCCCCAAGTCTCAAGGAAAATGCCATCTTCAAATAACTTATTGAATAGTTTAGTTAATAATGGTGCAATATAACTTTTAGAAGCCTTGAAAAAGTCACCGGCTATGCCATCTGGTCCTGCTGATTTGCCACTCTTAATGTTTTGAAGACTAGAAAATACTTCATGTTCTGAAAAGGGATCATTCAACTGTGATGTCATGTTGTCATTTATATCCTCACATAATGTCTCTTCAATAACATCATTGACAGATTCACAATATAAAAGGTTCCGAAAGTGATCATGCATTCATTTACAGGAATATTAGGAGTCTCTGAACGGGAAACTGAATTTGATTTTAATACACTCCAGAATTGTTTAGGGTCATTTCTTGAGTCACTAAGTTTTCTCCTTTGATCTTGAAGATATAAGTCTTTCTTCAGTTGAAATGTAGATTTGAAATGTTTCTTTTGACATATATAAGAATCAATGTTTTCACCCCATTGATCTGTGTGCTCTAAGAGCTGAGTATTTCTTTTGTTTGATATGCTCTAATTCGGAGTCCCACCAAGGGGGCTGCTTGGAATACATGGAAAGAGAATTATTGTAAACTCTCTTGACTTTATCTGCTGCAGCCTGGTAGAGAGCAGTTAATGCTTTGACGCTTTCTTCCACATTTTCTTCAATCTGTTTATTTATTGTGTCATACTGCATCATAAACAATTCATGAAAATCCACTAAAAATATGTTGTACATTTCAGGGGACCAGTTGTATTTCATCCATGCCTCTTGATCCATAACACATGACTGATTGGAATTGTTATCTGTACACCTTTGAGTTGAAGCTGCACCAGGAAGATCAATAGAACAATATAGAGGGAAATGGTTTGACTCGTCTCTTTCATGAATACCAAAAGAGCTGAAATAGGGGAATAGATCAGTACTTGCTAGGAAGTAATCCACAACACTAGCACCATTATGGGTCACACAAGTGAAGTTGCCTTCCTTATCATCAAGCAACCTTCTATTCAAAACATGTAGACCATGTGTACAACACATTTCTGCAAGCGATACTCCATAGTTGTTATATCTGATATTGTCTTTCGTATTGTGTTAAGTTTGGAAGTTATCACTTGGGTAGTCCTCACTGTTGGTTTAGACATAGTAGAGATCAAAAACCAGACACAACTAATCGAACTCGTACGGTGAACCAGATTGCTGCACACTCCCAGGCTCCTGGAATTACAGAATGTCCACAAGCTGCTGACAAAGCTCCATGTTGCCAGCAGGCGTCAACGGTGCACACAACGTCGGAAGGATGGTAATTGTCACTGGTCACGTGTCCTGTTTTATGTTGAACATCTTTTCACTTCTTCGGTAGACTTGGTCGTGTCTGGGTACACCGAAACAAGACTTCCAGACAAGTCCTGTTGATTCCCAAGTTGAAAGTAAACAGTTAACCAGGAACTAGGGGTGAAACCAACAAACATCAAAACAAGTGTGATGCAATTAACAAGTTCACAAATCAACACAATTCACTTCCAACGTCTCACTATGGCAGTACAAAACATAGTGGCAGTACACATTTAATGGTAATACAAGAGGAGTGATTATAGCAATACAGACAAAGGTAACACAAGAGGAGTGATTATAGCAATACAGACAAAGGTAATACAAGAGGAGTGATTATAGCAATACAGACAAAGGTAACACAAGAGGAGTGATTATAGCAATACAGACAAAGGTAACACAAGAGGAGTGATTATAGCAATACAGACAAAGGTAACACAAGAGGAGTGATTATAGCAATACAGACAAAGGTAATACAAGAGGAGTGATTATAGCAATACAGACAAAGGTAACACAAGAGGAGTGATTATAGCAATACAGACAAAGGTAACACAAGAGGAGTGATTATAGCAATACAGACAAAGGTAATACAAGAGGAGTGATTATAGCAATACAGACAAAGGTAACACAAGAGAGGAGTTGTAATACAGACAAAAGGAGTGGTACAGACAAAGTAACACAAGAGTGATTATAGCAATACAGACAAAGGTAATACAAGAGGAGTGATTATAGCAATACAGACAAAGGTAACACAAAGGAGTGATTATAGCAATACAGACAAAGGTAACACAAGAGGAGTGATTATAGCAATACAGACAAAGGTAACACAAGAGGAGTGATTATAGCAATACAGACAAAGGTAATACAAGAGGAGTGATTATAGCAATACAGACAAAGGTAACACAAGAGGAGTGATTATAGCAATACAGACAAAGGTAATACAAGAGGAGTGATTATAGCAATACAGACAAAGGTAATACAAGAGGAGTGATTATAGCAATACAGACAAAGGTAATACAAGAGGAGTGATTATAGCAATACAGACAAAGGTAATACAAGAGGAGTGATTATAGCAATACAGACAAAGGTAATACAAGAGGAGTGATTATAGCAATACAGACAAAGGTAATATACAGACAAAGAGGAGT